CCCCCCCCCCCCCCCCCCCCCCCTCCCAAAACAACAGGTGCGGCAGGGAGAGAGAGGAGGAGGTGGTGGGCGGCTGGCGCTGCAGAACCCCTCCTGCCACCCCCTCACCCTCCACTATCCGCCACCCCCATCACCCTTCCCCCCACAGACGCTGGTGCTGGCAGAGGCACGGACAGGGCGCGGGCTCCACTCCCTTGCCACCTCCCCCCCCACCCGCCACCTCCCCGCACTGCAGAAGCAGGCGCTGGCAGGAGAGGCGACGGGGGGGAAGAAAACGGGATGGGGGGGAGGGAAAGGGCCGCGACGACCGCCACGAGCGCTGTCCCCCCGACAAATCCCCCACACCCTCCCCCCACCCCCTTCACGGCTGCACTAGCAGCAGGGAGAGGGAGAAGGCGGTCGGCGTGGTAGCGCAGCAGCAGAGTGGCGTCAACCACCCCCGCTCTCTCACACCCTCCCCCCCCCTTGGTGCAAGAGCAGCAGTGAGAAGGGGGAAATATGGCGGGCGGCGGCGCAGCAGGCGGCTGCAGTTGCACGTGTGGCTCCAGCTGCACGTGACGCTGCAGTCGCGCGTGAGGCTGCTGCTGCGCGTGCGGCTGCAGCTGCGCAATTCGCTGCAGTCGCGCGCGGCTGGTGACGTGCGTGTAGCTGCGCGCTCGCGGCTGCGTGCGTGCGGCTGTGCGCACTGCGCGCTGCTGGACGGGGACGGGACGGGCCGGGGCAGCGAGGGACGGACGAGCTGCGACTAGGGGGCCGAAACGGGGCCGCATCTGGCGCCATCGCGCAGCTCGCCGTCACGGGCAGCGTGACGGACGGAAGCTGCGCGACGGGCAGCACGAAACAGGGAGCGACTGGGGGCGAGGGCGCCATGCACGAGCGAGAAAATAACGGTGGGCCCATGGAAAACAGTTGGCCTAGGAGCGTTTCTACTCTAATCCCATGTTAAAGTAGCCTCATGACTTAGTAGAAGTAGCCTAGGGTTTGGGCTAGGCAAGGAAGTGTCGAGAGGATTGAACAAAGAATAGGGGTTTCACTAAAGGGCCAAAGGCCAAGTTATACAAGAATAAAAAAAATGAGAGGTGCACCACATAACAGGAAAGATAACTACACTAGGTTATGCTACAAGCAGTTGATACAAATATATATTGTTTGACACATACATATATACATATATATATACATATATGATTGAAGATCTTCAGAAGTTATTAGCGTACTCCGAAATGATATTAGCGCGACGGAAAAGAAATATTGCCTCTAACATTTGATTTGGGCCTGAACGTACTGGGGATTACCATCTCAGATACAGTTCCCAATTTTTGAGAAACTAGCATGCTTTTAAGAAAAATTGGGTATCCATTTCGCGGCAAAGAAACCGAGAGTTCGTCGTGGGCGTGCACAGATGATGCCCGCCCGTGTTACGATTGCGGATGCCATTAATTTTCATAGGATATTTACGCCAACAAAAACAAAATGACAATAATCGTGAAACTGCTCACATTAAGACGCGGTAAAAGTGTGAAAATCGCAGGATCGGACACACCACTAGACAGTATAACCGGTTGGGGTTTACCAGCAATGACCCAATCGTTACAAGGCCACGCGGAACGAATCGTTACGACACTTACCATTGTGCTTTGTGAACTTGCGGAAGAGTTAGCAAGAGTTACTGTACTAGAGCAAACCAAGGGAGTCAACCCATCAATCACCCAATACAGGTACTACACACAAGCCCATTTTCGCCCCATTTAAATTGTGATTCCAAGTGTAATAAGGTGTATTCCCACGACCGGTTTATATCACTGCTTCTAGAGTAATGGTTGCCTCTGGGTCTGAGAGGTGGGCACTGGGCGGTTGAAAGTCGTGTGTACTGTATCTTGTGTAAGTGGTGCATGAACAGAAAGTCGTTTTACTACACCCTGTTCTCGATAATTTCACACCCTTGATGCCGAGTCGCGTCTACGTTCCGCGCGGGCGGTCGCTGGCGATCCCGAGTCGCGCTGTGCGTTTAACCCCTGTAAAGTAATCGAGAACAAGGTGTACACGCATTGATTCGTACTGTACAAGTTCATCCTGAATTACAATGCTGAAATTGGAGCACCCTTTCACTGTGATTCCGACATGAGTAGGCACTGCTACAACTGCATCATGGTAGTATTCTAGCCATTGGTTCAGGGTTTTCAAATTCGAGCCTTTCAGACTCGTACAAGCACGTGCGGGTGAGAAGATCTTTAGAAACCATGCTCTTCAACTCGGGGTTTGAAGGGGCAGGGGAAGTTCCGATTTCAGCGCTGAAGATCTGGGTACACCTAGTCCTCTACCATACCTACCCGCATCTGAGCCAAACTGTAACGGGGTTTGCAGGGATTGAAGAAATTTGTCTCATGCCGAAAGGAGTGGTTGGGATTTCATCACGGGAAATTATACAGGAAGTCACAATGTTGCCCATTTTAATACGTTTGATCACAGGGGTATCACAAACAGTCACATTACAGTAGATTTCTATCGCGGGTGATCACAGTGCTATCACGGATGGTCACACCTCGCCCCGAAAAGCTATCACGTTTAGTCACTCACTGAAACGATTATTATTAATTTGAAACCACAAAAGAAACTGTAGAGATTTTGGGGAATCCCAATCTTGATTGCTTGTTACCTCGCGCATGATTCTAGCCTGACATTTAGGGGACTGAATAAACAAATAAACCCCTAAAGGATGGCACATCCTTCGGGAGGCACCAACCCTAAACACCATGCGACAAGGTGTTTAGGGTTGATGCATCCCAAATTAAATCCCATCCGAACGGGTTTTAGTTTTTTTTTGTCTTGGGAACAGAAATTAACCTTCGAGTTTCACCCGTCTAAAAGTTATATTCTTAGGGACATTATGCATCAATCGAACAGTGGACAATCGAATAGGAACAAGAAATTGCAGTTGTTTTTAACGAGTTCACGAGAGTTGTCGCGAAACTATTTCGTAACACTACGGACAAAACGGCGTGTGCGTGTGAACTTTCCTTGAATCCCTACAGTGACTTGAGTAGTTTCAACTTTCTATCGATCGTTTCAACGAGTGACCAAACGTGATAGCTTTTCGGGGCGAGGTGTGACCATCCGTGATAGCACTGTGATCATCCGCGATAGAAATCTACTGTACTGTGACAGTTCGTGATACCCCTGTAACCAAACGTGTTAAAACGGTCATAATTGTGACTGACTGTATAATTTCCCTTTTATCACTGCATTCACATAATTCCAAGGGGATTCTCCGCCACTCAAGACCAACCACCAAACGGAACCAACTTTTGGTGAAGGACATGATGGTACAGAGTCCTCGCCAATTTCACGTCCCCTGAGATTTTCTATAAATCAGCCTTGACCGTTTGTGACTTGAAGGACCAAACATTCAGGAACGAAAGGCTATTCGTGACATTGTTTAGCGTCGATTGCGCGAAAATCTCACTCAGTGGCTGCAGCGCACGTACTGGATCTTCCGCTGCGACCATGTTTTCTGTTTTCTTCCTGACTCGTGAGGGTAGTCTCGAATATTTGTACACTTAAAGCCCAATCTTTTCGAATAGCCCCTGATTTCGGGTATACCAGAAAGGATTGCTAAGGGGTGTGAAATTGGTGGTATTGAAATTGGCGAGGACCGTGTGGTTTAGGAAAATTCGTGAATTGGTGGTGAGGGAAATCGCTACATGTACACCCTGACTGCGTAATAAGGAACTTTGAAAAATATCGATCCAATTTTATCATTCGTTGCTGCTTTTGTAACCGCCCCTAGCATGTGGGTGCTGTGAGCACGTGTCTCGAAATTTCGTTAGTCTTACATACCCTGCCATTCCAAATCTAAAATTCCATTCCAAAACGTGAATGACCTTATTGAGTCGCATTTATGTGAATTGTGACGGTATGGTTACGGGTGCGGTAGTTTCCACAAAACTGTGTCTTTTATTGCGAGAAGACACTACTATGTCGGGAAAACTGGGTGTAGAAGGATCCCTAATCCTCTGCCTCTCGTTGACCTATTCTCTGATTGCTTGATCCTCAGATCAGACTCCAGCAGAGCCTTTCTCCTTTCACGTACGCTTTGTATCGTCTCATCTCGTCCAATGGAACGTAGCAGACTTGGAACTTGGATGGAAGTCCGAGCATGAGGAGTTTCTGTGTGTTACCCCGAGGTATCCTGCGGTGAGTTTGGGCCCTTCGCGATGGGACGTAAACGCTCTCATCCTGGTGCTGTGCTGTAGGATGGGGTGCGCCTTTTTTGCCGTTGATAAGGTACCTCAAAGCCGCGCGTTATCAGCTGAAACCGCCGCTTGAGATGGCAAACTAGATCAGTTTTTCGCCGCTATCGCGATCAGCTTTCTCCATTAGCGACCCTTTCGAACGGCGGTGATTTTCTCTTCTGTACCTGCCATGATGTCGCCGCCGCCGCGTTCTCGCCGTGTATCGTTAGTGGCACTGGCGACAGCGTCGTTGATGCTAACCCTTACCACTGTACGCTCCCCGCCTTCTCGAACTCGGAGGAAAAACAGCAGAAAAACCACAATCTAGCTTTATATTTGAAGCAACGCTCGTTCCTTTTCATTTTCGCCCTTATCTCCGGGCCGCGGCGGTCATCCCATGCCTCATCCGCTTGCTCAAAGGCTGTCACTCAACGCAAGGCTGTCGCACGAGCCTTTCGTCGGTCGCCCCTCATCCAGCACCCTTTTGGTGCTGGAAAGGGCATAAAGTTTCGTAAAAATGACGAAGAAATAACTCTCGAACGGAACCGTTCTGTTAGACTTGTGTCCTACCAGGTTGCCTTTTTGTTCGAACTTCAAACTTACTCGCCCTCCAATGTTGGGCATTGTGAGGACGGGGATATCCTAAATTAACTGAGCCACCAGAATGGCAACTCTGACGTCATTAGCAAGAAGATTTCTCCTGCCAGCGCTATGCATAATGTGCTTCCTCCTCCCCCCTGTTCTCTGGCCCATCATATTGGCATTCATATGATCGGGTCCTATTTTAGAACCCCTACTACTACTACCAGACTGTCGTCTGCTTCTTCCTTGCCTACTACTGATCCCTGCTCGGCTCTTCCGTCCCCCGGCAAGCTACCGTTTCTCATCTCACCCCATGGCTTCTTTCTCTTGTTGAGGCGCCTCAAATATCTTCCTTGCCTACTGATCCCTGCTCTCTTCCGTCCCCCGGCAAGCCACCGTTTCTCATCTCACCCCATGGCTTCTTTCTCTTGTTGAGGCGCCTCAAATATCTTCCTTGCCTACTGATCCCTGCTCTCTTCCGTCCCCCGGCAAGCCACCGTTTCTCATCTCACCCCATGGCTTCTTTCTTCCAGGCACATTCTTCCCCCTTGACCTCTTTTTGAGGCGCCTCAAAAAGAGGTTTCTCAGGCCATGGTTTCTCTCTTCCAGGCACTTTCTTACCCCCCAACCTCAATCCCTCTCCCAACACGCCCTGATCCCCCTGTCCTCGCAGGTGCTCCAGTCGCGTCTGACTATAGCGGGGACAGATTCGTCCCCAGCCCACGTGGACTTTGAGTATTCGGACACGCTCTGTGGCACGGCATGGCGGGACGACTACCTCCGCCTGCACTCCGCCATTCGTGCCGCCAGTGCCGCCGCCTACACCCCCCCTCCCACTCCCCCTCCCCCTCCCTCCTCCCTTGCCTCCCACTCCTCCCGCCGATTGCTCTCTCTCGAAAACTCCTCACCGCTGCTACCGCCAACCGCAGCAGCCACCGCAGCAGCAGCAGCAGCAGAACCAGACCCAAGCCTGTCAAATCAGGCCCTCCCGGCTTCCTCCGTTCGATTCCTCACGTTTGATGAGCACGGGCACTGCGGCGGGTTCGGGGACTTCCTAGTCGGCGTTGTGTCCACTTTTGTCGCTGCACTCTTGGACCGCCGGGCGTTTGTGATTCGGCACAACTGCATCCAGTACGCGTTTGAGCCCGCATTCATCGACTGGCGCCCGTCCCCTGATGTTCCCATGGAGCCCTCTCGTCGCACGCGGAATATCAACGAATCGTTCCCGCCGGATGTGATTCCGTTTCTGGATTTGAACAATGTCCGCGTGGATTTGCAGCAGCTGGCGAGGTTTAAGGCGTTTCGGCACGTGAAGGTGCTGTGGAACCGCGGGATGCTAACGGAGACGCTTACAAACGGGACGGGCGAGTGGGCCGATGCGCTCCGGGCGACCGGGTTGCGCCCACCGTACGCTTTCGGCTGCATTCTGCGATTCCTTGTCAGGTAGTACGCCAATGCATTGCATTCAGGTGCATTGCAATGGGATAGACTGAATAATTCTTGAATTCCTTGTCAGGTACGCCCTGCATCGCATTCAGGTGGATTGCAATGGGATAAATTGGCTACTCTCAGATCCCTTGGGCTTTATGCCCCTCAGAGTATGGCTGGTGACATGACAATGCAGGAGATGCAGGAGATGCAGGAGATGCGGGAGATGCAGGAGATGCAAGAGATGCGGGAGATGCATGAGATGCATGAGATGCATGAGATGCATGAGATGCGGGAGATGCAGGAGATGCGCACAGTGGTGGTGAGGGTGCATGTGCAGCTGAGAAATGCCATCTCCCCTCCCCCTATCCTCTCCCCTCTCTCTTTCCCTCCCCCTCTTCCTTTTCCCCACCACCCGCATCCATCCCTCACCCCTCACTGCAGGCCCAGGAAGGAGGTATGGCCGCTGACGGCACGGTTGCTGCAGGAGATGCATTGCAATGGCATGAACTGATATGCATTCTCCAACCACCTCTTCCCCTTTCTCAACCACCCCTCACCTCACTGCAGGCCCAGGAAGGAGGTATGGCCGCTGACGGCGCGGCTGCTGCAGGAGATGAGCGAGCCGCGGACGGTGGTGGTGGGGGTGCACGTGCGGATGAGCGACAGTGTGTTTGGAGCCGCCAAGGGGGGCGTCACTGATGCCTCCATGGCTGCTGCTCTGGAGAACGCTGCTCCCATCCTCGCCTGTGCCAAGGTGAGATGAGGAAACGAAAGACAGCAAGAGAGCCCAAGGCAGGCAGGGAGTGATGAGGCGGGTGAGTGCCCGTGTCACTAGGTTCCTGTATCACCAACCCGCTGCGTCACTGATGCATCCATGGCTGCTGCTTTGGAGAACGCTGCTCCCATCCTCGCCTGTGCCAAGGTGGGTAGGGGGGGAAAAGACCGCAAGAGAGGGAAACATGACTTGGAATCAGGACCAGAGAAGCAGGTGAATGCTGCAGGCTGCTCCCATCCTCGCCTGTGCCAAGGTGAGCCGGGGGGGAAAGACCGCAAGAAAGGAAACTATGACTTGGAATTAGGACCGGAGAAGAAAGTGAATGCTGCAGGCTGCTCCCGTCTCACATCATCTCACCATCATCTCACCATCATCTCACCATCATCTCACCATCATCTCACCATCATCCCACCGTCATCTCACCATCATCCCACCATCATCTCACCATCATCTCACCATCATCCCACCGTCATTTCACCATCATCCCACCATCATCTCACCATCATCTCACCATCATCCCACCGTCATTTCACCCGTCTCACCCACTCCGTTTTCTCTCGGTCTGCCAGGCAGTGGAGGACATGTGGTATCCTCCGCCTCTCAAAGGGGTGGTGGATGCTCATCACATCAGCTCACCATCACCTCACCATTACTTCACCATCACCTCGCCATTACTTCACCATCACCTCACCATTACTTCACCATCACCTCACCATTACTTCACCATCACCTCGCCATTACTTCACCATCACCTCACCATTACTTCACCATCACCTCACCATTACTTCACCATCACCTCACCATTACTTCACCATCACCTCACCATTACTTCACCATCACCTCACCATTACTTCACCATCACCTCGCCATTACTTCACCATCACCTCGCCATTACTTCACCATCACCTCGCCATTACTTCACCATCACCTCGCCATTACTTCACCATCACCTCGCCATTACTTCACCATCACCTCGCCCCTCTCACCGTGCGCCTCTCACCGTGCGCTGGATGTTCATCATATCGTCTCACCATCATCTCATCACCACCACCTCCTCCCCTCCCCCACCACCACCCCTTTCTCTCCCCCAGGCAGTGGAGGACATGTGGTATCCCCCGCCTCTCACAGTGCGCTGGACATGGTCTTACCATCTTTACTGTACCCTCTCTCCCCCCCCCCACCACCACCCCTTTCTCTCTTCCAGGCAGTGGAGGACATGTGGTACCCCCCGCCTCTCACAGTGCGATGGATGTTCATCACCAATTCCATCGACCTCAAGATGGCCATCCGCTCCCGCTTCCCTGGCAAGGTGCGTGCCTCTGCTTTCCGCCTCCCGAAAGCAACTCCCCAAGCTATTTCTGACTGCTTCTGGTACTACAGATTGTGCCACTTTTGAGACGTCTCAAAATTCGACTACAGATTGTGCCACCTCGAGTGATTTGATGCTACTGGCTCACATTCTATTATAGTGTCCCAATAGCAACCACCCAGCATGAGGATCTTCTGTAATGACCCTTCTTTTCACTCTTCACTATTCATGAGTGCCTGCAGCTTGAGAGAGCAAGCGCAGTGATCACCCATCCATCTACGTGAAATGAGGGTGTTCTTGAGACGTCTCAAAAACACCTGCAGTTTGAGAGAGCAAGCGCAGTGATCACCCATCCATCTACGTGAAATGAGGGTGTTCTTGAGACGTCTCAAAAACACCTGCAGCTTGAGAGAGCAAGCGCAGTGATCACCCATCCATCTACGTGAAATGAGGGTGTTCTTGAGACGTCTCAAAAACACCTGCAGCTTGAGAGAGCAAGCGCAGTGATCACCCATCCATCTACGTGAAATGAGGGTGTTCTTGAGACGTCTCAAAACCACCTGCAGCTTGAGAGAGCAAGCGCAGTGATCACCCATCCATCTACGTGAAATGAGGGTGTTCTTGAGACGTCTCAAAACCACCTGCAGCTTGAGAGAGCAAGCGCATTGATCACCCATCCATCTACGTGAAATGAGGGTGTTCTTGAGACGTCTCAAAACCACCTGCAGTTTGAGAGAGCAAGCGCAGTGATCACCCATCCATCTACGTGAAATGAGGGTGTTCTTGAGACGTCTCAAAAACACCTGCAGCTTGAGAGAGCAAGCGCAGTGATCACCCATCCATCTACGTGAAATGAGGGTGTTCTTGAGACGTCTCAAAAACACCTGCAGCTTGAGAGAGCAAGCGCAGTGATCACCCATCCATCTACGTGAAATGAGGGTGTTCTTGAGACGTCTCAAAAACACCTGCAGCTTGAGAGAGCAAGCGCAGTGATCACCCATCCATCTGCCTCCTCGTTCCAACCCTCCACTCCCCATAACCCACCTGCGCGCTCCACTCCCGTAACCTACCCACCCGTGTACTCCCTATGACTGCTGCAGCTACTCGAGACAGATTTCGTGCCTCACCACTCGCAGTCGTTCAGCGACGAGGACAAGGAGAAGGCAAAGGAGGCAGCAGAGCAGGGCTATCGGGAGATGGTGGCCGAGTGGCTCTTGCTGTCGTCTAGCAACTCCTTTGTTCTGCCAGTCTCGGGATTTTCGCGCACCGCTGCCATGTATTCTCTAAATGCCATGGCTCTTTTCACGCCGCCTTATTACTGCGACCCGGAACAGCCACATCCGCAAACCGACTTTGGTGTGGCATACAGTGGCATATAATTCTGCTAGAAACATGCTGAGCTCGTATAAACAATCCCTGGTTTTATTGCCCAAGGCATTGGATTGGATGCATTCGCATGAGGGTTGTCAATTATTTCGGTACCAGCATAAACCTTCAAATGTCACAAGAGCTCCAATCCAACCAAGCCTCCCACTGTCTAGCAGCCGTGTGGTTCTCCCACTCCGCTGCCATGTTTCTCCTACCGTAAGCCAAACTGGAAACGCCTCTTGAACGTAGAGAGACCCAGAAACACCACAGTTTGCAACCAAACTTGTCGTAGAGCACAGTGGCGTTCGAATGCCTCCACCAGGGATAGCCCAGTCCAGTCCTACTCATCCTTGTAGTACTGGTTGGTACGTTACCGTATTTGAGACGTCTCAAACCTCCACATAAGGATAGCCCAGTCCTACTCATCATTGTAGTACGGTACGTTTTGAGCAATCATTGTGCACTCGCGCACTGGTACTCCGGTGTTTTAATAGAGTATCATCTGAGGGCCTGATCATATCATATAATACAAAAGAGGGTAGCTTAAATCCCACTGTATGCAATCCCAAAATCCGTAAGCTTATGTGGCTGTTCCGGGTCGCAATAATGAGGCGGCGTGTAAATAGCCATTGGTCTTAGAGAATACATAGCAGCTGTGCGTGAAAACCCTGAAATCGGCAGAACAAAGGAGTTGCTAGACGACAGCAAAAGCCACTCAGCCACCATCTCCCGATAGCTTTGCTCGGCTTCCTTCTTTGCCTGCTCCTGGTCCTTGTCACTGAACGCCTGTGAGTGCCGAGGCACAAAATCTGTCTCGAGTATCTGTAGGGAGTGCACGGGAGGGTTACGGGGAGCAGAGTGGACAGGTGGGTTATGGGGAGTGCGAGAAAACCCTGAGATTGGCAGAACAAAGGAGTTGCAGGACGACCGCAAGAGCCACTCGGCCACCATCTCCCGATAGCTTTGCTCTGCTTCCTTCTTCGCCTGCTCCTTGTCCTCGTCGCTGAATGCCTGTGAGTGGTGAGGCACGAAATCTGTCTCGAGTATCTGTACAAGCCACGGGGAGTGCACGGGTGGGTTATGGGGTGTACATGGGTGGGTTATAAAGAGGGGTGGGCACCTGGGTTATGGGGAGTGGAGTGGACAGGTGGCTATGGGGAGTGGAGAGTTGGAGCGAAGAGGTAGATGGATGGCTAATCACTAAGCTTGCACACACGATACAGGCATTCAAAAAGATATGGTGAATGGATGGCTCAACATGGATGTCCCGACTAGGTAGTGGCAGGAGCAGCGAGACACAGAAAAGAGATGCACACTCGTGCAGTCACTTTGCCGGGGACGTGCAATTGAATGGCCATCTTAAAGTCGATAGAGTTGGTGATGATTATCCATCGTTGATGAAATCCTATGAAGTTGTAAGAGAATCATACGCATCATTAGCGGAGAGCACGGGCAGCAAAGGCACCCACCTTGCCGGGGAAGTGCGATCGGATGGCCATCTTGAAGTCGATAGAGTTGGTGATGAGCATCCATCTCTGGTATGACTACTAACATCTTCAAAACTCCCAGATATCTTTTGCAGAGAGCAGAGGCACCCACCTTGCCAGGGAAGTGCGAGCGGATGGCCATCTTGAAGTCAATCGAGTTGGTGATGAGCATCAGCAGCAGCAGCAGCACCATTTGGGATCTAACTTCCATCACCGACGCTCACCTTGCCAGGGAAGTGCGAGCGGATGGCCATCTTGAAGTCAATTGAATTGGTGATGAGCATCCATCGCACTGTGAGAGGCGGGGGGTACCACATGTCCTCCACTGCCTGGCGGGATGGAGGAGAGGAGGGGACAGGAGGGGTGAAGAGGGGTGAGGAGGGGTGAAGAGGGGTGAAGAAGAAGAGTTAGCGAGGGACGTGGGGACCTGTTGGAGTGAGAAGCAGGGGGTACCACTTGGAGAGATGATTGTGGGGTGATGGTGGGATGATTGTGGGATGATGGTGGGGTGATGGTGGGATGATGGTGGGATGATGGTGGGATGATGGTGGGATGATGGTGGGATGATGGTGGGATGATGGTGGGATGATGGTGGGATGATGGTGGGATGTCACTGAGCGATGACACAACGCCAAGGCACCATTTTTTCAGGTGTTTTTGCTAGATTGTTTAAATGATACGCCACAGAAGAAAGCTCACCTTGGCACAGGCGAGGATGGGAGCAGCCTTTGCCATGGCAGCAGCAAAAGATAACGCATTCACTCGCCTCTCTAGTCCTGATTCCGGTTCACCTTGGCACAGGCGAGGATGGGAGCAGCGTTCTCCAGAGCAGCAGCCATGGAGGAGGGCAGTGACGCTGCTGCTGGTGGCGTGGCGTGGGGGTCTCTCACCACCACACTGTCACTCAGCCGCACGTGCAACCCCACCACCACCACCACCACCACCACCACCACCACCACCACCACCACCACCACCACCACCACCACCACCACCACCACCACCACCACCACCACCACCACCACCACCACCACCACCACCACCACCACCACCACCACCACCACCACCACCACCACCACCACCACCACCACCACCACCACCACCACCACCACCACCACCACCACCACCACCACCACCACCACCACCACCACCACCACCACCACCACCACCACCACCACCACCACCACCACCACCACCACCACCACCACCACCACCACCACCACCACCACCACCACCACCACCACCACCACCACCACCACCACCACCACCACCACCACCACCACCACCACCACCACCACCACCACCACCACCACCACCACCACCACCACCACTGCTACTCAGCCATGACCCAATTCTAACAGCAACGTTTTTGCTGGTGATTGGCGATAGGACTCGGACAAAGGCTCACCTTGGCACAGGCCAGAATAGGAGCGGCCTGTTCCAGGGCAGCAGTCATGGATGCGGGAGTGACGCTGGTGGTGGTGGCGTGGGGGTCTCGCACCACACTGTCGCTCAGCCGTGAGTCGATCTCTAAGGCGACTCCCCTCCCCTGATCCTAGCCCACTCACCTTCGCACAGGCGAGAATAGGAGCAGCCTGGGCCATAGCAGTAGCCATGGAGGCGGGAGTGACGCTGGTGGTGGTGGCGTGGGGGTCTTGCACCACACTGTCGCTCAGCCGTGAGTCGATCTCTAAGGCGACTCCCCTCCCCTGATCCTAGCTCACTCACCTTGGCACAGGCGAGAATAGGAGCAGCCTGGGCCATAGCAGTAGCCATGGAGGCGGGAGTGACGCTGGTGGTGGTGGCGTGGGGGTCTTGCACCACACTGTCGCTCAGCCGTGAGTCGATCTCTAAGGCGACTCCCCTCCCCTGATCCTAGCTCACTCACCTTGGCACAGGCGAGAATAGGAGCAGCCTGGGCCATAGCAGTAGCCATGGAGGCGGGAGTGACGCTGGTGGTGGTGGCGTGGGGGTCTTGCACCACACTGTCGCTCAGCCGTGAGTCGATCTCTAAGGCGACTCCCCTCCCCTGATCCTAGCTCACTCACCTTGGCACAGGCGAGAATAGGAGCAGCCTGGGCCATAGCAGTAGCCATGGAGGCGGGAGTGACGCTGGTGGTGGTGGCGTGGGGGTCTTGCACCACACTGTCGCTCAGCCGTGAGTCGATCTCTAAGGCAACTCCCCTCCCCTGATCCTAGCTCACTCACCTTGGCACAGGCGAGAATAGGAGCAGCCTGGGCCATAGCAGTAGCCATGGAGGCGGGAGTGACGCTGGTGGTGGTGGCGTGGGGGTCTCGCACCACACTGTCGCTCAGCCGTGAGTCGATCTCTAAGGCGACTCCCCTCCCCTGATCCTAGCTCACTCACCTTGGCACAGGCGAGAATAGGAGCAGCCTGGGCCATAGCAGTAGCCATGGAGGCGGGAGTGACGCTGGTGGTGGTGGCGTGGGGGTCTTGCACCACACTGTCGCTCAGCCGTGAGTCGATCTCTAAGGCGACTCCCCTCCCCTGATCCTAGCTCACTCACCTTGGCACAGGCGAGAATAGGAGCAGCCTGGGCCATAGCAGTAGCCATGGAGGCGGGAGTGACGCTGGTGGTGGTGGCGTGGGGGTCTTGCACCACACTGTCGCTCAGCCGTGAGTCGATCTCTAAGGCAACTCCCCTCCCCTGATCCTAGCCCACTCACCTTCGCACAGGCGAGAATAGGAGCAGCCTGGGCCATAGCAGTAGCCATGGAGGCGGGAGTGACGCTGGTGGTGGTGGCGTGGGGGTCTTGCACCACACTGTCGCTCAGCCGTGAGTCGATCTCTAAGGCGACTCCCCTCCCCTGATCCTAGCTCACTCACCTTGGCACAGGCGAGAATAGGAGCAGCCTGGGCCATAGCAGTAGCCATGGAGGCGGGAGTGACGCTGGTGGTGGTGGCGTGGGGGTCTTGCACCACACTGTCGCTCAGCCGTGAGTCGATCTCTAAGGCGACTCCCCTCCCCTGATCCTAGCTCACTCACCTTGGCACAGGCGAGAATAGGAGCAGCCTGGGCCATAGCAGTAGCCATGGAGGCGGGAGTGACGCTGGTGGTGGTGGCGTGGGGGTCTTGCACCACACTGTCGCTCAGCCGTGAGTCGATCTCTAAGGCGACTCCCCTCCCCTGATCCTAGCTCACTCACCTTGGCACAGGCGAGAATAGGAGCAGCCTGGGCCATAGCAGTAGCCATGGAGGCGGGAGTGACGCTGGTGGTGGTGGCGTGGGGGTCTTGCACCACACTGTCGCTCAGCCGTGAGTCGATCTCTAAGGCAACTCCCCTCCCCTGATCCTAGCTCACTCACCTTGGCACAGGCGAGAATAGGAGCAGCCTGGGCCATAGCAGTAGCCATGGAGGCGGGAGTGACGCTGGTGGTGGTGGCGTGGGGGTCTCGCACCACACTGTCGCTCAGCCGCACGTGCACCCCCACCACCACCGTCACTCAGCCGCGGGTGGTGGGCAGAGAGACATTATCGCTCAGCCGCACATGTACCCTTCCCCCCCACCACCGTCACTCAACCATGACACAACGGGCCTCAGAAGGCTCACCTTGGCGCAGGCGAGGATGGGAGCAGCCTGCGCCATAGCAGCAGCCATGGATGCGGGGTGGTGGTGAGGGGGTCTCGCACCACACTGTCGCTCAGCTGTGAGTTGGTCTTTTAGGCGCTTGAACTGTCTCACCTTGGCACAGGCGAGAATAGGAGCGGCCTGGGCCATAGCAGCAGCCATGGAGGTGGCAGTGACGCTCTTGATGGTGGCGTGGGGGTCTCGCACCACACTTTCGCTCAGCCTCACATGCACCCCCACCACCACTGTCCGCACCTCCCTCATCTCCTGCAGCAGCCGCGCCACCAGCGGCCATACCTCCTTCCTGGGTCTGAGTGAGGGGTGAGGGGTGGATGAGGGGTTGTTGGAGGTTGTGGGGAAAAGAAAGAGGGGGAGGGAAAGGAGGGGAGAGGAGAGGGGAGGGGAGATGTCATATGTCATCGCTCAGCCGCACATGCACCCCCACCACCACCGTCCGCACCTCCCTCATCTCCTGCAGCAGCCGCGCCACCAGCGGCCATACCTCCTTCCTGGGTCTGAGTGAGGGGTGGGAAGGGGGCGTGTGAAGAAAAGGAAGAGGAGAGGAAGGAAGGAATCAGAGAGCATCTCATTGCCATGCACACACCTCCCGCATTTCCTGCAGCAGCCTTGCCACCAACGGCCATACCTCCTTCCTGGGCCTGCAGTGAGGGGTGGGGAGGGGGCATAGAGTGGTGGGGAGGGGGCATAGAGAGTGGAGAGGAGGGGGCATAGAGTGGTGGGGAGGGGGCATAGAGTGGTGAGGAGGGGGCATAAAGTGGAGAGGAGGGGGCATAGAGTGGTGAGGAGGGGGCATAAAGTGGAGAGGAGGGGGCATAGAGTGGTGAGGAGGGGGCATAAAGTGGTGAGGAGGGGGCATAGAGTGGTGAGGAGGGGGCATAAAGTGGTGAGGAGGGGGCATAGAGTGGTGAGGAGGGGGCATAGAGTGGTGGGGAGGGGGCATAGAGTGGTGAGGAGGGGGCATAGAGTGGTGAGGAGGGGGTATAGAGTGGTGGGGAGGGGGCATAGATTGGTGAGGAGGGGGAATAGAGTGGTGAGGAGGGGGAATAGAGTGGTGAGGAGGGGGGATAGAGTGGTCAAGATGGGGCATAGAGTGGTGAGGAGGCAGCACACGCTAGTACGCTAGTGGGAGGGGGCATATGGTGGTGCGAAGGGGCATAGTGATGGTAGCGGGGGGATGTGCAAGTGTGATGGCAGCACTACTGCATCCCACTGGAATGGGATACTACATCATCATCTTACTGGCATGCCATGCACATACCTGACTGACGATGACTCAGAAAATAATTCAATTCATCCTATCCCATTGCAATGCACTTGAATGCAATGCATTGGCGTACTACCTGACAAGGAATCGGAGGATGCAGCCGAAGGCGTACGGTGGCCGCAGCCCGGTCGCCCTGAACGCATCGGCCCACTCGCCCGTCCTCTTTGTAAGCATCTCTGTCAGTATCCCGCGGTTCCACAGCACCTTCACGTTCCGAAACGCCTTAAACTTCCCCAACACCTCCAAATCCACTCGATTCCCGTTCAAATCCAGAAACGGAACCACCCCCGGCGAAAACGACTCGTTCAGGTTACTCGTGCGACGAGAGGGCTCCATGGGAACATCAGGGGACGGGCGCCAGTCGATGAATGCGGGTTCAAACGCGTACTGGATGCAGTCATGGCGGATCACAAACGCCCGGCGGTCCAAGAGCGCGGCGACAAAGGAGGAGACGATTCCCACTAGGAAGTCCCCAAACCCGCCGCAGTGCCCCACTTGGTCGAATGTGAGAAAGCGAACGGAGGAATCCGGAAGGGTTTGATTTGACAGGCTTGGGTTTCGAACTGCTGCTGCTGACGATGATGATGATGATGATGCTGCGGTTGGTGGTAGCGGTGATGGGGAATTTGCGAGAGAGAGCAATCGGCGGGAGGAGGGAGGAGGAGGGGGAGAGGGAGGGGGGGTGTAGGCGGCGGCACTGGCGGCGCGAATGGCGGAGTGCAGGCGGAGGTAGTCGTCCCGCCATGCCGTGCCACAGAGCGTGTCCGAATACTCAAATTCCACGTGGGCCGGGGACGAATCTGTCCTCGCTATAGTCAGACGCGACTGGAGCACCTGCGAGGTCGCCGGGGGATCAGGGCGTGTTGGGTGAGGGAATGGAGGGCTGGATAAGGGGGACGAATTTGACTGAGAGCAGGCATGTGTGAGATAGGAAATGTGGGGAAAGGAAGAGAGACAGGATCAGTGGGAGAGGGAGAAGCAGACGACAGCGTGGTAGTATGGGCTCAAAAACAGGATCATTGGGGAGATCAGGGACTTCCTCGGAGGAAGCCTTCCTAGGAAGAAGCAGATCATGGCGCTGGTCATGATGGGGAAGAAAGCAAGCGGTGATGGTCCGGGGACGACCGACGACAAACGACAGGTTTGCGCGACAGGTTTGCGCGACAGGTTTGCACGACAGGCTTGCGCGACAGCCTTCGTAACAGGCTTGCGTAGCGTCAGCCTTGGTTGGAGCGACAATTGCGTTGAGCGACATCTTGCGTTGAGCGACAGCGATTGCGTGGAGCGACAGGCATTGAGCAACAGCCTTGCGTCGAGTGGGTGACCGCGGGAAGATCAAGAAAGGCGAAAATGGGGATTGGAGAAGGGCTGAACTGCGGGAAAGGGAAGAAAGAGCTCGAGAAGGCGGAAGCATTACAGTGGCAAGGACTAGCATCGATGTTGCTGTCACCAGTAGCGATAGTAGTGATACACGGCGAGAACGTGGCGAAAACATCATGGCAGGTTACTTCAGGTAAGAGAACTTTGCCGGTCGCGAATAGTGTTCGCCAGTCGAAAAGCTGATCGCAATTGCGATTCCGGCGCTGATCGTCCTAGTAGTGATAACTAATGGAAATGCTTTTCATTGCGCGGTCAGGATGCGAGAAAATAGTAGGCTTGACAATTCATCGGAAACAGGCGAGCATCAGACACAGCTTCGATGTACGACAAATCAACGGTAAGCACTACTAATTCCAGCTGAGACGCTCCCTTGCCTGCAGAATAGTACTAATTTCACGGGTTTAGATTGCCGAATCAAATAGAAACGCGATGATCCTAAGGAGTAGCCTGCAATGCAAAGAACGGTGCAATCTAGCTGAAATGAAAACATTTGCGACCTGAGACATACACACACGGAGATGAGCAAGTGGTGGGACCCTTGGTGAAAACATTTGCGCAAATCAGACTTCTGATGACGGACTCGTGCCGCGTCAGGAAGGTAGGTAGGTGGCCGTTGTGATCGTACAGTAATTCGCCACGCACTCCTTCCGTTGTGATTCGTGGCTGTAGCGAGGGATCTCTGATTCCGAGCCTTCATGCGAAAGGTTTGTTTGAGGTGATGGTTGGTGCTGGTGTTTCGGCGAAACCCAATGACGAAGAGCCTCAACGAGCTTCATGAGCAGGGTAACCCGTGGAGCTGACGGTGCACGCTGACGATTCGGTTCTGGTAAATTCTGGTCTCTGGAGCTGCGACAGCGACAGAATCTGTTTTGTACAGCGACAGCACTGTTCCGGCAAAGTCTGTTCACCACCATTCGTTGCAGCTTCCACGTGGCACGAATTTGTTCTTCAGGGCGGGTCATACTGATCACGAATGTGGCACGAATGCGACCGTAACCATTGAATCTGAGTCTAAGTGCAGCTTTCTAATTACAATACAGAATAACCATTCGGAAATTTCAACAATAAACTGACGGCCAGGACACATCCAGCCAGATACAGGGGATCCGAACGTTAAGCAGCCCTGCCTACAGCCTTTACAACCTTAAACCCTGACCTACATCACCGCTTCTTGGGTTTCTTCTTAAACACGGGAGTCTGCACCTTCTCCATGTACAGCGCCAACTCCAGCGGCATCCACTCGCTCAGCCCGATCTCCTCCCGTGTGTCCCTCTCCCTCTCCCTCTCGCTAAACCGGCCCCGACTGAATCTCCTCCTCTCAAACTTGCCCGCTTTCTCTTGTCCCTCGTGCCCTTCTTGTTCCTCAAGCCTTTCCCTGCCAATGGCTCGCCCTTTTCTCTCGTTGCTCAGCTCTTCTCCAGCACTATTCTCCACTCTAAACCCTTGCTGGCCTCGATGCAGCCTGTCATCCCCCTCCTCCCTCCCAAGCTCCGCCTCTTCCCCTTCTCCCCACTCTTCATCCTCCCTGTCATCCCAATCATCGCCGCCATCATCCTCATCCTCGTCTCCTTCCTCTTGATCATCTTCCTCCTCCTCTTCTGCCTCCTCCTCCTCTTCTTCCTCCTCCTCGTCTTCCTCCTCCTCGTCCTCATCTCTTTCCTCCTCATCCTGAACATCAGAACCCCATGCATCATCAGACCACACCTCCCCACCCTCTTTCCCCTCCTCTCCCATCACTTCCCCCTCTCGGCCCTCCCTACCCATCCCTCCATTCCCCACCATCCTCTCCCCCTCCTCGTCCTCCTCCCTGTCCCTGCTCTCTCCCAACACACCATTTCCCCCCAAACCACCAACCCCCCCACCACCTCCCCCGACCCTCATCCTCACGCCCGGCCGAAGCTCATCCCTCAGGCTCGGCAGCACATGCGCCTCCATGAACTTCCACAGCCTCGTCGCCGTGGCTCCGCCGAACCGAATCAGGTTCGGCGCATCCCAAGGACTCTCCAACGCAACCCTCCCCATCTGAGCCTTCCATCTGAACCTATCCCTCGCTCCTCCACCCCCCTCCTCCCCCTCCCCACCCTCCTCTCCCTCTCCACCCCTCACCACTTTCCTCAACTTCTTCCCCGCCTTCCTCCCTCCCTTCTCCAGCACCCTCTGCCCCGGCCTTCTATACCTCATCTTCACGCCACAATCCCGCACCGACACGCACAGCGCCCGCGCAATCCGTCTCAAATCCCGACTCGAGTACTGCTTTGCATGCAGGATCATCCCCCCAGTCTCCTCACACCGCCTCCCACTGTACATGTACCAGTGCGCGAGCGTCTTAGGGGTGAGCCAGCGCTGTATGAGCTTCGGAATGACGCGCGGGCCCTGCGGGTGGTAGCGCTGTGCGTGGTAGCGGAGGGCCGTGTGGGGGATGGTGGCGAAGTGACGCACGCGGATCGGACGCACCCCTGCTGCTGCTAGAAGGTCGGCGGGTGGGTTGGAAGAGGAAGAGGAGGCGGCATCAGCGGCGTTAGCGGCGGCGGCGGCGGCTGCAGCAGCATCGGGAGGAGCATCCGGGGCGGGCGGCATGAGCAGCAGCATGTTTCTGGGCGGCGCACTCGCCCAAGAGCCAAACGCCCTGTACAGCCCATCCAGCAGATCTACACGGCCAGGATTGTCCAGCGGCTGCTCGAAATGAATCTCGTACGTCCGTTCGTTGTCCTGCGCAGCGATCCTCGCTCCACCCAGCAGCACCCCTGCCAACACCTGCCGCTGCTCCTTACTCAGCTTCATGCTCCGCGTCTCGTCCCTTTCAACCCTCAACTTCCCAAACACTGCTTCCGCCGCTTCCCTCGCCGCTCCTTCCAGCACCATCCCCGGTTTCCGGCCCCGATCCTTCCGGTTTCCCACCATGTCCAGATACAGCGAACGTACGGTTCTAGTGTCCCCAGCTGCGCCGCATGCAGCTATGATGAGGTTATAGGAGTGAGCATGAACGCCTATGTCCTGGTGGGAGTTCATTTCGAGGAATATTTTCTTGGCCATGCCCACGTTGCCGGCTTTGGTGTGCGCTGCCAGGCGCAGGTGGTAGGATGTGCGATCGGGAAGGCACCCCACCTGTGGGGGGGTGGGGGGGTGGGAGGGAGCTCGGACGAGTCAACGCCTATGTCCTGGTGGGAGTTCATCTCGAGGAAGGTCTTCTTGGCCATGCCCACATTGCCAGCTCTGGTGTGCGCTGCCAGGCGCAGATGGTGGGATGTGCGGTCGGGAAGGCACCCCACCTGCAACAAGAGAATGCACGGGATGGAGAGAAGGAAGAACAAAACACGTGTGGGATGAGTGAGAAGGGGGGCTTGGACTGCCAACGCATGTCCTGGTGGGAGTTCATCTCGGGGAAGATCTTCTTCGCCATGCCCACGTTGCCGGCTTTGGTGTGTGCTGCCAGGCGCAGGTGGTGGGATGTGCGGTCGGGAAGGCACCCCACCTGCAACAAGAGAATGCACGGGATGGAGAGAAGGAAGAACAAAACACGTGTGGGATGAGTGAGAAGGGGGGCTTTGACTGCCAACGCATGTCCTGGTTGGAGTTCATTTCGAGGAAGATCTTCTTGGCCATGCCCACGTTGCCGGCCTTCATGTGGGCTGCCAGGCGCAGATGGTAGGATGTGCGATCGGGAAGGCACCCCACCTGTTGGAGGGGAAGGGAAGAAAAAGAGTCGGCAACATGAAGAATATGAAAAAAGGCTAACAGTGGAGAGAGTAGGGAGGGAGGGACAAGGAGCAGCAGAGGCGAACAGAATTCTCAGAAACATTCTGCAAAAAAACAAGACCAAGGAGCACCTTCTTCATGCCTTGGAACCGCCTCTCAAGGTCGTTCAAGCGTGAGCGGTGGAGGTACATGTGCAGCAGCGCGTTCACAGCAGCAGCAGAAGCAGCAGAGTAACCGTATAGGACAAGCCAGCCAGAACCCACCTCTTTCATGCCTTGAAACCGCCTCTCGAGGTCGTTGAGGCGTGACTGGTGGAGGTACTTAGTTGGAATTGAAGCTGGGACAGGCCAGCGTCCAGCGTCAAAACGGACCGTTTTGACCCTGGACGGTGCCTGCATTTTTTTCGGGCAGCCCAAAATCGAAAAAAAACAAAACAAATCGGCAAAAAAATCACATTTTGGGAGTTCGCGCTGAAATCGCGACTCCAGATTTCACTCGACAAGACACAACACAGAAAAAGCACTTCAACAATATCCAACCCCCCCACCCCTTTCCACCGCACTACATCTACATCACCCAACCAAAACACACACATTTAGCCCACTCCTCAACTTACTCGACTGCATTCTAGGGTTTCGACCAGCAACAGTCTCCCATTGCTAGCATAGAGCGCGATCTTAGATTAGGGTTTTTAAGTCAATCTTTAGGCGGTTTTTTTTTTGCTGCCCGAAGGGTTTTTTCCGCCTGCCCGCCAGAGCGTCAAAACCACCGTCAAACTCTCAGAGGGTTCCGTCCAGCGTAAAAAACCGAATGAAATAGCAGAAGAAGAAATAGCAGCGGCAGAGAAACCGAATGAACCAACCCCAAACCCACCCCCTTCATCCCTTGAAAACGCCTCTCCAGGTCGTTGAGGCGCGACTGGTGGCGGTACATGTGCAGCAGCGCGTTTACAGCAGCAGCAGAGTGAATGGCAGGACCAACTCAGAACAGAACCCACCCACCTCTTTCATCCCTTGAAACCTTCTCTCAAGGTCGTTGAGGCGTGAATGGTGGAGGTACATGTGCAGCAGCGCGTTCACCGCAGCAGCAGCAACAACAGAGTAACCATATAGACCAAGCCAGAACCCACCTCTTTCATTCCTTGAAACCTTCTCTCAAGGTCGTTGAGGCGCGACTGGTGGAGGTACATGTGCAGCAGCGCGTTCACAGCAGCCGTGAGCGGCCCTCTCTCCGCCCGCAGCATGCCGCGGAAAAACGCCTCTGCTTCCTCTCCCCACCTCTCCGCCTCCCTCCTGCGCCCATCAGCCCCGCTCGCCACCGCTGCTCCTGCCAGCGCTGCGAGATACGCATTGCACGCCCGCAGCCCGGGAAGACTCTCTCCCCCCCCATCTGCTGCTGCTGCTGCTTCCCTGCTTCCCATACGCGTGCCCCGCGCTGCACGCTCCCACTCCCCCACCCTCCCTCTGCTTGCATCTCCCATCATCCCCTCCTCATCGCCCTCCGCCCACTCTCCCACCCCCCTCTTGATCGACATGACATGCGGCCATGCGGCAATGCTCGCCTCATACCGCCCTGCATGGTTCAGAGCCTCCATATACGCTGCCCACACCCTCTCCCCCACCTCATACCCCCTCTCTCCGCCCTCTCCGCCCTCCTCCCTTGCTACCTCAACCGCTCTCTTCCTCCCTCGCTCGCCCTCTCCCTCCCCTACTCCCACCCCCACAGCCTCTTGTAGTTCACTCATGGCCGCACACGCATGCTCAGCCAGTGCTGCAGCAGGCAACTCCCCATCCTCCTCTCCCACCCCTGTACCTCCTCTGCTGTAACCTCTACCTCCTCTACCCATGTCTCTATGCGACCCCACCATTCCCCCTTTCTCTTTCCACTTTTTTCTCCGATACACCGCCCGGGCGCATGCAAACACCACCGCTTCGACCGCCTGGGGCGGCACCGTTCGTCCCGACGCGGCCAGGTCGTCTCGCATCTGCTGTAACAGGGTTACCACCTTGCTGACGTGGCCCTCCCTGGCATGATGCCGCACCAGAGACGCATACATTTGGAGCAGAGGGGCCGAGCTGCGCTGCTGATTCTTCCCTTCCCTCCTCTCCCTCGTCTCTCGTAGGAGCGCTTCTGCCTTGTGCATGTGGCGGCCTCTCCACTTGGGGCTGGAAAAGGCCTGCAGGAAGGGGAGTGGAGGGCGTTGGGGAGTTTTTGAGGTGCCTAGTATGCAATGGGTATGCAATGGGTATGCACGAGAGGGCATGCACAGGGGACAGCCCACTGACAGGGAAGCAAGGCAAACCACGCACCTCGAACATCTGCTGTATAAGCCAGTCGGGTGTGCTGCCCCTGCCCCCCTCCCGCTCCCCCATGCCATACAGCTCCCACACCCGCTCCATCTCATCATGCGCCGACTTCAGCAGCGGACCCATGCACGCCTGCCTGCACCGTACATGCCGCGTACAGTGCACCTCCCACCTCATGCGCGGACTTGAGCAGCGCGCCCATGCACGCCTGCACCGTGCAGTGCACCTCCCACTCATCAGCTCACCCACCCGCCCCCATGCACGCCTGCACCGTACATGCCACGTGCAGTGCACCTCCCACTCACTTCCAAGCATTCTCTCCCACTCACACAACCAATCCACGCACCTCGAACATTTGATTGACAAGCCAGTCGGGAGTGCTGCCCCTGCCCCCCTCCCGCTCCCCCATGCCATACAGCTCCCACACGCGCTCCATCTCATCATGCGCAGACTTTAGCAGCGCCCCCATGCACGCCTGCACCACGCGCAGCGGCACAGCCGGCCCCACCAGCACTGCAGGCGACTGAGAAGGCACAGCAGCAGGCGTCGCACCCTCTCCCCCCTGCGCCGTGCGCACTGGCAGCACCGGCGGGTGGGGCAGGTTGGGCGGTTGGGGCGGCGAGGGCAGGAGGGGCTGGGAAGAGGCCCCTGTGCTGCCCTGTGCCTCCGGTGGTGGTGCGTGGGATTGGTAGGAGAGGCAGTGGTCGAGCAGGGCGAGCATGGGTGGGATGCGGTGCGTGCGCGCTAGGAGGAGGAGGAGGGAGGAGAGGAGCGGCGGGGAGGGCGAGTAGAAGGGCTGCTGCTGCGCCCACTGGAGGATCTGGAGGGGTGAGAGGGAGGGAACGGGAGGGAAGGCGTAGGATGCATTGAGATTGCGCCCTGCCTGTGAGAGGGCGAGTAGAATGGCTGCTGCTGCGCCCACTGGGGGATCTGGAGGGGGAGAAAGGGAGGGAACGGGAGAGGAAGGAGGAAATGTGAGAGAAGGTGTGTGTGGGATGCATTGAGATTGCGCCCTGCCTGTGAGAGGGCGAGTAGAATGGCTGATGCTGCGCCCACTGGAGGATCTGGAGGGGGAGAAAGGTGCGGGGGGTGCACGAGAGACAGGAGGAAATGAGAGAGAGGGAGTGTGGGTTATCTTGAGGGCGAGTAGCAGGGCTGATGCTGCGACAACAGCATAACACCCCCTCCTCACTCACCCTGTAAGCAAAGCACGAATGCCGTCCCCCCGCCCCATCATACCCTCCACCAGCCACTGCGCTTCCCCTCACCCCACCCGCCTATCCACAACACTCCCTCCCCCCCACCCCTGCCACACAACCCCCGCCCTCCTCACCCTGTAAGCGCGGATGCCGTCCCCCCGCCCCATCATGCCCTCCACCAGCCACTGCGCCTCCGCCCACCCCATGCGCCCCTCGCGCTCCTCCCCACCTTATCCCCCTGCCACCTGATCCCCACCCCGGACTGCCATCCCACTGCATCCTCACTACAAACCCATCCCCACCACTCCGCTCTCACCCTGTAAGCGCGGATGCCGTCTCCCCGCCCCATCATGCCCTCCACCAGCCACTGCGCCTCCGCCCATCCTATGCTCCCCTCCCGCCCCGCCCTCTCCAGCGCCCTCCCCAGCGCCTCCCGCCGCATCCGCGCCAGATTGTCGCGCAGCCTCTCCATCTCCCGCCCCGCGGGGGGAACCGCTGGGGGAAGCTTCTCCGCCACGCCTTCCGCACTCCTCCCTCCGCCAGATCCGGCCCTTTCTCTCCCCCGCGCGCCCTGCTCTCCCCCCGTCGACTGTGCCCCTGCGCGCACTTCCCGCCTCCTGCCCCCGCTCAATCTCCCCCCTTTCCGCGCGCTGGCGTTTCTTCTTCCCCCCGCGTCCCCATGCTCCGCCGCCTTTTCGGTCCCGCATTTCCGCCAGCCGCCTTGATTCCCCCCTCCCCATCTTCCGCCGCCTCCCCTTCCCCCCGCAGCCTCTGCAACCGCGGTTCCCCCACGCGAACCCTCCGCCGCTGCAAATTCCCCCCCGCTGGCCAGCCCCCGCAGAGAGAAGACGGGGGGACCTGAGGCTTGAGAGTCATAGCGTCCGCGCGGGAATGGAGGGAATTGTGTGACGCCATGAGTAGGGGAGACTGACGACAGCAGCCGAAGCGATTGTATATAATGCGGGAGAGAGGTTTTGGTTGATGATTGAGTCAACTGAGTTGATTGAGTCAATTGGGTAAACTGGGTCAAATGAGTCAACTGATCTGATTGATTTGACTGAGTCCAGTGATTCAACTTAGTTGACTGAGTCAACGCATCATAGGCAGGTCTCGCTGCCGCCGTGCGATACCCATTGCGCGCCGCCGCGCGGCGATCCCGCGGCGGTGCAATCGGAGCTCGCCAGCTGGCAGCCGGAGATTCGGCGACGCTGCACCGACGCCACGCGCGGCAGAACGCGATTGGCCAGGCGGTTCCACCAGAGCCTCGCATCGCCGCCGTGGCTGGCCCCGGCTGGTGCTGACGCGGCTACTGGTTGTTGGGTGCCTGAACGCGCCTCGCCCCCCATTCAACGGTTCGGAATGAAGAAAGAGAAATCCCAAGCGCTGATTGAGCCTCAATCTCCTGTACTCATTAAGAGGCAACGCATTACGGTCCGAACCGATCGTAGTGTAGCTGCTACAATGATGGGCCTCCTTGGGTAAACGTTGAACCTTCAGAAAACTATAACCCTTGGTAAACCCTCAGGTTGTCGTATAGCAATCTGATAACGGAGAAATTCGTAGCGGGTTTGGATTGGAACCGATCGATCATCCCTTTTCACGCAGACCACAAACCCATACCCTCAACCCATTCCCGAATCCCGAATTCGGAAACACCTCCATACCAGATTTGGCAGCACTCGGCGCAGCACGCCGCTAGTCTCCGCAACCCACGCATCCTATAAAGAATTTGTATCCGTCCCGCGTGACTATAACGGGAGGCATGGCGGCGGTGAGCGCGGACGCGGTGTGCGCGTGGCTGCTGCAGACGACGAGCGCGGACGAGGCGGCCGTGCGATCCGCCAGCTCAGCGTTGGAGGAAGCTTCCAAGCACCCGGAGTTCCTGGGCCACGTGCTGTCCGTCGCAGCAGGTGCGCAACGTTTGCCGCCCCGCTTCCCCCGCCCTTCCTCCCCCCGCACGCTCCCTTCGCCCCCCTCGCGAGTTCGCCCTGCGGGAAACTGCAGCTCCTCGCAAAGTAAACGGTGAATTCGCCTTTTGCTTTGTAGGAATCTAGAGAAGAGCTTCAGTCTCCCGCATTCTCGGAGTAGGTCGAGATTCACTCGACTCGTCCTTGTCCGCCTGCTCCTCCTCGTCCCCATTCTCATTCTCATTCTATTTCTCGCCGTGCGGATGCCACCTCGCGCGGGAAGGTGCCACCTCGCGGTTGCCACCTCCTTTTCGAGCTGATCTCGACCGTACAGTCCCCACGCGCCCTGGATTCCAGTCACATTGCGGGTGACATTCGGCAATTGAAGTCAACACCCGCAGTGTGATTGCCTTCCCCGTACGGTACCTGACTTCTCCCGTCCTCCATCCCCTAAGCCTCTACGCCAGTCCCCGGATCCCCCGCGGGTCTAACCATCACGCTGGCGTGCTTGCATGCATCAAGCCCCCTCCGTCCAACCCTCGGCCTTTTCCCCTTCCCCCGCCCACCCCCCCTCCCCCCACCCTCTCCGCCAGTGTCCGGCTCCTTGGCGGATCTCCCCGGCGCATCTCCCCGGCGGATCTCCCCGGCGGATCTCCCCGCCGCGTTGGCGTGATTGCATGCATCACGCCCCCTCCGTCACCCCCCCTCATTTTCCCCTCCCCCCGCCCTCCCCTTCCCCTCCCACTGCTCTCCCCCAGTGCCCGGCTCCCCAGCAGCTCTCCCCGCGGCCCTGAATTTCAAGAACGTGGCGGTGGCGAGGTGGCGGAGCGCGGACAGCAAGGGGCGGGTGCACCTGCCCACACTCTCCCCTCCCGTACCTCTCCCTTCCTTCCCCTCTCCGCCTGCAGTGCCTGGTTCCCCCGCGGCTCTACCTGCAGCTCTGTATTTCAAGAACGTGGCGGTGGCGAAGTGGAGAGGCGCGGGCAGCAAGGGGCGGGTGCAGCTGCCGGGGGGAAAGGAGGAGCAGGAGGCAGTGCGGGTGCAACTGGTGGAGGTGCTACTGCGATGTGGGCAGGGGAAGATTCTCAATGTGCTGATTGAAGCGGTACGTGGTTGTATAGAGAGGGGGGCTTGCCCGTGTGGTGTGGGTAGTTCCAATGAAGTTGTGACTCAACAGGGAGCGGGTGCAACTGGTGGAGGTGCTACTGCGGTGCGGGCAGGGGAAGATTCTCAGCGTGCTCATTGAAGCGGTACGTGGTTGTATAGAGAGGGGGGCTTGCCCTTGTGGGCAATTTCAGAGGGGGTGTGACACTCACACAGGGAGGAGCAGGAGGCAGTGCGGGTGCAACTGGTGGAGGTGCTCTTGCGGTGCTGTCAGGGGAAGATTCTCAGCGTGCTGATAGAAGCGGTATGTGAACCTTGCTCTAAAAGGGGTGTGACCCTCACACAGGGAGCAGGAGGCGGTGCGGGTGCAACTGGTGTAGGTGCTTCTGCGGTGCACACAGGGGAAGGTTCTCAGCGTGCCTATTCAAGCGGTATGTGACTGTAGAGGGAACAAACAATTGTTTCAGCTGGTGACTGAAAGCTGTTCGTTTGGTTTCCATTCTTGCAGCATTTTTCCAAAAGCCTGCTTTCCTCCCCTCCCACCATACCCATCATCAGTTCCCTGCTGTCGTTCGCACCGAGTTGGCATCCCCCTCCGGCTGGCCCCAACTGCTCCCGGGCCTCAAAGCCGCTCTGCCTTCCTCGCCCTCCCCTCCTCTCCTCTCCCCTCCCCTCCCCCAATCCCCATCCCCATCAGTTCTCTGCCGTCGTGCGCACCGAGTTGGCTTCCCCCTCCGGCTGGCCCCAGCTGCTCCCGGGCCTCAAAGCCGCTCTGCTCTCCAGCGATCTCATCCAGGCCGTCGGTTCCGCCTCAGCCGCTGCTCCTGGGCCGTCGGATCCTGCCTCTGCAGCAGCAGCGACGTTCTCTACAGTCACTGTGCTTACAGTCCTCCGCGCTGTCACCAAACCATACCGGGTATGTCCTGGCCTTCTCTGCAGGATAATTTTGAGAATTCTGAAAGATATCCTTCTCTACAGTCACTGTGCTTACATTCATTTGCGCCGTCAACAAACCATACCGGGTATGCTGTGATATCTTTTAAGGTGCTTCAAAAGTCATTCTCTACAGTCACAGTGCTTACAGTCCTCCGCGCTGTCACCAAGTCATACCGGGTATACCATTCTCTGGTCTGACATGACGCAGCATGTGAGAGGTAAACCAATATGGTTTGTCCAGAGGTAAACGGAACCAAACTGGGCATGCTCCGACCTGATCACTTCCGACAACACTTTTGAGCATCTCAAAAGTCAAAACAAGCCAAAGTGTACGGGGATTGGTTGGCTATGTCCCCCTGACATGGTAGACACAACTCTGAACGCCATCGGTGCAGGAAAGCAGGTCAGGTTACGCCCTGGCTGGCACAGCATGAATGAATAACGTTCCGAGTCATCACAAAGTGACCCGCCTGCGAAAATAAGTTTACAATTAGAGGAGACCCCCGGCTTGCTGCGATTCGAGCTTATCGATACTTCTTGCTCCGAGCCGAGACAGCATAAAGACATGGCATGTTCAGTTCAGACATCTGTAGCAGAACCGCCCACATTTGGATGGAGTGCTTTGGTCCTTCATGTTCAGTTCTTTTGATTGCTTCAGAAGCTGCACTCGCGACAATCACTGTGCGTACATCCCCTCCTTTGTGCCCTGCCGTTCGTCCCTCAGTCTCCTCTCTACCCCTTCTTCGACTCCCCCGTCCCCTCCCCTACAGTACTTCCTCGGTCCTTCCAGCAATAAGGAGCCGGTACCACCAGTGCTGGAAGCACTACCAGTGCTGGGCAGCCTTATGCATTCGCAATGCATGTCATCCCATCTCTCTTTGCTGCTTGTCCCCCTCCTCTGTCTTGGCTTGGCCCCCCCTCACCACAGTATTTCCTAGACCCTACTAACGACAAGGAGCCGGTGCCGCCAGTGCTGGAAGCGATTGCATCGGACCTGCTGCTGCCACTCATGCCCCTCATGCACCACCTTATCGCGGCTCAGGTGTGTGTGACTGCTTGCATGGCATGACATGGCGTGGCGAGAGCATGGCATGGCATGGCATGGCATGGCATGATAGTGCTGGAAGCGATTGCATCGGACCTGCTGCTGCCACTCATGCCCCTCGTGCACCACCTCACTGCGGCCCAGGTGTGTGTGACTGCTTGACAGGTGATGTGCGCGTTCATGGGACAGTGCAGTGCATAGCACAGCATGGCATGGCACTGTTTAGGTCATACCTGCTGCCCATCATGCCCCTCATGCACCACCTCATTGCGGCCCAGGTGGGTGTGACTGCTGGATGGGTGATGTGCATGGCATGGCACGGCATGGCATGACACTGTTGACGTCAGTCAGACCTGCTGTTGCCGCTCGTGCCACTCCTGCACCACCTCACTGCGGCCCAGGTGTGACTGCTTGACAGGTGATGTGCGCGTTCATGTGACAGTGCAGTGCATAGCACAGCATGGCATGGCACTGTTTAGGTCATACCTGTTGCCGCTCGTGCCGCTCCTGCACCACCTCATTGCGGCCCAGGTGTTACTGCTTGATGGGTGGTGTGTGCGATGGGCATGGGGCATGGAAAGGCATCACATGGCATGGCATGGCATGGCATGGCATTGGTATGATAGTGATGGAAGCATCTCTGTTACCTCCGACACATGTTGCTGCCTCATGCCACTCGTGCGCGACTTAACATTGCTCATTCCCCTCCCTCCCATCCTCATGCCGCCCCTGTCTTCATGCCCCTCCTCTCCTGCATGCCTCTCCCTTCCTCGCACTGTGGTGCCCCCAGGCGCAGCAGTCAAGCCCCCAAGCACATGATGAAGCCCTTCTGCTCATTCTCAAAACGCTCCACCTCTCGGTGAGTGCGCTTTCTGTGACTGCTCCTCTTTGCGAGTGCACACCTCTCTGCTAGTCTACACGTTCCCCGTAGCACGTTTCTATCACATAACAAATCCCCCATGACACATAGCACGTTCGTGAAATAGAGCTTCACTTACTCTGTGAGACGTCTCAGACTACGGCCCTAAACCCCTCACGTCGCCCCACACGTGAGACGTCTCAGACTACGGTCGGTCCACAACCCCTCAAGCAAGGTTGGCTAGGCCACGATCCACAGCCCCTCATTCTCCTCTCTCGATGATAACCCAGCCAACATTGCTTAGCTTCCTTCCTCTTCTACCCCACGCCGCACGCGCACTCTTCGTCACTGCCCTCCCCCCTTCCTGTCCCTTAATTTGCCCACGTCGCCCCGCACGTTCAGAGCCACATGCCATCAGCCATCCGCAAGCACATCGACAGCATTGTTCCGGAGCTGTTGCAAGCACACTCTTCTCTTATACGGTACTCTACCCTCCTCCCCTTCATGCCCCCCTTGCCCCCACCCCCACAGGTTCAGAGCCACATGCCATCGGCCATCCGCAAGTTCCAGAGCTGCTGCTGCAAGCACACTCTTCTTCTCCGCCCGTCTCCCCTTCCTGTCCCCCTTGCCACCCCCTCCCCACACAGGTTCAGAGCCACATGCCATCGGCCATCCGCAAGCACATCGACAGCATCGTTCCGGAGCTGCTGCTGCTGCTCTCACACTGCCCACCCACCCTCGCCGCAGCAGCAGCGGCTGCAGGGCAGGAGGAGGGGGAAGTGATGGATGGGGGAGGAGGGGAAGAGGGAGGGGCGGCAGGAGCAGTGTGGGAGGTGCGGCTGAAAGGGTGCAAGCGAGCGCTGCAGATCTGTCATTCACTGGCCAGCCGGCACCAGAAGCTGACCAACAAGTGAGTGGGCCCTGTGCTTCCAGTGTTACTTGGTAACTCGTGTCTCGTCTCACAGATTCAAGGATGTTCATGTAGGAGGTGCGGCTCAAGGGGTGCAAGCGAGCACTGCAGATCTGCCAGTCACTGGCCAGCCGGCACCAGAAGCTGGTCAACAAGTGAGTGGGCTCGCTGCTTCCAGTGTCACAGGATAGTGGGCTGAAGGTGCGGCTGAGCTGAAGGGGTGCAAGCGAGCACTGCAGGTCTGCCAGTCACTGGCCAGCCGGCACCAGAAGCTGGTCAACAAGTGAGTGCCTCTCTGCTTGGAGTGTTACTTGGTAACTCGTGTCTCGTCTCACAGATTCAAGGATGCTCACTCATGTGGGAGGGGATTTGTGGCTTAAGGGGAGCAAGCGAGCGCTGCAGATCTGCCAGCCAGCCGGAATCATAAGCTGACGAACAAGTGAGTGCTGGTGCTTCTAGTGCCAGTGGAGGGTAACGCATCTTATTTCGTTCCTGCTCGGGATTCCCTCTCCATCTTTCCCTCTCCTCGCTCTGTCCGCCCCATATTGTTGCGCGCCTTCCAGGCACTTTCCTGCCATGGTGGATGGCATCACGGCCATCGTCTGCAACTCTCTGTGGACCAGTCAGGTGCGGACACGTGGCAGGAACTTTGCTTGCTTGCTGTGCCACGTGGGTGCTGTTGCCGCCCTCCTTTCCGCAGTGTTGCTCGTTGGTGATCCGATGATGTTTGTGGTGCAGCGATTGGATGTTGCTCCGTTTGGGTACTATCATATCAAGGCTCATATCAATCCATAGCACAGCACAGCACAGTTGCGCTCGGTATCATCACTTTTGAGAATTCTCCAAACATTGCGGCGGCTAAACACCAACATTGCGGCGGCTAGATGTTGCTCCGTATGGGTACTATCAAGCCATAGCACAGCACAGTTGTTTTTCTCGGTAGCATCACTGTTTGTTGGAGTCACGGTACCGTTCGCTATTATCACTGATTAATCTTGTGTGACAGCTTTTTGAAAAAGGAAAAAAACTGTTTTTTTGCCTTCCCCCTCACCCGCAAGACTTCTTTCACCCTTCTTGTCAACTCCCCGTTCCAGCTCCCGTCAGCGGCCCGTCGCGTCATTGCAGTGGCGTTTACAGCCATAGCTCAAGTTCTCGACTCTGCGCCGGTGAGTCCTTTAAAGGCGCCTCAAAACTTGTGAGGCGCCTCAAGGGTCAAGACCCACCCGTCGCATCATTGCAGTGGCGTTTACAGCCATAGCTCAAGTTCTCGACTCTGCTCCGGTAAGCTTTTTAGGGTCGACCTTAAAGTCGCTTCCTAACAATGCCCCACCGACCGACCCAAGACACGCCTTTCATTGTCTCACTCTTTCACCCAAGGCACGGATAAGTAAAAGTGTTGTGAGACGTCTCAAAACTCTCTAACAACAATGCCCCACCGACCGACCCATGACATGCCTTTCATTGTCTCACTCTTTCACCCAAGGCACGGATAAGTAAAAGTGTTGTGAGACGTCTCAAAACTCTCTAAGAACAATGCCCCACCGACCGACCCAAGACACGCCTTTCATTGTCTCACTCTTTCACCCAAGGCACGGATAAGTAAAAGTGTTGTGAGACGTCTCAAAACTCTCTAACAACAATGCCCCACCGACCGACCCAAGACACGCCTTTCATTGCCTCACTCTTTCACCCAAGGCACGGATTAATAAAAGCGTTTTGAGACGTCTCAAAACTCTCTAAGAACAATGCCCCACCGACCGACCCAAGACACGCCTTTCATTGCCTCACTCTTTCACCCAAGGCACGGATTAATAAAAGCGTTTTGAGACGTCTCAAAACTCTCTAAGAACAATGCCCCACCGACCGACCCAAGACACGCCTTTCATTGCCTCACTCTTTCACCCAAGGCACGGATTAATAAAAGCGTTTTGAGACGTCTCAAAACTCTCTAAGAACAATGCCCCACCGACCGACCCAAGACACGCCTTTCATTGCCTCACTCTTTCACCCAAGGCACGGATTAATAAAAGCGTTTTGAGACGTCTCAAAACTCTCTAAGAACAATGCCCCACCGACCGACCCAAGACACGCCTTTCATTGCCTCACTCTTTCACCCAAGGCACGGATTAATAAAAGCGTTTTGAGACGTCTCAAAACTCTCTAAGAACAATGCCCCACCGACCGACCCAAGACACGCCTTTCATTGCCTCACTCTTTCACCCAAGGCACGGATTAATAAAAGCGTTTTGAGACGTCTCAAATGAAAGAAACTAGGAGCTATGGAAACTTGAGGAATAATTGTTAACATTAGCTCAAGAGAGCACAAGGTTATACAAGGAAGAGAAGGTTGGAGAGGAACACCAAACCTAGCACATAAGACACCAAGACCAAGTAGGCTAGTGGGAGGAAGGACCATCCAACCAACCCTAGTGGGATGGTGGCCAACCAACCAAAGTTGGTTGCCCCACTTGGCCAACAAGGTTGGAGTCAAGTCTAAGCTAGAATATTTGGGTTCACCCCAATTAGGGTGTCTTCCCGCAGTACACCCAAAACTAGGGCCTGAACCAACCCAACTGTACACCACTCTTGGTGTACAGTCACAAGTGTTCGCATGCTATAATATATATATTCTAACATCAAAACTCTCTAAGAACAATGCCCCACCGACCGACCCAAGACACGCCTTTCATTGCCTCACTCTTTCACCCAAGGCACGGATTAATAAAAGCGTTTTGAGACGTCTCAAAACTCTCTAAGAACAATGCCCCACCGACCGACCCAAGACACGCCTTTCATTGCCTCACTCTTTCACCCAAGGCACGGATTTCTCTCAAGAGTAAGACCTTTTCCGTGTCAATTCAACGTCTCCACACCCCCACCTCCCCACGCCCTCATCTCCCCACGCCCCACGCCCCATGTCCATGCCCCACACTCCATGCTCTTACGTTTGTAGGGGTGGAAGGTGGTGGCTCCCCTGTTCACCCATCTGCTAGAGGTGAACCGGGGAGCCACCCTCAGTCCCATGGAGTTCACTCCACTGGGGATTCATTCCACTGCCACCGCATACCCCATGCCGCACACCTGCCCCTTTAACGCTCCCTTCTCATGTACCCACAGGGCTGGAAGGTGGTGGCTCCGCAGTTCGCGCATCTCCTAAAGGCAGCCATCTTCCCCCAAGAACCAATCCCCCCATCCATGCTCCCACACCCCCTGCCCGTGTGCCCACAGGACTGGAAGGTGGTGGCTTTGCAGTTCGCCCACCTGCTAGAGGCTTCCATCTCCCCCCAAGAACCAACCCACACTGAATCCCCTTAATCCTCCCATCCATGCTCCCACACCCCCTGCCCGTGTGCCCACAATGCCCCACCGACCGACCCAAGACATGCCCTTCATTGTCTCACTCTTTCACCCAAGGCACGGATTAATAAAAGTGTCCTTCATTGAGACGTCTCAAAACTCTCTAACAACAATGCCCCACCGACCGACCCAAGACATCCCCTTCATTATCTCACTCTTTCACCCAAGGGATTTCTCTCAGAATGAGACCTTGTCCGTGTCAATTAAACGTCTCCACAACCCCATCTCCCCACGCCCCACACCCCATGTCCCATGCTCCCACGCCCCACGCCCCATGTCCCATGCTCCCACGCCCCACGCCCCATGTCCCATGCTCCCACACCCCACGCCCAAATGCCCGCAGGGCTGGAAGGTGGTGGCGCCTCAGTTCGCCCATCTCCTAGAGGCAGCCATCTCCCCCCAAGAACCAATCCCCCCATCCATGCTCCCACACCCCCTGCCCGTGTGACCACAGGGCTGGAAGGTGGTGGCTCCACAGTTCGCCCATCTCCTGGAGGCTGCCATCCTCCCCCAAGAACCACCCCCCACTGAATCCCCTTAATCCGCCATCCATCCATCCATGCTCCCACACCCCCTGCCCGTGTACCCACAGGGCTGGAAGGTGGTGGCTCCGCAGTTCGCGCATCTCCTAAAGGCAGCCATCTCCCCCCAAGAACCAACCCACACTGAATCCCCATAATCCCCCATCCCCATCTCCCCCCAAGGTGGTTGCTCCGCAGTTTGCCCATCTGCTAGAGGCTGCCATCTTCCCCAGAACCACCCCATCCCCAATTACCGCATCCATGCCCCACGCCCCCTTCAATCTTGCCCCATGTGCGTGCAGGGCTGGAAGGTGGTGGCTCCTCAATTCGCGCATCTCCTAGAGGCTGCCATCTTCCCCGCACTCTGCCTGCACCCCCACGTGAGCGCTCTCCCCCCCTCTCCACCCCTCTCCACCCCTCTCCACCCCTCTCCACCCCCCTTTATCTGAGAGTATTTCCATGCTCTGCCCAAACGTGCGTGAGCGTCCCCACCCCCTTCTTTGGTGCGGTGAAGTTACAGTACGCTGACTGCACTGATTATGTTCTTGAGGCGCCTCAAAACTAGACCTCAAAACTGGACCCCCCACCCCCTTCTTTGGTGCGGTGAAGTTACAGTACGCTGACTGCGCTGAATATGTTCTTGCGGCGCCTAAAAAATCGTCTCAAAAATCGTTTTGAGGCGCCTTAAAAATCGTCTCATCTCCCGCCCCCACCTCCTTTTTTGGTGCGGTGAAGTTACAGTACGCTGACTGCACTGATTATGTTCTTGTTGCAAGACTGTCGTCAATTACTCACTCCATAGTCTCAAATCAAACTACTGTCTGGATGTTCCATGTATGGGGGTCCTCACGTGTATTTCGAGTCGACTCATGCCACATCATGTCGCATCATGTCGCATCATTTCACATCATTTCACTCAGACCCATAGTCTTGGACTACTGCCATCTATGGGGGTCTCCAACTCGTCTTTTGTTTTCCAGTCTTTGCTCTTGCTTCTCGAGGAACTCGTAATCACAAAGCGTGTTTTCTGTGCTTTTTGGGCGGCAGGATTTGGAGCTGTGGGATGAGGACGAGGAGGAGTACGTACGACGGAATCTCCCCACGGATTTAGTGAGTGGCGGTGGTTTTTTGTGATAGGTACCTACCATCAGTAACGGCAGCAGCATCATAATCCATCTTCCCATCACTCTCCTTGAATTGCGCTCTCATTTCATCCCCCTTCTCCCCTTTCTCGTTTCGTGTGGCCAGGATGACATGGTTTAGATTGAGAGCTATGACCCACGGCAGTCTTTGTTTTTTTAACGCCTCAGAAAGAGACAATTCTTTTCCCTCCTCCCTGATTTCTGATATTTCTGTAATCAGGATGACATGGTTTAGATTGAGAGCTATGACCCACGGCAGTCTGTTTTTAAGGCGCCTCAGGAACTGATACCTCTCTTTCCCCCTCCCCATTTCTTTTCTACCTTGTTGTAATCAGGATGACATCGATGAGATTGAAAGCTATGACCCGCGGCAGTGCGCTGCTCACCTGCTCGCGCTGATTGCCACCTCCAAGGTAGAGTGTGGTGCAGTGCGGTGTACCATCACCAAGCTTCTGATACATACATGCATAAATACATGTACACATACATGCGTTCGTCATGCATCATACTTGACCCGCTGCAGTGTGCTGGTCACGTGCTGGCGCTCATCCATCCATCCATCCATCCATCCATCCATCCATCCATCCATCCATCCATCCATCCATCCATCCATCCATCCATCCATCCATCCATCCATCCATCCATGCATACATGCATGCAAGCACACGTATGTACTCATCATATGAGCATACACACGCATGCTAAACCTCACACACGCACGCACCTCTTCTTACCCACACACTCGTTCCTATGTGTCAAGCCTTCCTAGTTCCTCGCTCGTTTCTCCTCGCTCCTTGCTTTCAACTGCACAAGCAGAAGGCAGGGCGAGACAGCGAGTCCCTCTTCAAGCATTAAGGCGTATTTTGCTGCAGGGTGTTTTTGAGAATTCTCAAAAACACCCTGCAGAATTCTCAAAAACACCCTGCAGAATTCTCAAAAACACCCTGCAGCAGAAGGCAGGGCGAGACAGCGAGTCCCTCTTCAAGCATTGAGGTGTATTTTCAGGCGCCTCAGAATACACCGGGTCCCTCTTCAAAATCAACTCTCCCCACACTTGCTCGTCCCGTTTGCCTCTCCTCCTTGCATGGTAAGCAGGGAAGCCCAGCCAAGGGCAAGCCGGGCGCAGCAGGAGCAGCAGCAGCAGCAGCTGGCAAGTCCACGTCACCAGCAGCGGGCAGAAGGAGACAACGAAGGCCGGCCGCTACCAAGGACACTGACGCAGCAGCAGCTACAGTGGTGCTTCCGTTCCTCTCCAGGTGCGTGCATGCGTGTGTGCATGTGTGTGTGCGTGTGTGCATGTGTGTGTGCGTGCGTGTGTGTGCGCGTGCGCACATGTGCGTGCATGCGTGTGTGCATGTGTGTGTGCGTGCGTGCATGTGTTGGTGTGCGTGTGTGTGTGCATGTGTGGGTATGTGTGTGTGTGTGTGTGTGTGTGTGTGTGTGTGTGTGTGTGTGTGTGTGTGTGTGTGTGTGTGTGTGTGTGTGTGTGTGTGTGTGTGTGTGGGTATGTGTGTGTGTGTGTGTGTGCATACGTAGCGGCTACGGTGGTGCTTCCCTTCCTCTCCAGCTGCGTGCGTGCGTGTGTGCATGTGTGTGTGCGTGTGTGCGTGTGTTGGTGTGCGTGTGTGTGTGCATGTGTGGGTATGTGTTGGTATGTGTGTGTGTGTGTGTGTGCATACGTAGCAGCTACAGTGGTGCTTCCCTTCCTCTCCAGGTGCGTGCGTGCGTGTGTGCATGTGTGTGTGCGTGTGTGCGTGTGTTGGTGTGCGTGTGTGTGTGCATGTGTGGGTATGTGTTGGTATGTGTGTGTGTGTGTGTGTGCATACGTAGCAGCTACAGTGGTGCTTCCCTTCCTCTCCAGGTGCGTGCGTGCGTGTGTGCATGTGTGTGTGCGTGTGTGCGTGTGTTGGTGTGCGTGTGTGTGTGCATGTGTGGGTATGTGTTGGTATGTGTGTGTGTGTGTGTGTGTGCATACGTAGCAGCTACAGTGGTGCTTCCCTTCCTCTCCAGGTGCGTGCATGCGTGTGTGCATGTGTGTATGTATGGTTGCTCTGTTGCATTCCAACAGGCTGAAGCAAAGTGAAGGAGGAGAATAGGAGTGGCACTGTTATTTTTCTGTATCCTACTCTAATCCCGTTTGATCTACCCTCTCCTGCATCCACTCAGGTGCTCTTTGTCCTGCCCTCTCCTTTCGAGTCGACTCAAAAGTCTCCTCATGAGTCGACTCAAAAGTCTCCTACATCCACGCAGGTGCTCTTTGTCCTGCCCTCTCCTTTCCAGGTTCCCTCTTCTCGCTGATGTGGCCATGTGCCAGTGGAGTGGAGGGGAGAGTTGTTGTGGCAAATTCGAGGGGAATTCAGACTCCTATAAGATGTTATCGTGATTAATAAAAAAAACACCATAAAGTTCCCTTTCCTGCCGTCTCGAGGTTCAATCTCTCCGCAGATGCTGCAGTGCCAATGGAAGGCATGTTTGTGGCGGGGGCAGGGAGGGGGGAAATGGGGACAGGCTCCTGACATGCCAACGGTGCCAGTGCTGCTTTTGATGTGCCTAAAATACGTGCTCCCTGCCCTGCCCTGTCCTCATTCAGCTTCAATCTCTCCGCAGATGCTGCCGTGCCAATGGATGGCATGTTTGTTGCGGGACCAGGGGGGGGGGCAGGCTCCTGCCATGCCAATGCTGCCAATTCTGCTTTTGATGTGCCTTGAAAACGTGCTCCCTGCCCTGCCCTGCCCTGCCCTGCCCTGTCCTCTCCAGGTTCCCTCTCCCAGCTGATTCTCCCGTCCCAATGGAAGGCATGTTTGTGGCGGGGGCAGGGGGAGGCCAGGCTCCTGCTAACACTGCCAGTGCTGCTGTTGTCCAGTGAGTCTCAGTTCCCTTACCCTCCTTCGCTTCCTACTTCCCTCCCTCCTCCCTCCCGTCCTGCTTATCTCTGTCCCTCCCTCCGTTCCCTTCTTCCCCCCCTCCTCCCCTCCCTCCTTCCTCCCACCTTTCCCCTTCCCATCAACTCGTCTGCTGCCCCCAAGTCTGCTAGTGCAGCTGCTGTTTCTGTTTGCTGCTGTTGCTCTATGCCACCACTCCCCCGTCTTCCCCCTCTTCCCCCTCTCACTCTTCCTCCCCCCACACTTCCCACCTTCTTTCTCTTTGCCACCTGTTCCCCCCTCCTGTGCCCCATCTTCTCACCCCATCCCATCACCCATCACCCATATGACCAATCGCCCATAACCCATCCCCCATCCCCCATCCCCCATGGCATGGCAGCTACTTTGGCGTTCTGCAGGCCTATGCAGCCATGAAAGAGGTACACACACACTCCTACATGGGTAAAGGGAGTACGTATCATCATACATGGTTACATGGTTATATCACATGGGTACATGGCAGCTACTTTGGCGTTCTGCAGGCCTATGCGGCCATGAAAGAGGTACATACAAGCTTGCATGGGTAGCAAGTGCACTCATTCTTGAGAATTCTCGAAAGCAATTTCAACATAAGCTGGGTTCCTATCGTCCCATTCACACGACCACACACACACCATTCGCACAGTACCATCAACTCGACTCATTCACATGCCGCCGTCCTAAATCAACCGCTCTTTTTCCGCTGTGAATTGCTCACAGACTGATCCCACCCCAACGCCCTCCGGCGCACTTTAAAGTGGCAGCTCTGCCAGATGCAGCTGCACTCACTCTCGCGAGAGGGGTTGACGAGTGGATCCTCTCCCCCTCTTCCTCTCAATCTGCGTCCTATCTTCCTCTCTTCCCGCCCTTCCACCGCCGCAGTACTTTGAGCATCAGCCAGCCCACCTGGAGCAGCTGACTTATCCCACTGCTTCATATTCCCTTAAATGAACCTCACCCACTTTCCCTCTCCCCCCCCCCTTCCTCCCCCAACAACCCACCGCCGCAGTACTTTGAGCATCAGCCAGCCCACCTGGAGCAGCTGCTGCCGTCTCCCACTGTTCTGTTTCCTGTTATTCTAAGTTAACCTCATCCACCCTCCCTTCCCCCTCCCCAACCCCCCTCCCCCCTCGTCTCCGCACTTCCGCAGTACTTCGAGCATCAGCCAGCCCACCTGGAGCAGCTGCATCATCCCTCCGTTTCTTATTTCCCTCGGTTAACCTCACCCATCCAACCCCCCTCTCCTTAACCCCTCCCCCCTGCTCACCGCACTTACTTCCCCAGTACTTTGAGCATCAGCCAGCCCATTTGGAGCAGCTGCATCATCCCTCCGTTTCTTATCTCCCCACGTTAGCCTGACCCACCACCCCTTATCCCTCTGTTTTTTCTTTCTCCCTTTTTACACCCCCACAGTACTTTGAGCGCCAGCCAGCCCACCTGGAGCAGCTGCCCTCTCCCTCTGTTTCTTATTCCCCTCAGTTAGCCTCACCCATCCCTCTCCTCCCCTCCCCCTCCCCTCCTCCGCACCCCCACAGTACTTCGAGCGCCAGCCAGCCCACCTGGAGCAGCTACTGCCAGCTCACGTGCTGCCCCTCTTCTCGCAGCGCCACGTCAGCGCCGTCCTATTGGCCTCTGCCACGTGGCTGCTGGGAGAGCTCTCCACCGCCCTGCCCGAGGTGACAAGCAACTGACAGCACTGTTCACGGTGCACTGTGCAACTCGAACCCTGTTCACGGTGCACTGTGCACAGTGTGCAGTGCAGCGTGCAGTGATAGTCTCCAGTGAATGGATAGTCTAGCCACGTGTAGCGAGGTTGTTTTTGAGACGTCTCAAAAACAACCTCGCTACACGTGTGCAGCGCAGCGTGCAGTGATAGTCTCCAGTGAATGGATAGTCTAGCCTAGCTCACCATTGCCTCCAGTCCGCTACTTATGTGAGGCCGTTGTGATGATGGGGCCGTTGTACAACTAGCGGCTTAATGAGACGTTTGAGGCGCCTCAGAAAGCAATGCAGTCTAGCCAGCCATCATGCTGAATGCTGTGCCGCTGACAGCTTGCTGTGCAGCCATTTCCAGTGTGATGGATCTGTTGCCTGGGGCTGTTGCCTAGGGCTGTTGCTTGGGGCTGTTGCTTGGGGCTGTTGCGCAACGTTTTTTAGGCTCCTCAAAAGTCGTCTTTTTTTTAGGCGCCTCAAACATCGTCTTTTGAGGCGCCTAATTTTTTTTTATGCTTGCTGCTGACAGCTTCCTGTGCAGCCATTTCATGTGTGATGGGGTTGTTGCTTGGGTCTCTTCTGCAACTGGCCGCCCAGAAAGTAGTTTGCTTAAGCATTCACAGCATTCGCCTTCAGAGACGCCCAAACCAGTTTTGCCTCTCTGACTTCCCGTCCACGTTTCACTCCTTATCTCCTCATTATCCCCACTCCTTCCTCTCCTTGCCCCCACTCCCTAATTCATCCGTCCCACCAGTCCCTGCACAACCCGGTGTACGAGGCGAGCATGAAGGCCATGGCAGCAGGGGACGTGGACGGGTGATCCTCCTCCCTCTCTCTTTATCCCCACCCCTTCCTCTCGCCCTCCCCCCCCCGTGTCCTTCTCTCTCCCCCTATCTTTCGCCCCACCAGTCCCTGCACAACCCGGTGTACGAGGCGAGCATGAAGGCCATGGCAGCAGGGGACGTGGACGGGTGATCCTCCTCCCTCTCTCTTTATCCCCACCCCTTCCTCTCGCCCTCCCCCCCCCGTGTCCTTCTCTCTCCCCCTATCTTTCGCCCCACCAGTCCCTGCACAACCCGGTGTACGAGGCGAGCATGAAGGCCATGGCAGCAGGGGACGTGGACGGGTGATCCTCCTCCCTCTCTCTTTATCCCCACCCCTTCCTCTCGCCCTCCCCCCCCCGTGTCCTTCTCTCTCCCCCTATCTTTCGCCCCACCAGTCCCTGCACAACCCGGTGTACGAGGCGAGCATGAAGGCCATGGCAGCAGGGGACGTGGACGGGTGATCCTCCTCCCTCTCTCTTTATCCCCACCCCTTCCTCTCGCCCTCCCCCCCCCGTGTCCTTCTCTCTCCCCCTATCTTTCGCCCCACCAGTCCCTGCACAACCCGGTGTACGAGGCGAGCATGAAGGCCATGGCAGCAGGGGACGTGGACGGGTGATCCTCCTCCCTCTCTCTTTATCCCCACCCCTTCCTCTCGCCCTCCCCCCCCCGTGTCCTTCTCTCTCCCCCTATCTTTCGCCCCACCAGTCCCTGCACAACCCGGTGTACGAGGCGAGCATGACGGCCATGGCAGCAGGGGACGTGGACGGTCGAGCTTAATCCTCTTCCTCCCTCGCTCCCCCCCACTCCTCTCCCCTCTGCCATCCCACCAGTCCCTGCACAACCCGGTGTACGAGGCGAGCATGAAGGCCATGGCAGCAGGGGACGTGGATGGGCAGTCATGGGCTGCTGTGCGGACTGCTGCCTCGCACTGCATCTCCTACCTCATCCAGGTATGCTCTTGGTGCTCTTGGTTCACTGCAGCCCCACACATGGGCGGCTGTGCGCACTGCTGCCTCGCACTGCATCTCCTACCTCATCCAGGTATGCTCTTGGTGCTCTTGGTTCACTGCACGTACACGTGGTGCACTGAGTGCTCTGCTCTGCACATGGCACATGCAGCCCCACACATGGGCGGCTGTGCGCACTGCTGCCTCGCACTGCATCTCCTACCTCATCCAGGTGTGCATGTGGTGCACTCCGTATGCATTTGGTTTGGTACACTTGGATTGGAGGCACCTCAAACTTGTGGGTAGAGTGACGACGGCTTTTGAGGCGCCGAAAAGATGTGCTCGGTGCACTCAGTATGGACTGCACTTGGCACGTTGGCTGAACAAATGGGCTGCCTTTGAATGATTCCAAAAGTCACAGATGACATATGGCACTCTGTCACTGCGTTTCCTAATTCTTCCAGTCCAGCTTGCCGCTTCATCTTCTCTGCTCCTTTGTTTCTCCTGGCTGCTCTTCCCTCCAACTGAAGTATGTAGTTCATGTCACAGCCTTGTGGGAGACGGGGCACGCACGCCCACCCACCTGCCAGCCAACCCCCCGCCACCCTCTCAGCCGACTCACAACTCTCCTTACCGTCCTCGTGTGGCCCTGTTCCCTTCCCTCCACCCCCACCCATCTCGCATCCTGACCTCCTCGCTCTACTCTCGCTCTCAATCAGAATGACGTGGAGCCGTCTGATTGGTTGGCGTTCCTCCAGGCAGTAGTAGCAGCAACCAGAGCGGCTGAAGAAAAGGAGGCGGTGAGGGCGCTGGACCTGCTGGAGTCAGTAGCAGTGGAAGGGGGCGAGGGGGTGCACTCGCACCCACCTCCCCTCACCCATCTCCCCGCTATCTCCTCAGTGACTGAACACTCACCTTTCCTTCCTCGCGCCCCCCTGCTCCATCCACCGCCCTCCCCCCTTGACTCCCCCACCCGTGATTTCGTCCAGAATGACGTGGAGCCGTCTGATTGGCTGGCGTTCCTGCAAGCAGTGGTAGTGGCAACAAGGGCGGGGGAGGAGAGGGAGGCGGTGAGGGCTCTAGACCTGCTGGAATCAGTGGCAGTGGAAGGGCGCAAGGGGGTGCACTCGCACCCACCTCCGCTCACCCATCTCCCCGCTTTCTCCTCAGTCGACTGAACACTCACCTTTCCTTCTCCGCGCTCCCCTGCTCCATCCACCGCCCTCCCCCCTTGACTCCCCCACCCTCTATTTCATCTAGAATGACGTGGAGCCGTCTGATTGGCTGGCGTTCCTCCAGGCAGTGGTGGCAGCAACAAGAGCAGGAGAAGAAAAGGAGGCGGTGAGGGCGCTAGACCTGCTCGAGTCGGTGGCAGTGGAGGGCGGGGAGGGCGTGCACGCCCACCTGCCTGCCATCATTGCTGCTGTCGCCAATGACACCTGCTCTGCTCTGCCTCCCCCGGAGCAACCCTGGTCGCAGGTATGGAGAAAGTAGCTTATTTCTACCTTCTTGCGCTATCGTTAGGTGTAGATTGCGGGTGAACCCAATACTGGTAGCTGGGTTGAGTTCGCCGCGCATGATCGTAAACCAGGGTGTGTGTGTGTGTGGGCCCACATATGATTGCAGAAGAGGGCCCATTCTGTAGAGTCCCCACGTATGACCTCAGAACCAGTGTGTGATGATGATGATGATGATGATGATGATGATGATGATGATGATGATGATGATGATGATGATGATGATGATGATGATGATGATGATGATGATGATGATGATGATGATGATGATGATGATGATGATGATGATGATGATGATGATGATGATGATGATGATGATGATGATGATGAAGGGAAAAAGGTGAAGTTCCTTTGCGTGGAGTGCAGGGCCTTTGGGGTTCTTGTTTTGAGACGCCTCTGGAGATTCTGTTCCCTCTTTTTTTCTTTCTCCCCACGGTAGAGTGTGTGGGCACTCTTTCCTGCTCACTTTTCTCTGATCAAGTCACGGGCCGATGACGAGCTGCCAGGGGGGGATAGTGCTGGTCCGTTTGAATTTCCCAACTCTCTCCCTTTTTCTCGCCCCTCCTTTTTCGAAAGGGGGCTCTTCTCAGCACTCGCCTCTTTGGTTGAGTCATTAAGGGTGCTTGTCCGGTCAATCCATCCCCCCTCCTCCCCCTCCCTCCCCATCAGCGTGTGTGGGCGCTCTTCTCTGCGCTCGCCTCTCTGGTCGAGTCATGGGCTGATGACGAGCTGCCAGGGGGGGATGATGACGAGGAGGAGGAAGGGGAGGAGAGGGGAGGGAAGGAGGCAGCAGGGGCGGAGGAGAGGAGTCGCCGGGCAGTGGAGGTGGCAGCGTCTGTGGCTCGCGTGCTGCGAGTGGCCTGGCTGAATGAACCTGTGAGTGTGCCCTGTCAGCCTGTGTCTCGCAACCCGCCCCAGAGCTAAATGAAACAGTGAGTGCTGTTTGGAGGTGGCAGCGTCTGTGGCTCGGGTGCTGCGAGTGGCCTGGCTGAATGAACCTGTGAGAGATTCAGTCTGAATGCTTGGGGAGGAGAGGGGTGGCAGGGGGGCAGCAGGAGAGGAGTTGCCGGGCAGTGGAGGTAGCAGCTTCTGTGGCTCGGGTGCTGCGAGTGGCCTGGCTGAATGAACCCGTGAGTGTTTCAGTCTGAGTGTGACGCGTGAGGGTCTCACTCTCACATGCTCCTTGCAAAAGGCGCCTCAGAGCTGAATGAGCCCGTAAGGGTGTTTCTGTCGGCCCGTTGCAGCTTGCTTGCAACATGCGTTGATTCTTCGGAGGAGAGGAGTCGCCAGGTAATACAGGTAGCAAGCAGCGTCTGTGGCTCGTGTGCTCCGTGCCGCCTGGCTCAATGGACCCGTGAGTGATTTTTTAGTTGCGTACCCTGAGTAGACCGAGTGCCCCGAGAGGAGCACTCGGGTTACTCAGGCTACTCAAGCCACAGATGCTGGGGCTCGGCAAAAGGCCGTCGGACCCGTCGGACCCCCATGTCGTGGTCCGACGCCCCTTTGCTGCTCTCCTTCGTCCGCCAAACCTCCCCGATCCTGGTGCTCTACTACGCCCCTGCCCTTCCCGCCTTTCCTGTCCCCGCCCTTCACCCCCTCGTCAGGTGGATCCATCCATACTAAAGCCGCAGCTATCAAGTCAGGAGGCCGAGGAGGACAAGGAGCCGCCCCCCACGTCGTGGTTTGATGCCTCTCTGCTGCTCTCCTTCGTCCTCAAAGCCGCCGCCAATGCCCCGGCTGCGTCCCCCAGCACCACTGCCGCTACAGCCGGTGCTGCTATAGCCGGTGGTGCTGCTACAGGCGGAGATGCAGCAGCACTGGTGGTGCAGTGGGGGGTGGTGCCCTTGCTGCACAAGTGGGTGGATCTGGTGGCGGAGTGGACGGCATGGGAGGAGGATGAGGACGAAGCAGTGTTTCAAACCATTGACTCCTTGCTGCTGCTGCAGGTGAGGGAGTGCATGGGGGTTGAGTGCGGTGAGAGGTGGTGGCGCATTGAGGGTGGTTCCCTTGTTGCTGCACGAGTGGGTGGGGCTCATTGCAGAGTGGACGGCATGGGAGGAGGATGAGGACGAGGCGGTCTTCCAAACCATCGACTCCTTGTTGCTGCTGCAGGTGAGGGCATCTATAGGTGGTGCTTCTGCCTCTGCTTCTCTCTGAAGGTGAGCGGGTTGAGAGGTGAGTGAATTGAAGGGATGGTGGTGGTTCTGCTGCTACACCTGACTCCCTTTCCGCCCACTTTACTCTCTTCCTCATTTCCAATTCCCCCCCACACACCCGACGCCCCTCCACAAACTTGACTCCCTTGCAGGGCCGGACCCCACTACTGGATTTCATCTCCATGGCCCCTCCGCCGCCCCCCCTGCTGCCCATGCCCCTGCCCTCTTGCCCATGCCGCCTCCTTCTTTTACCCACACCCTATTCCACTCCACACACTTGAATCCCTTCCAGGGCCGGACACCACTCCCAGGTTTCATCTCCATGGCCCCTCCGCCGCCTCCCCTGCCACGTGTATCCCCGCCTCGCCTTGTGCACATGCCGTCCCACACACCCGACGCCCCTCCACAAACTTGACTCCCTTCCAGGGCTGGACACCAGTACCAGATTTCATATCCATGGCCCCTCCGCCGCCCCCCCTGCCACCCGTGCCCCTGCCCTCTTGCCCATGCCGCCTCCTTCTTTTACCCACACCCTATTCCATTCCACACACTTCAATCCCTTTCAGGGTCGGACCCCACTACCGGATTTCATCTCCATGGCCCCTCCGCCGCCTCCCCTGCCACCCGTGCCGCCCCGCTCCATCCTCGAAGGCGTCGCGTGCTTCGTCTCATCCGCGCTATCCGACGGCTCTCCTGCTGCCACGTGGCGAGCATCCAGGCACTCGCACACGCTGCTGAACGCTGCTGCTGTAGCACTCAATGGAGGGCCTGCTGCTGCTGCTCTGGCTGCGCGGTTTGCCGAGGTGAGGCGAAGGAAGGGAAGAGAGGGAGGTGGGGGTAGGAAGAGAATGGGGGAAGAGGGGGTGTTTGAGACGTAGCAGAACACGCTGCTGAACGCTGCTGCTGCCGTGACGCTCAATGGGGGCTCAGCTGCCGCTGCTGCCCTGGCTGGGCGATTTGCTGAGGTGAGGCCAAGGGAAAGGGAAGGCAGGAGGGGGGAGGGGGTTGGTGTTGAGGGTTTTTGGGTTGCTCAAAACACGCTGCTGCTGTAGCGCTCAATGGAGGGCCTGCCGCTGCTGCCCTGGCTGCGCGGTTTGCCGAGGTGAGGCGAAGGGAATGGGACGAGAAGGTGGGTACGAGGAGGAGGAGGTGGGGGGGGTGGGCTTTTGAGATGTGTCAAAACACGCTGTTGAATGCTGCTGCGGTGACGCTCAACGGGGGGCCTGCTGCTGCTGCCCTGGCTGCGCGGTTTGCCGAGGTGAGGCAGGAAGAAGGGGGGGAGGGTGGGGGTGAAAGGGGGGCCATGACAGGTGTAGTGCTTGAGAAGGGAGTATTGGGAGGTTTGCTGAGGTGAGGCGAAGGGAAAGGGAAGAGAAGGGGGCTGGGGGGTGGGGGTGAAAGGGAGGGGGAATGAGAAGGGAGTATTGGCCTCCCTCACTCATCTCTCCTCCGCTCCCTCCCTCTCCTCCATCCGCTACATCACCAAGCCTCTGCTCCTCGCCCTCTTCTCCCCCATCTCCCTCGCCCTCGTGCCCCCACTCGTTGCCCTCTTGTCCCTGCCCCACACCCACATGTCTCTCAACTCACCATTTTCCCCACCTTTTCCTCCCTCCTACCCCCCCCCCACCCGCCCTTTCCCTCCATCCCTCCCTCCTGACCCCCCTCCTGCAGGCATCCCTCACTCGCCTCTCCTCCGCCCCCTCCCTCTCCTCCATCCGCTACATCACCAAGCCTCTCCTCCTCGCCCTCTTCTCCTCCCTCCTCGCCTCCCCCTCCTCCGTCTTCCCCCTCCTCCTCTCCCCCGCACCTGCTGGCGACAAGGGGAAGGGGGAGAACGGGGAAGGGGAGGGGGAGAAGGAGGAAGGAGGGTTAAGGTTGGGAGTGGTGGTGCGCGGTGTAGAGAGCCTGCTGGCGCTGCATGCGGAACCAGGGCTGGTTCTTGAGTCGGAGCTCAAACTCACAGGTGTGTGGGTGGGTGGGTGGGTGGGTGGGTGTGCGGGTGGGTGGGTGGGTGGGTGGGTGGGTGGGTGGGTGGGTGGGTGGGTGGGTGGGTGGGTGGGTGGGTGGGTGGGTGGGTGGGTGGGTGGGTGGGTGGGTGGGTGGGTGGGTGGGTGGGTGGGTGGGTGGGTGGGTGGGTGGGTGGGCTGGTTCTCGAGTCAGAGCTCAAACTCACAGGTGGGTGGCCGGTGGGTGGGCAGCTGGGATGGGCTGCGCTGGGTGGATGGGTGAGTGAGTGGGTGGGAGGTTAATAGATGAGTGGATGGCGGGTGGCTGCATGCGGAACCGGGGCTGGTTCTCGAGTCGGAGCTCAAGCTCACAGGTGGGTGGGCGGCTGGGCTGGGCTGGGCTGGGCTGGGCTGGGCTGGGCTGGGCTAGGCTGGGCTGGGCTGGTTGGGTGGCCAGGTGGGTGGCCAGGTGGGTGGGTAGGCTCTGCTGGGCTGGGCTGCTTTCATGGAAGGGTAGGTATGTGATACGATACACTACTAGCCGTCAAACAAGAGTAGAATCGGAGCTGGAGAAGAGGTGACTTTGAGTCGACTCAAAAGTCACCTAGTAGAATCGGAGTTGGAGAGGGTTGAGCTCTTCTACTCTTGAGCTATTAACCTTTCCTCCCCTCCCCTCCACTCCCTCCTTCCCCTGCCGCCGCCCCCCCTACCCTCATTCTCCTCATGCCCCCCCTTGCCCATCACAGTGCTCGCCCTCACGTGCCTGGTGCAGCAGCCTTGAGACGTCTCCAAACCCAAACACCCTCTCATGCTCCCCCCTCCATCCTCCCCCTCCTCTTTGCCCTCTAACGCCCCCATTGCTCGTCACAGTGCTCGCGCTCACGTGCCTGGTGCAGCAGTCAGCAGCAGCAGCGGCAGTGACAGGGTCAGATCTACCACAGCAGTGCTGGCTGCAGCGATGGCAGAGATGGTGCGACGCGGCTGAAAGAGGTGAAGGAGATAGCGAGCTTAAACGCTTTCTTGCCCTCTAATGCTCTCCTCCGGATTCTCCCTTCCCCCTTTTGCCTTTATCCCCCTGTGGCAGTGCTCGCCCTGACGTGCCTGGTGCAGCAGTCAGCAGCAGCAGCGGCAGTGACAGGGTCAGACCTACCAGCCGCAGTGCTAGCAGCAGCGATGACAGCAATGGTGCGACTGAAGGAGGTGAAGGAGGAGACGAGCAGCATGGAGGGGAGCGAGGAGGGGGAGGTGGACAGCGAGGAAGAGGAAGAGGAGGAGGAGGATGATGAGGATGATGAGGTAAGACTGAAGGCAGTGGTGTGATGTGTGCTATGTGCTTTGCAGCCCTGTCACAGCACTGCTGGCAGCCACGATGGTGCGACTGAAAGAGGTGCAGGAGGAGACGAGCAGCATGGAGGGGAGCGAGGAGGGGGAGGTGGACAGCGAGGACGAAGAGGAGGATGAGGAGGATGAGGAGGTGAGACTGAAGGTAGTGGTGTGATGTGTGCTGTGTGCGATGATGGACTGACTGGAGGTGGCGCTGATGAGGCGATAAGCGGAGGCACAGGTGCCTGCGTGCTCTCTTCTCCCCTGCTCGCCTCTTCTCCCTCTCCCCGGGTGGTGCTGATGAGGCAATAAGCGGAGGCACAGGTGCCTCTCACCTCGCCATAACAAGTGCGTGCTCTCTTCTCTTCTCCCCTGCCTGCTCGCCTCTTCTTTTGAGTCGACTGAAAAGTCGAGTCGACTCAAAAGTCAACGCACAGGTGCCTCTCACCTCACCATAACGCGTGCGTGCTCTCTTCTCCCCTGCTCGCTCGCCTCTTCTCCCTCTCCCCCCTGGCTCCCCCCAGCCTGTGCTGGACGAGAGTCCTTTATGACTCGGAGCTGGAGGCGCCGCTGATGAGACCGCGGAGTCAGGAGGTGCCCCTCACACTGCGCCATCTCTTCTCTCTTCTCCCTCTCCCCCCTGGCTCCCCCCAGCCTGTGCTGGACGAGAGTCCTTTATGACTCGGAGCTGGAGGCGCCGCTGATGAGACCGCGGAGTCAGGAGGTGCCCCTCACACTGCGCCATCTCTTCTCTCTTCTCCCTCTCCCCCCTGGCTCCCCCCAGCCTGTGCTGGACGAGAGTCCTTTATGACTCGGAGCTGGAGGCGCCGCTGATGAGACCGCGGAGTCAGGAGGTGCCCCTCACACTGCGCCATCTCTTCTCTCTTCTCCCTCTCCCCCCTGGCTCCCCCCAGCCTGTGCTGGACGAGAGTCCTTTATGACTCGGAGCTGGAGGCGCCGCTGATGAGACCGCGGAGTCAGGAGGTGCCCCTCACACTGCGCCATCTCTTCTCTCTTCTCCCTCTCCCCCCTGGCTCCCCCCAGCCTGTGCTGGACGAGAGTCTTTTGTGACTCTCAGCTGGAGGCTGCGCTGATGAGGCTCACCATAACGTGTGCGCGCTCTTTTCTACCCTTTCCCCCTGACCCCATCCAGCCTGCGTTGGACGAGAGTCTGGACGACGCTGAGCTGGAGGCGGCGCTCATGAGGCGATACGCAGAAGCACAGGAGCCCCGCACACTGCGCCATCTCTTCTCCCCTGTCCCATGTCCCCCTGCCACCCATGCAGCCCGCGTTGGACGAGAATCTCGACGACGCTGAGCTGGAGGCGGCGCTGATGAGGCGATACGCCGAGGCGGCGAAGATGATTGGCTCGCTGGAGGAGGATAAGGCTGACGTGGAGGATGAGTACGGCGTTGAGCTGGAGCTAGGTGAGGAAGATGCGCTGATGTTAAGGGCAGTGCTTGATGTTAGAAGGGAGTGCCGGGCTGGGTGTGGGGGAGAGGGAATAGAGCGGCAGTCAGGAAGAGGACGAGGCTGACGTGGAGGATGAGTATGGCATTGAAGGTGGGTGCGGATGGGTGCAGATGGATGCAGATGGATCGAGATGACAGGGTACAGATTGGCATCCATAAATTCGCCATGGAGGAGGATGACGGAATCGAGCTGGAGGTAGGTGAGAGGGGTGCGGATGGGTAAAGATGGATGCAGATGGATGAACTCGCCATGAAGGCCGAGGAGTACGGAATCGAGCTGGAGCTGGGTGAGAGGGCTGCAGGAAAAGCAGGTGGCCCTGAGGGTATGTGTGTCTGCAGCAGCACTGGGCTGCTCTCGTTTTGAGCAATCTTTTCTTCTAGCCCCATTTTAAACCCTCCACATCACCCACCCTTCCTTTCACTTCATGCCTCACAGGGCTGCTGGACTAACAAGTGGCTGTGAGAGCCCGACCATCATCACTCGCCCAGAAACCCCTTCGTTCGCTCTTGATTTGCTCTTTCACTACCCCTCCCTTTCAACCCTCCCTCCCTTCTGCTGCAGGCCTCACAGGGCAGCAGGATGAGAAGGTGGTCATCAGGGCACGTCTGCAGCAGCACTGGGCTGCTCTCACATGTCCAGGAAACCCCTCTTTATCCTGATCTCCCCTTTGCACCCATTACTCCTCCCGTCAACCCTCGTTGTGCTGCAGGCCTCGCAGGGCTACAGGACGAGCAGGCGGGCATCAGGGCGTGTCTGCAGCAGCACTGGTCGGCGCTGGGTCGCCAGGTCGTGGCACTCAAGCCATCGCTCTCCGCTGACTTTGCCCAGGCCTTCCCTCCGGCCAAGCCGTTCCTGCTCTGATACCATTTTGGCATCAACTCAAAGGGCTGCTCTGGGCTGCCCGATTGTTGCACTCAAGCCCCCCGGCCACTCCAGCCCTCGCTCTTCGCTGACTTTGCCCAGGCCTTCCCTCCGGCCAAGCCATTCCTGCTCTGAGACTGTTTTTGCCTCAACTCAAAGGGATGCACTGGGTCGCCAGGTCGTGGCACTCAAGCCAAGCTGTTTCTGCTGCCGGGCATTCAGGGTACATTCCGCTGTGGACACTTTCTCAAAGAAAGTGTCCGAATCACTTTTGGCCCGAGTCGCCCTCTAATGTCTCGGAACTTCATGTCCCAATCGATCGATGTACTGCGACCCACGGCGACCTCGCGAACAATTTTGTGTGAAAGAATGTGATTGGTCCGTTGTGTGAGTTGCCCACTCAACCTGCGCGTCACACGCACCTGGGCGGAAGGTCTGTGGGCGCGAAATGAGCGGGATGGTCAAAAAATCAGAAGGAGCCTTGTGTGGTCAATTAGCCCGCGACAGTTCCGCGTTTCACGCCACCCAATGAAAAATACTTTTTGCGACAAACAAGAGCGGTCCGGAATTCGGACACCTGGCAGCATATGCTGTAACTTCATGTCCCAATCGATTCATACACTTTCTTTGAGAAAGTGTCCAGAGCGGAATGTACCCTCACTCCCTATTAGTAAAAGCAATCAGATAACATATGGTAACCCAAGCGTTTAAACCTGATCAATCAAAATATTATGAAATGTACTTTGCTGTTTAGAATATGCTCTACAGTACGCCTTAGGGCATTAATACGTGTCTGTCTCAAGTTTTGCCTGATGTCATGACATTTAGGGAGCAACACTGGCATGTTAATGATTTTTTTTTTTTTGGTGGATATAAGTATACATAACATATACACATTACATCCTCAGTCGTAACTGGAGCTAGGGAAAATTTAGGGTCTTCAGTGCGTACGTACGCTCTTCAGTGTAATCTTCGCTAAGGAAAATTTTACCCCAAGGCATCAGTGTGGCCTACGTCGATACACTTACAGATCAGTGTAACACCAACTCACCAAAAAATTACCCCAGCACATCAGTGTAGACCCAAAATTTCACCCTTGTAATCAGTGTAGAAGGGTAAATTACACTGCAAACCTGAGCCCTGCTACCCCCCTATCCTCCCACACGGCCTTAAAATCCGTCCTCCATGCCATCGTGGCCTCCGAAGCAAACATCCTGCGCATGACACTTGCCTCGTCAGCGCCCATGTGGCTCCATTCCCCTTTTCCCCCCACCTCCAACTTGTTCGCCGCCCGTTTCCGCGCCCGGCTGTAAACCTTCACGTGCCTCGTAAAACCGACTGCAATCCGCCTGAGGGCCCGTTTTGGTAAGAACCGACCACCCCTGAAAACCGCGTTGCACCTCTCCACCCAAACCTGGTGCGCTGTAATTGAGATTATCGCCGCTTCCGGAAAACCCGTCGACGTGCTGCTCTCCTGGAAGAGCATGTCGCCTAGAGACTCCACCACCATGCCCGGGTTCATCAGCTGCACCGCTGCCTTCATTGCTCCGACCACAGGCTGGATTGTCGGGCAGCTGTAGAGGCAGTGGTTTTGCGACTCCACGTCACCACAGTGCATGCACCTCGCCCGCGCCCCCAGGAAAGGAAGCCTCTCCCCCACCTGAAGATTGTTGCTGTGTGTCCGCAGAATAATTTCCCTCGCCCTGCCCGGGGTTGTGAGGGAGTCCCGAACCCGGATGGCCTTCTTCCAGTCTACCTTCCTCCCCAAAACCTCCTCCCACTGCAGCGGCTGCTCCACTGGGCCTTTCATCGCCTTCCTCAGCTGCTTCAACTCGGCTCGCTCACCCTTGTCACAAATCTGTGAGCGTAGTAGCCTTGTTCTTGGAGCCCCCAAAGCTCCTCTCACTCTCCCCTCCAGCTCCACCATGGGCGTTCCTCGTAAGAAGCCAATTGAGGTCGTACTGGCATACTCCACCAGGCCTACACAGCCCTTCTTATCAACCGTCACCCTTCTCCCGTATAGCTCCCCGTCCCTCGCGTAGTCCACCCGGTAGTAGACAAAACTCCCCGGCCGGTGAGACGGATTCCGTAGAAGCTTGGTAGCCATAAAAATTTCCTCCGCAGTCAGCTTCGCCAGGACCAGGTCCTTCCATGCTTGCGGCGTCGCCTCCCACGCCTTCACCGCCCACTTTCTTTGCTCTTCCCCCCCCAGCTCCCTTTCAAGTGTAGCTTCATCCTTAACCGTCCGGCTTCCATCCAGCTCCTTGTGTATCAGGTCCCTCAATTTGATGCCCTTCAGGCAGTGCGACCCTTGCTGGTTCCCGAACGGCGATTTCCCTTTGAAGAAAATGCACCGGTTAAACAACAGCTCCTCCTCCTCCGCTTCCCACCTGTTTTCCGGGTCTCCCACTGTCACTATCTTGGACTCCCACAGCGTCTTCACTGCGGCTTTCCATCTCACCCCCCCGGCCATCCAGTGCTTTAGGATTGACGGATGAGCGTAGACTGTGGCCAGGCCCAGCGGGAAACCGGCTGCTTTCTCCCATAGCCAGTTCCTCAGAGGGTCCAGCTCCGCAACCGCTTTCCCCAAAGTCTGAATGACCATGCCGTCTATCCTGTGTTTCGGGTTGATGACACCCAGCCCCCCTTCCCTTCGCTCCCGGCAGGCCAGCTCGTAGCTCCATAAGAAGAAATATTTGTCCAAGGGGGACTTGCCGTCCGTGATGAAGCTGTGACATAGCCGCTTCACCCTTTTCCATACGTCCTCTGGTGGGGCATAGACTTGCGCCTGGAACAGCAATATCGGCATCGCATAGCAGTTGATTATCGTGACCCTCGCCGAGGTTTTCAAGTGTTTTGACGCCCAACTGCTTAAAACCGCGCTCACCCGTTCAAAGGCTTTGTCCCATGCATGTTCTGGCGAGCCTCCCGACGTGATCCACACGCCCAGCAGTCTCTCTGGTATGTCCTTCACCGCCCCAGCGGCATCAAAGTTGTTTTCTCCTGATTTATCCTCAGTCCCGAGATCACCGCAAAGTCGTCTAACAAGGCCTTCGCCGCCACCACCTGTTCTTTCCCATCCAGGACCAACGTGGTGTCGTCGGCGTAGCCGATGTACGCCAGCTCCCCGATCCCCCTCTTCTTGACCCCCAGCTTCCTTCTCTCCACTTCTTGACACAGGGGTTCCACCGCACACAAGAAGAGGTACGGGGCGAGCGGACAGCCTTGCCGCACTCCCTTGTTCATCTCTACCCTCTCTCCCAGCCAGCCGTTGAGCTGGAGCCGCGTAGCCGCACCGTCGTGGAGCCCTTTCACCCACCCCATGAAATTTTCTGGGAAGCCCATGTTGCTCAGAGTCGTGAAGAGGTAATCCCGTGAGACTGAATCATAGGCCTTCTGGAAGTCCACCAGGAGCAACAACCAATCCTCATCCTCCTCTGCCGCCGCATCAATCACGTCCGCCACCAGCGAGACGGCTTCTTTGAGGCTTCTCCCCGGCAGGAACCCGAACTGGTTCGCGGAGATCACCTGAGGTAAGGCCACTTTGATCCTGTTCGCCAACACTTTCGCCAGCAATTTATAGAAGACACTCAGAAGAGTGATTGGACGATAATTGCTTAACAGCTCCCTGTCCCCTTTCTTATGCAGGAGTATGGTGACCGCAGTAGTGAAGGACTCGGAGAGCACACCCGTCCCTTCGAAGATTCTGATTTCTTTCATCACCGCCGGGCCCAGCAAATCCCAGTTCCGCTCGAAAAACTCTTTCGGCAAACCGTCTTGCCCTGGGGATTTCCCCGAAGGAAGTCCTTTCAGCGCCTCCTTCACTTCCTGCTCCGTCCACTGTCGGCTTAACTGGCATCGGTCACTCTCCTTCAGCCTGTTTCCCTCTTCTATCGGCCATGGTTCAACCAGTTCCAACTGAGGGGAGACCTCGTAGGCCTCTTTGAAGTATTCCGAAGCAGCCACCAGCACTTCCCTCACCCCTTTGTATTGCACTCCTTTGAACAGCAGCACCCTAATCTCTGTCCTTGCTTTCTTTGTCTTGACCAACCCTGACAGGAAAGCCGAAGGCGTCTCCCCCGCCAGCTCCATCAATAAGCCCGCCAAGACTTGTAACCGCTCCTTGTTGCTGTCCTGGTACAACTTCAGTGCCACTTCACTTTTGACCAGCTCCTCATAGACGTCCTGGGCCGACGGCGCAGCCATCACCCTCCATCGAAGCCCTTCGACCTTCCTTTCCAGGTGCTGCATGGTCGCCCTTATCCTTTTCCGCTCCTCAGTCACGTGTTCTTTCATACTTGCGCGCAGGTTCCCCAACAGCCGCTCCAAACTCTGGTCCGGGTGGCCCGCCTGAGCACCCAGCACGGCCGAGATGATGTTCCTGATTCCTTCGCCGCCCGCCTGAGGCGCCTGCAATCTCCAAAGGCCCGGGCCATTCTCCTCCGACGACGCCGACCTGAGTGCCATTGTCACCGCGAACCAATGGTCCGTCAGGCCGTATGGGACCATCTTGTGCTTTACTTCCGTAACACAGCTGAGTAACGAATGTGACACCAAAATCCTGTCAATCCTCGTGCTTGTTCGTGCAGATCTTGAGAAAAAGGTGTACTCCTTGCGAGTCGGGTGGAGGCTGCGGAAGGCGTCCTGCAGGTCCCACCCCGAGCAGATCTGCAGGAACCGCTGATTCTCCGCCGACGTCCCCAACTTGGAAGACTTATCCAACTCCGGATCCGCAACCATATTGAGGTCGCCAAGGAGGACCGTGTATGGCGCCGCGCTCAGGTTCTGCACAAAAGGAGTTAGAACATCGCGGAAGAAAACTCCCCGATTAGAAGCCTGCGCTGGTAAGTATATTGCTGCCACCCTACACTTCAAATCTTGCCAGGCTATCATCAAACTCAAGATCCGGCCCGAATCGTGCTTAACTATCTCCGAGAATCTCATCCCTTTCAGGAACCCCAGAACAGCCACTCCTCCAGCTCTCTGCAACGGTGATATCACTGCCTGGGCCTCCGAACTGACTTGCGACCAGAAATTGTGATCCACCGGGATCCGTCTATCGGTAAGGACCACAATGTTCGCAGCTTTCCTGATCCATTTTCCACATCTTTCTTGTTTCCCGCTGCTACCGAGCCCGTTGATGTTGAGCTCGAGAAATGTGAGGTTGTTGCGTTTATCCATTGATCCACTCCTTTGAGCCCCACAGCATCCACGGGCGGTTAAGCTTTATTGCGACGATACATCCTGCTACAGCGAAAGCGAACATGGCACCTATTACGCAGCCTGCACCAACGATCCATTGTGACGCCTCATCCACTAAGCCGCTGGTCACTGCTTTGCCGGCTTGACGATGAACTCCTTCTTGAAAGCAGCCATTTTCTGAGACTGCATGCTGACGCGCGTTGCAGCACCCTCCTTCCGCAGCCCCCCCTTGTGCTTGGCAGAAGCAACGTGAGCCGCCGCCTGTTCGAAACGATTTCCTTGCGCCTTCTCGCACACGGTTTGTACGCATACCCACTCCTCCCGCACACCCCCCGTGGAGGTAGGCACAACTGCGGGGTCCTTCATGATACGGTTCAAGAGTGACGAGGCTTTCAGGGATGCCGCTGCGGGAAGAGGCGGGGAGGCAGCCATCAGTACAGGTTAAAAAACATGAGGTAAGCGGTAAAGTATACGAAGGTAGAAGACAAGGGGATCCGCTGCTTATACCATTCATCTCATGAACCTTTTTGACCGTCAGGTTCCAGTTGGTAAAATTCTCCTGCCTCGAGGTGACGTAGTGGTCATGGTAACGAGTCAGATGCTGACCGCTGCAGAACTCGCAAGTGAGTGACGGGAAGTGTAGCAGGTAACGCCTCCCTGTCGACGGGTCCTCCACAAAGTACCTCCAGCGGTACTCATCAGCGGCGTGGGGAACGATCAGGCCACGAACACGGTCAGTATCCAACCCAGTGACCGGGTCAACAGTGCGGTGGAAGCCGAAACCGCTGGCGAAGGCGCTCTTACCACGCTTGACCAGCTTCGCCACCACCAGCAGATGACGGATAATCTCAGCAGTGATCTCAGCCGGCACACCTTTGACCACGACCTCCTTCGCCGTAGGATTCAGCAGACGCTCACGAAGAAACCGCGCATCTTCAGGGTGCTGCCAGGTGAAGTCGACAATGTCACCGTTCACACACTCGTGAGGGATGACCTGGCTCCAAACAAAGTTCGCGTCCCTGACTTGGTTGAATGTGACTTGAAGGCGACCATAACGCGTCCCAGAAAAATACATCGCCGTGAGCTCCTGGTACGTCGTCGTCTGCAGCACATCTGGAGTCAGCTGCTCTTTCCAGTCATCCAACAAAGCTGCAACCGTCACAGCAGCGCGCTTGACCTCAATCTTCCTGAGAATCGGCACCAGCAAGGTTAGTGAGAATCGTTTTAAGGCAATAATACTGCTGAGCGAGTCCCGTTCCAAGTGTTCATCCGAGTCATCACTCAGGTAGCCATCCTCGTCCTCATCAGGAACTTGGTCCGACGCAGCCTCTTCGTCATCATGTACATTGTCGTCTGCAGCGTTCTCTTCACCAGCAGCCTTGTGGTCCTTCCCGGCGTTCCCGGCTTCTCCATCAGCACCTTCCCCTCCCGCTCCATCAGCATGGTCAACCTTGGCGTGCAGATCCAGCAAGTCCTCGAAAGGACCAAGCACAGCAGCAGCCGTTGAAGAGGAAGGCATTCGCTCCTTGTCCGCAGCGTCCTTCGCAGGTATGTCAGGTACGTCAGCCATCTCCCTATCCTGATCGCCATCAACCGTCTTCTTGCCAGCTTTGTTGTTGCGACCCTTTCCCATGGTGCGATGATGAGAAAAGCCTGGCAGCTCGACAGTGGCTGAGAAACAGGCTGGACTGGGCACAATTAGCAGAGACATTGTCGCCTTATATCTCTTGTGCTTGAAAGCGAACCGTTGGAGGTCCAGACCCGAGAGGAAGGAGGCAACCTTCGGGGTTGACATCCAGCATGGAAAGTTGATAGCCTTGAAGTTCGGGGAAACCTTGGTGTTGAAAGCATAGAATCTGTCGCGCGCTGATGACGATGTCCAAATAGGACACTGATGATCCCCATGCACTAGCTTGGAACCTTGGTTGTACTCTTGTGTAATAGCTTTGCCTGATATTGTATGTAGCAGCGACGTTAGCATGGAACTCAATAAACTGGTGTTTAGGTTCCCGTAATGAACACTAAAAAGGCACCCTTGTATAGAGCTTAAATCCACGCGTCGACTGGTTGCATCAATGTTCTTATCAGGCAAGAAATTGTTACACATTGGTCGAGTTAAAGCTCTCCGCCATGGCCATGGCGGCATGTTAATGATGTCATAAGGTATATTTTGTTACGTATGTACCTCTATTACGAATTGAAGCATCAGCTAAAGTTCAGCACATTGTACAGTGATAATGAGCAAGTGAAGTCAAAGGAGTGCAATTCGGTCAACCTCGCCAAAACCAGAACCCCTTGAAAAGCCTGCACACGTTTTGTACAGTAGTTCAGACACACGTCACCTGCAACCATCACTCGCTATTTTCACCTGGAAGGAGCGGCTCGATCAAATCCTGTCCACCCCCAGGAGGGATGTCACTACTGTACCAGAACGAGGGCGGATTCATCTGGGTGATTTCGGATTCCGAAACCTGTCTGGCGCCAGGGCCGGGAAATCCTATCAGAAATGTAACGAAATTTGGGAAGAAAGGAAGCGCGAATGAAAATGTCCCGTTAACCACTGAACACCTTGTTACCCTTGCGGTGCCTCTCCTCCCCCACCAGACCTGTTTCGCTGCAATTCTCCCTCCCTCCCAGGCCCCTTCATTTCATTCAATTCAAATTTCAAACATTCCAAGCAGCTCCACAAACACGCACATCCACTGCCCCACCCACCCATTCCGAACCACCGCCTCGTTTCTCTTGCGTGCCTACCACAGCAAGAAAGAGTGTCGCAAATACAGTGTCACACTTTCACAGCATCTACTTCCTTCTCGTTGACACAATCGCAAGGCCGCAAGCTAGATTATATCGAATATTAGGCGCACGCCGTTCGCAGCAGAGGCGGACATCTGTACTAGACGAGCCGTAACCGCGTTCAGCGCGGCGCGTTATCATGGGTTTCTCAACGTGGAACCCGCAGCAGCGTAACCTGCGGCAAATGCTGCGCCAATGCCGGCAGCAGCGCTGGGAATCAGCCGCAGCAGGTCCGGTCTCAGGCACGGAGCGAGAAAGACGACGCGTTACTACTACTCGTGTTATTGCTGACTCAGTATCGAATACTCGTAGTAACGGGATATCAGCAATGACATTGTGTTATCATCATGATGCGTCGATTAAGATTCGTCAGACACGTGTCAGCAGCGTCGACGTCCGCGACTCGACGAAGAAATCCACCTTGGAGTTGACGAACGTGAAGGTGTGTCTGTCGGAGCTGTTAAAAAGGGCGAAGGCCGTGAGCCCAGCGCGGCGCCGCACGGCGCCGGCGGCGGACACATCGCCGCCGCGGCAAGAGCGGTCGGAGCAGCAGGTGCGACGAAGGCAGCAGCGACGGCGATCGGAAAAAGAGCCGCAACGGCGGGGGACGAAGCAGCAGCTTGCTGAGCGGAGCCCGCAGCAGCAGCAGCAGGAGAAGTCAGCAGCAGTCCATCGCTGCGCGAATAACGGAGAATCGACGCAAGGCGCCGCCGCTTGCTGCAATTGGACGGAAACCGCAGCGTACCGCAGCAAAACAGAAGTTGTTCGGAGTCAAGAACTTCAAGAAAGCGGCGCCGCGGTACTTCCACCGTCCCTCCCGCCGTCCCTCCCGCCGTCCCTTCCGGCGTCCCTCCCTGCGGACTGTCTTTCCCACGCGCTCGCCCTTCTCTCCCACCGCGCCTCCAACTCCGCCGACCATCTCCGCCGCGCAGGCCAGGCGTGCCGCGAATGGCGCCGCGCGTACCGCCACGCCGTGCAGCATCTCTCCCTCGCTTTCGACCCGCTGCAGCTCCGCTGGAGACCCGCGCTTCGCGGCGCCGAACGCGCTGGCGGATCCGGCAACCCCGCCGCGAGCAGCGGCGCCAGGGGCGGCGGAACGCTCGGCGGCCGCAGTCATGCGGCACGGCAAACTAACGGAGAGGCTGAACCCAACGAGGCGTGGGACCCGTCATCGTCCGCGCTTTGGGTGCTCGACGACCCGTCCGCCTGGCAGCTTGGAATGGCCGATTCGGACTCCGAGTCGCCCTTGGACTCCGACTCGCCGTTGAGCAGTTCCATCATTCCGTTGTGTGACGACTCTGCAGCGCCGCCTCCTACCACTCCTCCTTCTCCTATTTCTGCTGCTACTTCTTCTGTTCCTCTTAGCGCCAGCAGCAGGCGGCGGTTCGCGCGGCGGGTGCTGCAGCTGAAGAGGGACGAGGGGCACGAGTGCCACCCCACGAGGGAGGAGCTGCGGGTGGGATACCACTGCATGGCCGAGCACCACCAGTGGCTGCATGGGTTGTATCATCATGTGAACGGAAACCGTTCGTGCGGTGACTGCTGGCATGCTGACATGCCGTCGGCACGGCAGGTGACTGAGCTGCTGCTGCAGTTCCCGAATCTTGCGTCCGTGCGCGTGCCACTGCGTGGTGACGTGGCTTTGGGCCCGGGTGACGTCAGAATGGTGCTGGACGCAGTGGCGGGGCTGGGGGCTTTGAGGAGCTGCCACGTGCAGGCTGACGTGGCGGGTTGGGTGGAGTGGGGAGAGGGAGGTAGGCAGCGGGATGAAGAGGCGGAGGAGGAAGAAGAGGAAGAGATAGCACGAGTTCTAGAGAGCCGTTGGGTGGAAGACGATGGTATGGTTGTGAAGGCTGCAGCTTTAGAGCTGGTGGCAAGGCGGGGGAGAGAGATTAAACAAGAGAGGAAGGAGGCGAGGAGAGAACAGGACCGGCAGCAGCGGCGGAAGGAAATGTGTCGCGCAATTGAAGCAGGGCTCTTAGGTGTGGTCTCCCGGTGTAAGCGACTACATTCGCTGCATCTTCAAGGCGACGGCTTGGCCTCGTTCCTAAACCTCTCCCCCTGGTTCTTCGACCACTGCCACCGCATCCAATCCCTCTCCCTCCCTCTCTCGCACCTCCCTCGCTCCCTCCTCTCCCTCCCCCGCCTCACCTCTCTCAATCTCGCCCTCGGTTCTGGTAACAGCAGTAACGGTGGTAACCGCAACTGCCTGCCAGCTGTCCTCCAGACAGGGTCACCCTTCAGTGCACTCACTTCTTTAAGAGAGCTTTAATTAAGAGTCAGGGTGACTGGGAGGGGCTTTCCCCTTTCCCCCGATCTGTTTCTGGGGCTCGAGTCTCGGCTCCAGAAGCTGACTCTGCTACACTCTCCCTGTGGCAGCGGCGATGGCAATAGCGGCTGGAATGGGGATGGGGATGGGGATGGTGGTGATGGGGAGCGTGGTGATGGTGATTGTAACGAGGTTATGGTGATGCCTGGGTCCGCCTGGCGCCTGTCACAGCTGCAGGAGCTGGAGACGTCGTTGAGAGTGCCGTTTGATGATGACCACGAGGAGTTTGAGGAGGGGCGTGGCGTGTGGAGCCATTATCTCGGACTCAAGGAGGAGGTCCCGGAGGAGGGAGAGGAGCAGGAAGCACCTGCCCCAGCCGCAGCAGCAGCAGCAGCAGCAGCAGCAGTAGCAGTGTCAGCGGCGGCAGCAGGCGGGCCAATTCGAGGCCTGGCGTCATTGCCTTTCCTCTCCTCGCTCACCCTCCGCTCCTCCCTCGGCCTGCCCCCATCCATCCGCCACCTGCGCCACCTCACCCGCCTCCTTACGCCCAAAGCCCTTTCAGACGCTTCAGGATCCCTCCCCCTCCTCCCCAACCTGCAAGTCCTCTCTATGATGGCAGACGGAATAACCACCGGCGCGCCTTTACCAGCCGCCCTGCGCCGGCTACAGCTGCGCTACAACCAGTGCAGCTTGCTGCATGCAGCGGGGCGAGCAGCCGCCTCACTGGAGCACCTGGAAGTGACTGCGGTGGGGGCAGGGGGGCAGGACTCTTGCGTGTATGGTGATTTGGTCCCCACGCTTTCTCCCCACCGCTGGGACCCAGCGTGGAGGGGCGAGGGAGACCGGTTCTCGTTCCCGCACCTCCGAGAGATGATTGTCACCAAGTGCTGGGGGGGGGCTATGGAGATTGACATGGGCCCTCTCCCGAGCCTCACGCACCTGTCAGTCTTTTGGTCTGTGCGACTGCATGGGATCGACCAGGGATGGTACTCCAGTCTCCGATTCTTGCATCTGTATCAGCCACTTCCGGATTGCCACTGGGAAGGGAAGCCCGAGGGGGAGCTAGGCTCGCATAACCTCTTCTCCCACCTGCCGAATCTCCACACCCTAGTGGTCGATAACTGCTGCCAGCTGGGCGGCAGGGAGATGCTCGCGTCCCTGTCAGCGCTGACTCAGCTGCACACGCTGCGCCTTTCGCTCATCCGGCAGGACATCTGGACAGTATCGTCTCGCGTCGAGGTCCCTTGGTGGAATTGGAGGTACATACAGCTTGACCACTATTACCAGTATGAAGTGAGCCACTTAAAGCCCGTGATTTCCTGCCCGGCGTCCCTCCGTGTGCTGCAAATCACCAAGTGCGACCTGCCCTTCCTCCCTCCTTCCCTCGCCTCTGCCACGGCGTTGACTGAGTTGACTCTCCACCACTGGACTAACCTCCAAGTGCTGCCGTCCTTCCTCTCCTCCTTTACTGAACTGAGGAGGCTCCGTGTGACTGGGTGTGGGGAGAATAAGCCGAGTGCGCCGCCCGGCTTGCTTCCCCTGTTGAAGGATAGGAACTGGTTTCATTCTGTGGACTGTGATGGCTGTCGGAATATGCACAAGCACGAGCCTGTACCATGAATGAGGCGCCCAGCTTGCTTCCTCTGTTGAAGGATAGGAGCTGGTTCCATTCTGTGGACTGTGACCGCTGTCGAGACCTGCACGAGCGTTAGCCGAATCATGAATGAGGAAGGTGCGGTTCTTGTCTTGAGGCAGCGTGTGTTGTGGTTTGAGCACCTCGAAAAGCGTCAGCCGTACCACCCTTGAAGAGAAGTTGAGAGGCTCTTGAGGCAGCGTGGGTTGTGTTGGGGGGATCGTGATTCTTTCTAACCGGGCATGACAGTCTTGCTTCTGCTTTCTCTCATCTCATCTCATCTCATCTCATCTCATCTCATCTCATCTCATCTCATCTCATCTCATCTCATCACACTGCCTGCTTCAGACTTCTGAGTTTAGTCCAAGCTCCGATCCCTACAGGCACTCTCAACGCATTCTCTATCACACGATCATACTTTATCCCATGATGTGGCAACTGTACAGACTTTCCAGTACCGGTACCTCCTATGGGTGAGTGTTGAATGAATGGAAGGAAGCGGCACCGACACTGTGCCACACCCCTCTGTAGGCTCTCTGTATCCTCGAGGGTGCTACTAACCTAATTGCTACTACCGAAAGGCAGCAGAAGAATACAATCACACGGGAAATGTTGGCACCTTTGGATGATGGCGGTATGTGAACTAGGACTTGTCAACAAGTTATGGCATGTGTAAGGTGCAGCACCACTCCGCTCCACCTAGAATACAACGATACAGGGTGAGGGTACATGCTTATTCTGACCATTCTGTTTCTCTACAGTCTCCACAAGCACAAAATAATATCTGTAAACAAGCAGAGCAGATGCAGGTACGGCAATAGCTGCGCACGGTGCACAATGACGCAGGGCGGCAGGGTGGGTGAGGGAATGCTTATTCTGAGATGTTCCTCTACAGTCTCTACAAGCATAAGATAATGTCTGCAAACAGCAGGGCAGATGCATGTACGGTTGTAGGTAGCTGTCTCAATTCCCCTCAGATGCAACAAATTGCTGGCCAAGTGGCAACGGCCTTGTTGCCCATTTGATGGGCAAAACGTGTCCCGCCAACCGGATTCGAACCAGTGACCTAAGGATTGCTCAACTACAGTCCTCCGCTCTACCAACTGAGCTATAGCAGGATGCTCTTCCGTATTTACGGAAATATATTACAATATCGTGTATTTTCGTAGGCCACCTTCATCGCCGTCTTTGTCCTTTGTCCAGCCATGGCGTCGCCACTAGCAGGCAAGCCACCACTCCCCGTCGAAGTCCTGCCCACTCGTCCTTGCTCGCTCCTCCGTCTTCCCATTCTCTTCTGCCTTATCCCTCCTGCATTCTCATTTCTGTTGGGCTAGGCTAGAACTGTTTCAATAAATGCGGGGAGATGCAATGCCATTGAGGTTGTAGGTGCCTCGAACCATTCTGAAGTGCCGGATCTCGGCCGAACGTCTCAATAATTATAGAATTCCCTTTGCAGAATATGATTTTTATTCTATTTCTATATATCGTCGCCGCATATACACCTCCTCCGCTTCTATGTGACCAGCTTACCCTGCTAAAACCGCTAGTTACTTTTCCTCTCCTCCCCTCCCCCTCCCCCAAACCTCCCTCCCCCATACCACACCTTTGCTTACGCCTATTTCTACCCCATCAGACCTGCCGGCGCGGCTCCGTCTCTTGACAGTCGCACCGCTTCTCAAGCTCTGGCGGCGGCGCGGCGAGCTGATCGCAACCGCCAAGGCCAACCCCACGGCTCTAATCTCTGCCGGCGCCGCCCTAGGCGTCTTTCTCGGAACCTTCCTCGTCGGCCCGCTGCTCTTCGCCCCTCCGCCGCTCCTCCCGCCATCCCACTTCCCCACCAGCCACCTCATCCCCGCTATACGCGAATTCGCCGATCCGGAAATCGTAGACCGTTGCGTCGCTATAGCGGAAGGCGGTCCGGGGTCGCTAGCACGGTCCTTCTCCCAGGCGAGTCAGGACTGGCTATTATTCCACAACTATTTCCGACATATTCCGTACGGCTCGGGCGTGTATGTAGACATAGGATCCAGCCACCCGGAGCATTTCAGCAACACTTATTTCTTCGACCGGTGCTTAGGCTGGCGCGGCCTGTGCGTGGAGCCAAACCCTAAGTATTACCACCAGTATGGGAAGTATAAGCGGACGTGCACTGTAGTTCCTGCGTGTGTTCTGGACCGAAACGCGACTCTTAAAATGGATTTCCAAGGCGGGATGTACGGGAGGGTGACTAAAGAGGATCCGTCTGGAGCAGCAGCAGGAGGGGAGGGTGCATCGACGGACGACAATGAGATCGAATTCAATCCGACGGGTCCTGTTCCACGAGGCTACGCCCGATGCCGTCCGTTGGAGGAGATCCTAGACGAGCATTCAATCCACACCGTTGATTTCGCGAGTATAGACGTGGAGGGCGCGGAAGCCTCGGCGCTTCACTGCTTCCCGTTCCGAGCCTACGACATCCGAACCTGGCTTGTAGAAACGGATAAGGCCGGGAAGGACTTATATCGAATCTTTATGCGAGCTGGGTACGCTCTTATAACAGAAGTGCTCTGCCCTCAGAACCGGCTACACTCCCCCTTAACCCACATGGGCGTGAAACTCGACTCAATTTTCCGGCGAGTTTCCCCTGGACCCTTCCCACCCTCCAGCGGCCCGGGTAAACTCGAAATTACACCCGAAACCGCCGCCAGTGCTCCCCCTGGCACCAACTCTTCCGAAACCCTGCCTCCGCCTCCCCGCCCGCCGCCCACCTTCCGCCAGCCTCCCCCTGTGTTCCCCTCAGGGGACTTTGTGTACGGGCCAGCGTGGTTACCTGGGGGGGAGAGGGCGGGGAAGGGGCCTGAACCGTCGTGCAAGCACAAGGCACCGTGTGAGGAGCAGGTGCCGCATCTGGAGGAGCAGGAGGTGGAGGCGAGTAGCCTGAAGCTGAAGCTGGGGACGTGCAGGCGAGGGGGGATGGCCATGTCTGTGGACCCGATTGCTTTTAGAGGGTGATTCATTCTAGAGGATGAGTCTTGTAACAAGGATGGGTTGTATGTGAAAGGAGGGAGGATGGGTGGTGTGAGAAGGAGAGTAGTCTGAAGCTGAAGCTGGGGACGTGCAGGGGAGGGGGAATGCCCATGTCTGTGGACCCGGTTGCTTATAGAGGGTCATTCTGTAGCGAGGATGGGGTGGGCAGGGGTGTGGGAGGGACAGGTGCAACATTTGGAGGTGGAGGAGGATATTGACACGTGGATGGGCTGAGCAGCGGGCAAAAAAAATAAGGTTCTGCATTTGGATTGGAGGAGGAGGAGCTGGAGGAGGTGGAGAAGAGCAGTTTGAAGCTGAGCTGGAACTTGCATGTCTGTGGTGTGGATCCAGTTGCAGGCACAAGGCGCCGTGTGAGGAGCAGGTGCCGCATTGGAGGTGGAGGAGGTGGAGGAGATAAGTTTGAAGTTGAACTGGAACTCCCATGTCTGTGGTGTGGATTCAGTTGCAGCAGGTACCGTAAGAACAGAACGCCTTTTGAGGCGGCGCCTCAGAAGTTGTCTGTGGACCCGATTGGGAGTAAGAACTGGCTAGCTGTTGTAACGGCGAGGAAGAGTGTGCATGCATGTGGACTGGGATTTTCAGTCTTGGGGTTGATGATGAGGTGGAGTAGAGAGCAGTGGTAGTAGGTAGTCGAGTCGAAGCTTGGTAGGTAGTCAAAGCTTGGTACCGTAGTACCATGCATGTACGTGGACTGGGTTGATGTGATGGGGTGGAGAGCAGTGGTAGATAGTCAAAGCTTGGGCGTGCAGGAGCGGAGAGGTTAATATGAGGAGATTGATTGGTTTGCAGCCACCACCTGCATCTGCTGCTCTGCTTGTTTGCAGACATTATCTTGTGCTTCTGGAGACAGTAAAGAAACAGAATGGTCAGAATAAGCATAGCATACCCTCACCCTGGATCATTGTACCGGTATTCAAGATGGAGTGGGGTTGTGCTGCACCTTTCTCATGCCATGACTTGTTGAGAAGTCCTACAGTGCCTAATGCAGAGCGGTTGTTAGCAGAGGACAACTCCGAGGGCCACGCGTCAACTGGTTCGGCCTACAATTTCGCACCAAACCACTCCCGAGTCACCCTCGCACAAATCCCCCTATTAAATCCCGTCACTTTCATTGTGTCGTCATTCAGTTAATCACAGTCTCAATAATCACTCACTTCGCGCACTCTGTAAGTTCATTTATAACAGGCAAGCTCTGGAATAAGCAATTGCCTGCCTTCACACACAAAAGGAAAGGCATGATACACTGATGATCCTCATCCCTATATATACATGTTACCAGTACTATACATTTATAAATATAGCTTCCCTTACCGTAACACACATAGCGGCATGTGCAAACCAAACTCAAGTAACACTTGAAGAATCTGTAAAAAAAACACAAACAGCTTCTACCATCCCTCATTTCCATAGCAAGCACGCCTGCTATAGGCGCCTTGCTATAGGAACAGGGAGGTAGAGGAGAGTTGCATGCCTCGCTGCCTTAGCCTCTTTATAAGCTCGTACTTTGCCCCTTGTGTGTGATTCCCCGACCATTTGAACATGTGCTGGTGGCATCAAGGGGGGAGAAGAGGGAGGTGCGGGGGAGGTGGGGAAAGCGGGGATGGGGGGTCACATGAGGGAAGGAGCACCCCCAAGCCAAGGCCTCTTTAATAGCTCATACCCCGCCCCCCTTGTGTGTGATTCCCCGACCACTTGAACATGTGCTGGTGGCATAAGGGGGGAGAGAGGGAGGTGCGGGGGAGGTGGGGAAAGCGGGGATGGGGGGTCACATGAGGGAAGGAGCACCCCTAAGCCAAGGCCTCTTAAATAGCTCATACCCCGCCCCCCTTGTGTGTGATTCCCCGACCACTTGAACATGTGCTGGTGGCATAAGGGGGGAGAGAGGGAGGTGAGGAAAGAGAAGATGGAAATTGGGGGTCACATGAGGGAAGGAGGGCCCGAATCCATCCCGTTTTATAATTCCTACTCAGCCCCTTGTATATGCGTGCGCTACCACTTGAAACCAACCGCACTGCACCCATTTCACCGCACTTCACCCATTCCAAATACCGTTCCACCGCACTGTACCGGTGCCAACCCACCTGCACTCTCTCCACGCCGCGCTGCAGCTGATCCACGGGGGCGGTCTCGAGGCGGGAGCGCAGAGAAGCAATGTCGTCCGGATCGATGTTGATGGAGAAGGAGGAGTAGTCCACCTCATCGTCCCACGGGTTGTCGTGGTCACGAAAGAACGTCACGGGAATGCACCCCGATATCAATGCCTGTATACACATAGAAAAAACATAGAGATTTTACGTATAATTAGAAAAAGGGCTGCCATGCTGCAGCTTGTCCAAGTCGATGTTATGGAGAAGGAGGAGTAGTCCACCTCATCGTCCCACGGATTGTCATGGTCCCGGAAAAACGTCACTGGGATGCACCCTGAGATGAGCGCCTGGGGGGGTTGGAGTTGGGGGATGGTAATTGCTGGGGAGGAGAGTTCGGAATTATTGGTTCCACATCGTCGCCCCAGGGGTTGTCATGGTCTCGAAAGAACGTCACTGGGATGCACCCTGAGATGAGCGCCTGGCATGGGGATGGGGGAAATGAATGGGGAAAGGTATGGGGGGAGTTGGGGAGGGAAAGGGGGGGGGGAGGGAATAAGGGAAGAGCCGTAGAGGAGGCCACGAATGGGACAATTTAAGCAAGCCTACTACAGCACAATTGTTTACTAATCAAAAGCTGCTGTCACGAAAAGTCATGCCTCCTACGTGGGGTTGCGTAGGAAGGGGAGGGGAAGGCGGATGGGGAGCCATAGAGAAGGACACAAATTGTCGATTCTTTTTATTAGCCTCAGAAATGGACTCATTTTACGCTGGAATTGGCTTGCGCCGATCTAGTAAACCAAGCCAACCCTGTGCCTCAGATTTCCTTGAGATTGAATGGCCCTCACCTTTTCACCCTGGAATTGGCTTGCGCCTATCTAGTAAATCGAGTAGAAAGTAGTTACTAGGTAGTAGGTAACATTGAGTTACAGAATGACCCTCACTTTTTCATGTTCTTACCATTCTTGCAGCAGCAACGCGCACCTTGAAGGGGCAAGTGGTCCATTCGAAGTGGGTTGAAGGGCGACATTTCAAGCTAAAAGCATGTCACCATTTTGTTTTACGGTTCGAACGCTTTTTTTCCGGACGGACGGTAAACGAACAACAATCGAACAGTTTCATATCGCACGGTGTTTTGCGGACGTACAGTGTTTCCAGAAAGTTGCATCCAGTTCCATTTCGTGCGCGACGTAGCACAGTCATTCGCAAAGCGAAGAAGTTTGAGAAATTCAACGACTGTAGACTGTAGTAACACCGAATTCGCACGAGCGGTTCATTTAACGAACTGGTTTTTGAGAGTTCTCAAAAAACGCAACCGGTAAAATGGTGACATGCCTTAATGCTACTTTGTGGTTAGACTTCAATCACTCTACAGTTGGGTTACTATGACTGTAGCAATCCGAACCTTAAACTACTTTGTAGTTGAATTTCAGTTACTCTATGGTTGGGAGACCATGACTGTAGCAATCCGAACCTTAAACGGGCGGCTGGTCCACTGGGAGTGGCATTGACTCGATTGACTTCACTGACTTGCATGACTGACTAGTTTGACCCACACCGCCTCACACCTTGAAGGGGCGGCTGGTCCACTGGGAGTGGCCGGGCGGGCAGATGCAGAACACACTCGTCTGCCAGTCCTTGTTCGTCTGGCTCTCCAGCTTGGGTAGTTGGGCTGGGGCACTCCGGTGCAGCTTGCAGCAGGGCACTCTAGTGTGAAGCTTTCACTGAACCCACTCGCACCTTGAAGGGGCGGCTGGTCCACTGGGAGTGGCCGGACGGGCAGATGCAGAACACACTCTTCGGGCACTCCTTGTTCGTCTTCCTCTCCCCTTTGGGAGGTAAGGGAGCCACCAACCGCACACGACCCACCTTGAAGGGGCGGCCGGTCCGCTGGGAGTGGCATTGACTCGACTGACTTCATTGACTTGACTGACTGACTGGTTTGACCCACACACACCCACTCGCACCTTGAAGGGGCGGCTGGTCCACTGGGAGTGGCCGGGCGGGCAGATGCAGAACACACCCAGCTGCCACTCCTTGTTCGTCTGGCTCTCCCCCCTCGATTTAAAGCTCCACCCTTTGATGCGGCTCCGCCCGTACATCTGCACGCGTGAGGGGGAACGAAGGGGGGGAAGGGGGGGAGAGGCAGTCGAGCTCAGGGGGAGTAGAGGGGAGGAGAGGGGAAGCTCGTTGTTCGTCTGCTTCTCCCCCCTGGCTGTGAAGCTCCACCCTTTGATGCGGCTCCGCCCATACATCTGCGCCCATGTGTGTGTGTTGAGGGGTGGGGGTTGGGGACGGGGGTAGGGGGAGGGGGAATGCAACGTGCGTGAGTGCGAAGCTCCACCCCTTGATGCGGCTCCGCCCATACATCTGCACCCACGAGGGGAAGGGAGGGAAGCGGAGGGGAAGCTCCTTGTGAGTGCCGCTCTCCCCCCTGGCTGTGAAGCTCCACCCCTTGATGCGGCTCCGCCCATACATCTGCACCCATGTGTGTGGTGGTAGAAGGGGCGGGGAAATGCAAGGTGCGTGAGTGAGTGCAAAGCTCCTCTTGATGCAACTCCGCCCATACATCTGCACCCATGTGTGTGGGGGGGGGGGGGGAGAGGAAGGGGGAGGGGGTAGGTATGGTAGAGGGGGCTTGGGGGGTTGGTAGAGGGGAAGGGGGAATGCAACGTGCGTGACGTGAGTGCAAAGCTCCACCCCTTGATACGCTGCCGCCCGTACCTCTGTGCCCGTGTGTGGGGGGCGGGTAGAGAGGGGGGGAAAAGGCATCTGTCATACATCCCCATCCCCAACCCCATCCCCATCCCCAACCCCAACCCCCAACCCCCAACCCCAACCTTCTACCCACAAGCCCCCCACACGCATACACACGACTGTACAGCGAGCAGCTCAGGCCACAAGTCGTGGCCGTGGGTACATGTGGGGCGTCTTGTGGCTCTGCTGGGCTGAGAAGCACAAGCATATCTCCTGCCACCCTGCCCTCCCCACTGCCCACACCCCAACCATACTTTGAGCAGCTCAGGGAGCAAGTCGTGCCCGTGGTGCACGGGGGGCGCCCTGTGGTTCTGCTGGGCTGAGAAGCACAAGGCTACCTGCCGCCACCCTTCCTGCGCTCCCCACTCCCCACACCCCAACCATACTCTCAGCAGCTCAGGCCGCAAGTCGTGCCCGTGGTGCCTGAGTGGTGCCCTGTGGTTCTGCTCGTCTACCCACCACCCCCAAACCACAAACCCTAAACAATAAACCCCAAAGCCCAACCCCAACCCCACCCCCGCACATACTTTGAGCAGCTCAGGCCGCAAGTCGTGCCCCTGGTGCACGAGTGGCGCCCTGTGGTTCTGCTCGTCTACCCACCACCCCCAAACCACAAACCCTAAACCACCCAAAGCCCAACCCCAACCCCCCTCTCCCGCATACTTTGAGCAGCTCAGGCCGCAAGTCGTGGCCCTGGTGCACGAGAGGCGCCCTGTGGTTCTGCTGGGGTGAGAAGCACAAGGCTATCTGCCCCAACCCTGCCTTCCCCACTCCCCACCCCACACCCCAACCATACTTTGAGCAGCTCGGGGCGCAAGTCGTGCCCCTGGTGCACGAGAGGCGCCCCGTGGTTCTGCTGGGGTGAGAAGCACAAGGCTATCTGCCCCAACCCTGCCTTCCCCACTCCCCACACCCCAACCATACTCTCAGCAGCTCAGGCCGCAAGTCGTGGCCCTGGTGCACGAGAGGCGCCCCGTGGTTCTGCTTGGCTGAGAAGCGGAAGATGGCTCGCATGGTTCGATTGCCGGTGAAGGGCGATACCATGGGCAGCTGGGGGGGAGGCACATGGAGGGGGGAGTGGGACGTGCGGAGATGTGAGGGAGGGAATGGGGCGTGCGGGCAGTAGGGGAGAAGGTGAGAAGCGGAAGATGGCTCGCATGGGACGATTGCCAGTGAAGGGCGACACCATGGGCAGCTGGGGGGTTGTGGGCGGGGGAGAGGGGGACATGAGGTGAGAGGGATAATGGGACACGACGGTGGGATTGGGACATTTGAGCAGAAGCAAAGAGAGAGAAGCGGAAGGTGGCTCGCATGGGACGATTGCCAGTGAAGGGCGACACCATGGGCAGCTGGGGGGGGAGGTGGGGGGGATTCAAACATAAGGGGGGCAGCAGGGAAGGTGGTAAGAAGCGGAAGATGGCCAGCATGGTTCGATTGCCAGTGAAGGGCGACACCATGGGCACCTGGGGGTTGTGGGCGGGGGAGAGGGAGACACGTTTGGGAGGGAGACACTAAGGGGGGATTAGGACGCATGGGCAGAAGCAAAGAGAGAGAGAAGCGGACGATGGCTCACATGGGTCAACTGCCGGAGAAGGGCGGGCGACAGGGAACCTAGGGGGGTGGGGGAGAGGATTCGAACGTAAGGGGGGGAGCGGGATGTGAGGGGGGCAGCAGGGAAGAGGGTGAGAAGCGGAAGAAGGCTCGCATGGGTCGGCTGCCAGAGAAGGGCGTCAGGAGGGGAAAGGAAGAGGGGAGGGCCGCCAATGAAGGCCGGCACTGAAGGCCGGCATGACAACGTCACAGTCGGGCATGTAGCATGGGACGCCGGAGGACTGGGAGAGAGGAAAGTGTAACGCGAGGAAAGTGTAACGCGAGGAAAGTGTAACGCGAGGAAAGTGCGAGAGAGGGATGTGCCGTGAGGGGCGTCAGAAGATGAAGCAACCTACCTGACCGCCAATGAAGGCAGGCACGACAATGTCACGGTCGGGCATGTAGCAAGGAATGTCGGGAAACTGCGGCTGCAGGGTCGAGTTGTAGAGATGGGATGCGGAAATGAGAGATGGGAGATGGGAGAGGAGAGATGGGAGATGGGAGAGGAGAGGGATTGACGCACGTAGCTGCACAAGCGAGATGGTAGCCTATGATCTGAGTGGGGGGGAGAGGAGAGATGAGACGCGGAAATTGTCAGAATCCCAGGCACTACACCACTGGGATAAAATGTCTTGTTAAGTAGCGGGTGAGTGCGCCTATAACCCCCAGGCAAACGTGCATTTAACCCTTCTCTATAATCAATCGGTCATCCCCAGTGCAGGTCTTCTGACACCCCCCTTCACAGGGATGCTCTAAGACACGGCACTGCGGCAGCGCTGGCATGTGCACACATGGGGATTCGAACCCGAGACTTTTGCTCTGATACCATGTCAGAAGACCAGCCACTACACCACTTGGATAGAATGGCTTGTTAAGTAGCGGGTGAGTGCGCCCATAACCCCCCATAGCGAGAGAGCATCACACTTCAGCGCGCTCAGGCGAACGCCCTCCGCTCCAAGACCAATGAGGCCTTGGCTGCGGACGAGCTCGGCCTGCAAGGTCCGTTTGCCCCTTTGAGCGAGGGGCAACCAACCGATAGAAGCGCCATTCGACCATTAGGGTCGGAAGGGCGAGGGTAGGGTACGTAGGTATTTATTTGCTTTGCATCCTTAGCTCAATTCTGCCTCTCTCCTGTATGTGGCTTGCTCAACATCTTACAAAGGGCCGTTTGAGAGAGAGGAGAGGAGAGGAGAGGAGAGGAGAGGATAGGAGAGGAGAGGAGAGGAGAGGAGAGGAGAGGAGAGGAGAGGAGAGGAGAGGAGAGGAGGGAACGATTGGCACATGTTGCTGCACGGTCGAGTTGTAGCTGTAGCATAACGAAGAGCATCACAAAGAACATCGCGCCTCGCCGTGCAGGTGCCCCTACGCTCACCTTACCATTGCTCGCACCTTACCACTGCTCGCTCCCCCTCCACCTGCAGGATCCTTTCTTCCTTTCCCCTCCTTCCTTCCCCTCAGCAGGCACACACCTGAGCACACACGCACCTGCAGGTTCCTCTCCTTAGAAGCGTGGATGGTGCGCGCGAGGCGGTCCCCGTTGAGCATCACGAAGAACATCTCGCCGTACAAATCCGGGTTGACCCACGGCAACGCGTGGCAACGGCCCTGATCGAACGTGCTCGTGCCAAAGTGATATCGGCCGTTGGTGCGGTTGAAGTAGGGAAAGTCGCGGCGAATCATGGTGAGAATCTCGTGCCACGCCTGGTGGAGAAGGGGAGGTGGGAGGGGTGTGGGGGGAGCGGAGGGAAGAGGGGAAGAGTGCCTCCAGAGAGAGTAAAAGAATCTTGAGTCGACTCGAAAGAAAGAGAAGTCGCGGCGAATCATGGTGAGAATATCGTGCCACGCCTTGACGAGAAAGGAGGGAGAGATGGGGGGGGTGACTCGATATAAGCAGACTCACGAACGCAGACACCTCCCGACAGACTTATGCATCCTCTTCTTCATCAGCTTGGTCACGTGCGTGATGATTCGAAGAGTAGTACAGCTCGAACCGACTCGATATAAGCAGTCTCGCGACTCACCTTATAAACTTCCCCCGGAGCCTTATCCATCATGTTTCTCTCATTCTTGTTCACGTGCGCGATGTGGTTCGACGAGTAGTAAGGCACGAACTGACTCGATATAAGCAGACTCGCGACTCACCTTAGAAATTTCCCCTGCAGCCTTATCTATCATGTTTTTCTCATTCTTGTTCACATGCGCGATGTGGTTCGACGAGTAGTACGGCACGTAAAACAGCGTCGCCTTTTCGGGATCCGTCGTGCGAATCGCGTTACTGCGCATAAGCAGCTCCGTTAGTACCGATTCCACTTCGTATTGGTCAGAAAACCACTCCTTTGTGCGTTCCTTCATCCCCTCCGTCCACGCCGATTGCGTGTCGTACACGTAAATAAACGGCCGGTTGTTGTCGTCGTCCGTTGCGTCTTTATTGGCCCCGGCACCGGCGCCGTCGTCCCCGCCTCCGGAAAACGCGGAGACGGATCCGATGGTCGCTGCAGGAACGGGCTGCGACTCTCCCGCAGCGGGAATGGCGGTGGAGGTGGGGGAAACTCCACGGGATCCTAAATCACGTTTTGCGTTAGCAAGGTCTCAACGAGGCGGAAGCGGTGACGACGGCGAAGGTGGCAGCCGCGGCGGCGGTAGACAGCTCGGGATTCTCTAGGTTTCTACAGAAGCAATCTTGCGATTGCATATACGAACTACTACTTAAAAGTACTATTAATATGAACGACGCGACGGCCACAAAGGCGAAGTGTATGGGAACGCGCTTCGGATTCAACAGCTGCTGCATCTTAGCGGCCTGTACTTCGATTCTAAAAACGTCCAGACCTAGCATCTCCCTCTAGAACATGACGCGGTCCGGAAATCGCGAAGGCGGTCTGAGCGTCAAGCCTGAAAAAGTGGATTAGCGAAGATTTGGTTTTGAGGGTGCCTTGAAGAAGCGGGTCTACACTGAAATTCGTCCACCTTCGCTGACGTCGCCCATGCTGATCTCGCTGATGTCGCAGATGTCGCAGATGTCGCTGCTGCCGCTGTTAACTACACTACATAGCGGCTGCTGCTCAACGAAACACCTCGACGACTCTTCTACACGTAGTCTAGTGCACACTCAGTGTGAGATGCACTTCTTGTGCAAGTAATATACAGCCGCGGCGCGAGCAAACAGCAATCATAAATGAGAGTGCACCCCAGATGGTTTTTGCTTCGGGATGAGTGAGTGGTTCGGTGACATACTCGGCGGTTTGGTTGGGGAGCTTTCAATTCAACCAAACCGCCGAGTTCTGTATGGCACCTGGTGACCAGGTGATCAGTGGCCTGGCCTCGAGAAAGTCGTGGTGTGTATGAAAGGCGGCTCGCGTTGACTAGCTGGTTTCTGCGAACAAGACAAAATTTCCGTTCAGTAGCAACAAACAGACGTTGGAGTTCAGGCGAATTTGGAAGTTCGGCAGCAGCAGCTTTCCGTAGCCTTCAGCAGCAAGCCTGCGAATCTGTATGGCTCGGTTCTGCAGGCACACGGCTAGGCGAGGGATTTTCAAGAACGTGGTTTGTGTACGGTACGTGGTGTGTGAGATTTCCGCGGCGGCAGGTCGCCTCGGGCGGGCCATTCTCGAACCGCCCTATCGTGACGTGATTTACAAGTTATGCGCCAACATAACCCAGCCATAAACGCGTGTAGGGAGTGTCTCTTAAAGCCGCGGTGCAACTTCTTAGGAACAGTGTCAGGACAAAAACTGCTTGTGCGTAATTGGACTTCTATTGGTCGAAAAAACTCGAGTTTCGCAACAAGACAAACCTCTCGCCTGTGAACTGCCTAGGTCAACCTCTTCCAAGCTATAATACTTTGAGTTGAACTTGATAGTTGCACCGCGGCTTTAAAAAATCTAACTTTCTGAGTAACCCTGTTTTGCTGATGTCGCTAATGAATAAGAGAGCACTCATTTTGTGTTTGAATCCAAAGGAAATGGAATGCTGAGCATCTAATTCAAACAATTTGGCTGTGCAATGCACTGAGCGACCTCTCCGACACCTCTCTTGTGCGACATAATTAAAGATTGCTGATGTGTATCACTGTTGAAGAATCATAGCGTGTTACAAAGCTGTTCAAAACGTGTTCAAGAGAGTGGGGAGGAGAGCAACACACTGTACACTTTCTAGGCGCTTTGTTCTGCTATCCACCCATGATCCTTTGACCCTTTTTTCCTTAAGGGTACATTCCGCTCTGGACACTTTCTCAAAGAAAGTGTCTGAATCGATTGGGACATGAAGTTACAGCATATGCTGCCAGGTGTCAGAATTCCGGACCGCTCTTGTTTGTCGCAAAAAGTATTTTTCATTGGGTGGCGTGAAACGCGGAACTGTCGCGGGCTAATTGCACGCCAACTCAACACACACCAGCCATCGCACGCGGTGCGAAATGTCAATCCATGCTGAATGTACTTGGTCATCATTCTATAGGGACGGATTCAGTAGCTACGCGTACTCTGAAACGTGATTGGCCACACAAGGCTCCTTCGGATTTATTGACCATCCCGCTCATTTCGCGCCCACAGACCTTCCGCCCAGGTGCGTGTGACGCGCAGGTTGAGTGGGCAACTCACACAACGGACCAATCACATTCCTTCACACAAAATTGTTCGCGAGGTCGCCGTGGGTCGCAGTACATCGATCGATTGGGACATGAAGTTCCGAGACATTAGAGGGCGACTCGGGCCAAAAGTGATTCGGACACTTTCTTTGAGAAAGTGTCCACAGTGGAATGTACCCTAAGACTCCAGAGGCAGCACAAACTGCTCTTCCAGCTACTGCGATTGCGCCACCGCCGCTGCAATCCTCCTCAGCCTGCCGACGAGTTTCGAGTCGACTCAAAAATCACGCTCCTACCGTATGAATGTTTCTTATTGGACTCGAGAGGCAGTACCATCTGCTCTTCAATGCCCATTGTTCTCCTACCTTCGCCTATGCCCTTGGATCCCTTTTGCCTGTATTAGATCTCATATGCGCCCTTTGGATCCCTTCTGGCTAGACTCCAGAGGCAGCACGGTATGCTCTTCAAGCAGCTGTGATTGCGCTGTTTGAGTCAACCCAAAAAGCGCCGCCACTTGCAATCTTCACCTATGGCTAGACTCTTCTGGCTAGACCCAAAAAGCGCCGCCGCTGTTTGAGATCTCATATGCGCCCTATGGATCCCTTCTGGCTAGACTCCAGAGGCCGCACAATCTGCTCTTCAAGCAGCTGATTGTGCCGCCGTTGCTCCAATCCTCCTCAGCCTGCTCATGAGCACCGCCCCTGCTCCCTGGTCCAGGGAGTCATGCCACTTGAACATGTCCTGTGGCATGAGCACAGGGGCAGGGGAATGAGGAGTGAAAGAGAGTGGGGAGTGGGGGCAGGTGAGTGATGAGTGGGGAGTGGGTAGCAATGGTTGGGAAATAGGGATGAATGGTTGTGGTGCGGATACAAGAGAAAGCCCCTTACACCCTGGTCCAAGGAGGGAGTAATTCCAATTGAACATCCCCAGTCCCACCTGCCCCAGTCTCACCTGCCCCAGTCCCACCTGCCCCAGTCTCACCCGCCCCAGTCCCACCTGCCCCACACCCACCTGCACGAGCCCCAGGTTGTGCTGCAGCCTCCCCACAAGCCTTGGCTGGTCGAACGCGTCCTGCAGGCGGCGACTACAGAGTTGATTTTCTAGTGGGACAATCAGTTAACAGTCCCACCTTCCCCAGTCCCACCTACCCCAGCCTCACCCACCCCAGTCCCACCTGCACGAGCCCCAGGTTGTGCTGCAGCCTGGCCACCAGCCCCGGCTGGTCGAAGGCGTCCTGCAGGCGGCGGGGCAGCGAGTGGAGATCCGCCGGGTCGATGTTGAGCGAGAACACCGGGTAGTTGAGGGCCGAGGGGGCCGCAGAGGTGGCGGAGGCGGAGGAAGTGGGGGATGGTGCTGCTGCTGCTTTGTGGTGGTAGAGGGACGCGGCCCAGGGGTTATCGTTGGCACGGAGAAAGGTTACGGGAATGCAGCCTGAGAGGATTGCCTGGGAAGGGAGGGTGGGAAGGAAAGAGGGGGTTGTGGGTGAGGCAGAAAGAAGAGGGGGGCAGCGAGTGGAGATCCGCCGGGTCGATGTTGAGCGAGACTACCGGGTAGTTGAGAGCAGAAGGAGGGGAGGAGGCAGTGGCAGAGGCGGTGGCCGAGGCGGTCGCCGAGGCCTATGCTGCTGCTGCTTTGTGTTGGTAGAGGGATGCGGCCCAGGGGTTGTCGTTTGCACGGTGGAACGTCACTGGGATGCAGCCCGAGAGGATTGCCTGGGAGGGGGAGGTGGGGAAGGAGGGGGAGGGAAGGGGTGGGGAGGGGTAAGTGAGGAAGAAGAGAAGACCGGGTAGTTGAGGGCCGAGGGGGCCGCAGAGGCGGTGGCAGAGGCGGTGGCAGAGGGGGTGGCAGAGGCGGATGCTGCTGCTTTGGCGGTAGAGGGAGGCAGCCCAGGGGTTGTCGTTGGCACGGAGGAATGTCACTGGGATGCAGCCCGAGAGGATTGCCTGGAAAAAAGGAAAGGGGGGTGGATGAGGGGGGAGAAGAGGGAGAGGTTGTGCTGCAGCCTTGGCACGAACTCAGGGGTTGTCTTTGGCGCGGAGAAATGTCACTGGGATGAATCCCGAGAGAATTGCCTGGTGGGGGGTGGTGAGGGAAGGAGGGAGGGCGGGAAGGGAGGTTGAGGTTGTTGGAGCGGTGGAATGTCACTGGGATGCAGCCTGAGAGGATTGCCTGGGAAACGGGAGTGGTGAGTGGGGAGTGGTGAGTGGGGAGTGGTGAGTGGAGAGTGGGGAGTGAGGAGTGGGGAGTGAGGAGTGGGGAGTGGTGAGTGGAGAGTGGGAAGTGGGGGGTGGGAAGTGGGGAGTGGGAAGTGGGGAGTGGGGAGTGATGAGTGTGGGGAGTGGAAGTAGAAAGTGGGGAATGGGGAGTGGGGAGTGGGGAGTGGAAAGTAGAACGTGAGTGGGGAGTGGGGAGTGGAAAGTAGAACGGGAGTGGGGAGTGGGGAGCTCACCTTGGCGAGATGGATGGTCCACTGAGCGCGACCGGGAGGCACGAGGCAGAAGACAAGCTTTGAGGCATCTCAGAGGTATTGAGAAGAGGTTTAAGACGTCTGAAAGCTCACCTTGGCGAGCTGGACGGTCCACTGAGCGCGACCGAGAGGCACGAGGCAGACGAGGCAGACGACAAGCTTTGAGACATCTCATTAGCCTTATTGGGTTGGGACACCTCAGAATACTTGAGACGAGATTTAAGACGTCTCAAGGCAAGGCCTACCTTGGCGAGATGGACGGTCCACTGGGCGCGACCGGGAGGCACCAGGCAGAACACACTGTCTCCCCACTCGCTGTCGTCAGCAGCACCACCATCACCAGCAGCAGCACTGTCGGCAGCAGCACCAGCACCACCAGCAGCACCACCAGCACTATCAGCACCACCAGCAGCACCACCAGCACTATCGCCAGCAGCAGCAGCAGCAACAGCAGAACTATCGCCAGCAGCAGCAGCAGCAGCACCACCACCACCACCATCACCAGCAGTGATTTCAGAGGCATCCCCTCGGACCCCCCCAGCCTGCTCGCTGTCGCCTCGGAACACCACCTTCCATCCGTAGATGGCTGCTGCATGGGACGTGTACAGCTGTGAAAAGGGGTGGGGAGTGGTGTGGGTAGGGGGGTAAAGGGGGAGTGAGCGTTTGGAGTCGACTCACAACACACCCCAGCCTCCTCGCTGTCGCCTCGGAACACCACCTTCCACCCGTAGGGTCGTGTACAGCTGTGAAAAGGTGGGGGGGGGGGGGGAGAGGGGGTATGGGAGTGTGGGTGTGGGGGGGAAGGGGAGAGTGATCGTTCTGAGTCGGCTCACAACACACCCCAGCCTCCTCGTTGTCGCCTCGGAACACCACCTTCCACCCGTAGATGGCTGCAGCGTTGGACGTGTATAGCTGTGGGGGGTTGTGGGTGGGGAGGGAAGGGGGAAGTGGGCGTGTTGAGTCGGCTCACAACACACCCCAGCCTCCTCGTTGTCACCTCGGAACACCACCTTCCACCTTTCCTGTTGCCTTTCAGTGTGGTAGGCGAGCAGGAAACGACTGCAGCATTTGACGCATGGAGCTGGGGGGGTGGGAGGGGAAAAGAGCGGGGGGCGAAGATTAAAAGGCCGTGAAGGGCCAACAGAATTCTATCAACCACGTCTCACCTCGATCAACCACTCCTCACCTCGATCAACCACGTCTCCACCGCATAGTTATGGTGCATGCGTTCAACCTTGATGCTGTCGCTGCTCGCGTCAGCAATGCTGCTAGCTGACGTCACCATCAGCACACGGATCGTACGACCGCCATAGGCAGCAGCATCAGCAGCATAATCAGCAGCAGAATCAACAGAAGCAGATTCAGCAGAAGCAGCAGAAGCAGAGGCGGGGGGAGAAGTCTCAGAAGCCGCAGTGCGCATGCGCTTCGGGGGGATGACGTGGGTCCGAGTCAGCAGGGGCGGCACTACGATGTCTCGCCGGGGATAATAGCAGGCGATGTCTGGTATAGAGACGTTCATAGGCGCTCCGTAGTTATACGATAGCACCTGCAAGCGCACCGTAGCAGCAGCAAGGGGGAAGGGGGAATGGGGCACGGGGGAGGGGAAGGTGGGGTTTGTTGGGGAAGGGGGAGGCAGCGGAACAGGAAAGGGGAGAATGAGAGCAACGTTTAGAGCGCGGTGTAGAGCAAGTGCGGTGTAGAGCAAGTGCGGTGTACAACAGTTTCTATGCGGCGATGAATGCAGTAGTAGAAAAGCTGTCACGTGGGTCGCGATTCGCTTACCCGCATGTCTGGTGTCCATCCCGTGTGAACGCTCCGCACCAGAGTATCCCCGTTATAAGTCACGAAGAACATCTCGCCGAGCATCTTAGGGTTTATGTACGTCAGCGCTTCGCATCTCCCGTTCCGCGTCGACAGAATTGCAAAATGATCTCGGCCGTTGGATCGGTTGAAGTGCGGCTCGCGCCGCACCTTGGTAATCATTGCCATCCAAACCTGCGATGTCTTTTCCACCGCGTCGCGCATATCCGAACCTTCTTTCGAGACACTTAGGTAATACTGTAGAAGCCGGGCAGAGTAAAATGGCACGAAGAACAGACTGGCCTGTGTCGGGTCGCGGGTTCGAACCCCACCAGAGTCAGATATAATCTGCTCCGTCAATTTCCGTTCGAGGTCGAAATGTAACGCGTACGGCGGAACGTCCGTCCCGGAAATGACATCTGTGCAGTTGGGCCCGAAGTCGTACACGTAAATAAACGGCTTCTTTCCTTCCACTGCACCCGCCACGAGAAGCCGATTAAAAGTGTCCGCAGGACTATTCGGCAACCGCGCGTACACGTTATAAGCGTTCGTCCCGTTCACTATAGGCCTTGGAGCAGCGCCGCTGGCCGATTGACATTTAACTTCAGCAGCGGGGAGCTCACTAGTAACGGGACCTCCAGAGCCGGTAATGGCATTGAAGCCTGTGCTGACGTCATTATCGCACATACAAGCCGGCTGCTCTCGGCTGAGGATGAACAGGGTTGCAATCAGGCCGACAGCCGCAAGGATAGCGACAGTGAGGCGATTCGAGAGACTCCTAGGAGATAAAGGCGCTTCGGGCGCAAGAGGGCTCATCGACATGCTGCCGGCTGTGCAAACCGTTCCCCAGAATTTGTCTCCCTCCTTGACAAGTCCGGTTCCCATCCGTAAAAAAAATATATATATATATATATATATATATATATATATATATATATATATATATATATATATATATATATATATATATATATATATATATATATATATATATATATATATATATATATATATATATATATCTCTCTCTCTCTCTCTCTCTCAGAAAATACAATCTGAGGCTTCGCAAATGCTCCGAAACCTTGTTTGGCTTCCAAGTTCCATTACTCTAAAGCTCTCAACCTTCACTGCATGGTTGGTGCCATGGTTGGTGACGGCCCTTCGTCGTCTCCTCTCCCCGCGAATGCACTCTCTTGATCCGTGGTTCTTGAAACAAGCAGTTTCTCATCCCCAGCAGGTCGACGGATCGATGTTTCAGAAAGGTGCGTGGCGGTTCCAAGCGGTAACTCGTTTAAGTCATCTTGAGGAATGAACCGATTGGTGCAAATGTGTTGTTCACACCGCGCCAGAATCTTCCGAGCCTCCCGGTGAGGGCTTCCGAACCGAGCCCGAAGTTCGATACTGCACATTGATTGAAAACCTCACGTGGAGGCTTGGACGACGGTGGCGCGGTGACCTGACCAGCGGTTACTGTAGATGAAAACCTGTGAACGACGTGCACTGTACTGTACTTATCTGTGTGTCGAGTCGAGTCCGAGTCAAAATGAGATGTGTGTGGTTGGGCTACCTGACACTTTTAGCCAATCATTTACGGTAATGTCACTCCAAACAATGCAGTCAATGTGAAGAGGCCAGAGTGTATGTACGGCCACGGACTTCTAGGGGCTGGCCAGGGCCCTCGATTCGTTTTCGGGAACCCTGGCGGAATCGAATTCGTGAAAGATTTCACACTGCCAGTGTGGCAGGCGCAGCATAGCCAAGAAATTAGAAATTGCCGATCATAAATAGCTCTGATTTCTCAGGGTGTCCAGGATTTTTGCCTCTGATAGGCCAGTGGATGAGATGACGCTGTGCAGCATTGGAATCGAACCACCACTTCCAAATTCGCCTGAACCCTGAACGATTGTCTGGCTCATGGGATTCCCCAGGGCACGTCGATCTGGGGGCAGTCAACGACTACGGAGATGTCTGTATTTGTTTGTTGCTAACAGGAAACGCGTGAGAAGATGTTCCCACACCTTGGGAAATTCCCAAACCAGAAAGTCAACCGAATGCGTTAGTAACACCACAGTTTCCCCTCTCGGCCCCCCAACCAACCAAGCCACAGAATCTGACCGAGCCACTCATCTGCTTCGAGTCAAAGCCCGAACCTAATCAGTCTCAACTCAACCACACCTCACTGACGTACCTACTACACAAACCGTAGGCGTTCTCAATACTCGACGTTTGTTCGCTCGCGTCGCGGCTGTGTTTTACTTATCACATACCTCCACGAGTGCTTCACACTGAGTCCTACTATACTCATCCAGTTGGTTCGTTATTGGATGAGTAGCAACTGTTCTAGCTAGGAGCAACAACAGCAGAGAGACTGGCGACAGCAGAGAAATCAGCGCCAGCATCGAGACAGGGTTATTTCAGTGTCAACTTAGTGCATCTCGCATCTGAGCTTCTCACGGCCCGCTCACTCGCTAAGCTTATCCAGTTCACAATCTTTCAAGGCTTGACGCTCAGAATCTTCGCCGTTTCCGGACCGCGTGGTGTCCTGGAGGAAAAATACAGTTTCGGACGTCACTAAATTCAAAAGTACAGGCCGCTAAGATGCAGCTGCAGCTCTTAAGTCCGAAGCGCGCTCCCGAGCTCTTCGCCTTTGTGGGCGTCGCGTCGCTCTTATTGATAGGGCTTCTATGTAGTTCGTATTTGCAGCTGCTACCGCAAGACTGCTTCTGTCCAAACCTAGAGAATCCCGAGCTGTCTACCGCCGCCGCCGCCGCCGCCTCCGCCGTCGCTTCCGCTTCCGCCTCGTCTCTTTCCAGAGACCTCATCAGCGCAAGACGCCATTTAGAAATCAGTGGAGTTTCCGCCACCTCCGCCGCCGTTTCCGCAGCGGAAGTCTCGCAGGCCCTCCCTGCAGCGACTATCGGATCCGACGCTGCGTTTTCCGGCGGGAACGCCGGCGGCGTTGGGGCCAATCATCAGAACGCAGCTGGCGACGGTAACAACCAGCAGTTTATTTACGTGTACGACACGCAATGGGCGTGGACGGAGCCAATGAAAGGGCTCGATACGGATTGGTATTCGGACCAATACGAGGTGGAAACGGTGCTAACGGAGATCCTTATGCGCACTAACGCGATTCGCACGACGGATCCCGAAAAGGCGACGCTGTTTTACGTGCCGTACTACGCGTCGAACCACATCGCGCACGTGAACAGGCTGATGAAGAACATGATGCAGACGGCCGTCGCGGAGGTCTCTAAGGTGAGAAGCGAGTCTGCTTATATCGAGTCGGATCGTGCCGCGTCGAATGCATCCGTAGAATGAAGTCGTCATCGCCATGATTGGCCGAGCCTCCATCGTTGGGAAGATACGATACGATACGATACGATACGATACGATACGATACGAGACGATACGGTTCGGTACGATACGATAGTCAGTCAGTCAGGGCGAAAAGCCTCCACCCTATTGACCTGGAAAGCCTCAAAAGGCTCAAAAGCCCCACAAAGTCTTGCAAAGCCGCCAAGCCGTAAAGTCACAAAACCACCGTCAAGTCAAGGTCCTGATTCGGTAAAGGCCAGCACACTATTGATTCGCTGCGACTGGCACTTCGTTTGAGTCAACACAAGAAACGTCTCTTCTCTCCTGCCCCTCCCTTCTCTTCCCCCAGACCTGGCAGGAGATTCTCACCATGATTCGCCGCGACTTTCCCTACTTCAACCGCACCAACGGCCGAGATCATTTCAGCACGAGCACGTTCGATCAGGGCCGTTGCCACGCGCTGACGTGGGTCATCCCGGACTTGTACGGCGAGATGTTCTTCGTGATGCTCAACGGGGACCGCCTCGCGCGCACCATTCACGCGTCGGTTGAGCGCAACTTGCAGGTAGGGAGGGAACCTGCAGGTTGGGGGGAAGAGGGGCTTGCGTTGCGCCTCGCCCGCACCATCCACGCGTCTGTCGAGCGGAACCTGCAGGTGCGTGCATGCGGGTGTGTTTAGGTGGTGAGGGAGGGAAGGTGCTGGTAGGTAGGTAGGGAGGGAGGGAGAAGAGCAGAGGAGCTCGTACCAATCTCTCAATGATGGTGCTAGGCTTAATGGATACATTACGTCTAATTGAGGAAACAGGTAGGCACTACTCTAGATCCAATGGATTCAATTGCGCACTACTCGCCCGTGCAGCTCGTGCTCTAATCCCGTTCTCGCCCCACTCCCCTCGCCCCTCGCCCCTCGCCCCTCGCCCCTCGCCCCTTTCCTTTCCCCACAACTCATCACTGCAGCCGCAGTTCCCCAACGTTCCATTCTACATAAGCTAAGCTAATCCCTCTTCCCCCGCACCCCCACCCACCCAGTCACCCCCTCCCCCCTTGAATGCACAGATTGTGGGGTACAACTACAACAGCGCGCCACTGCAGCTGCAGTTCCCAGACGTCCCATGCTACATAAGTAATCTTCTTTCTACCCCTTGCGCGCACCCCCTCCCTCCCCCACGCCCCCCTCCCCATCCCCTCCTCCGAATGCACAGATAGTAGGGTACAACTACATCAGCGCGCCTCTGCAGCCGTGACATTGTCGTGCCTGCCTTCATTGGCGACCAGGTGGGTGGGCTTCCACAAGACATTGCGCTTCTTGAGGCGCCTAGGATATTGTGGCATGGCAGTTCCCTACCCCGACATTCCATGTTACGTGCCCGACCATGACATTGTCGTGCCTGCCTTCATTGGCGACCAGGTGGGCTGCCCCATCCTCTCACGTCCCTCACGCCACGTCCCTCACGCTACGTCCCTCACGCCACGTCCCTCACGCCACACCTTCCTCTCCCCCGCTCTCCCCGACGTGCCCTGCTACGTGCCCGACCGCGAGTTTTGACTCTGAGACGTCTCAAAACCCCCAGGTGGGTTGCCCCATCCCCTCACGTCACGTCCTTCTCTCACGTCACGTCACGTCCCTCACGCCACACCCTCCTCTCTCCACACTCCCCGACGTCCCCTGTTACATGCCCGACCGCGAGTTTTGAGACGGCTATTCATTAATGCGAAAGGGCAAGGTACAGCATGTAATGTTCGTAGCAATGTGTGGTGTAGAGAGCTACAGTGGTTTGGTACAATCAACAATCAATCAACCCCTTTGTTGGCGACCAGGTGGGTTGCCCCATCCCCTCACGCCACGTCACATCCCTCATGCCACGTCAAATCCCTTACGCCACGTCACGTCCCTCACGCCACGTCACGCCCCTCACGCCACACTCTCCTCTCTCCCCGACGTCCCCCGGACCTCCCCCCTCACTCACACCCCTCGCCCCCACGCTCTCCCCTTATGCCCCCCTACCCCCTCCAGATACCCATAGTGTCGCCCTTCGCCGGCAACCGCCCCATCCAAGCCATCTTCCGCTTCTCACCCTCTCCCTGCTCCTGCCCACACGTCCCATTCCCCTTCCTCCCTCCCCCTCCTCCACCCCTCCAACCCCCCAGCTGCCCATGGTGTCGCCCTTCACTGGCAATCGCCCCATGCGAGCCATATTCCGCTTCTCAGCAAAGGAGGGCCACAACGCGCCCCTCATGCACCACGGCCACGACTTACGCCCCGAGCTGCTCAGTGTATGTGTGGCGGGGGCTTGTGGGTAGAAGGTTGGGTGGTGAGAAGACAGGCAAGGCCACAACGCGCCCCTCATGCACTACAGCCGTGACCTGCGCCCCGAGCTGCTCAGTGTATGTGTGGTGCGGGAGGGCTTGTGGGTTGGCGATGAGGTTGGGGGAGTTGGGCTTAGTGCGGGGTGGGCTGACCAGTGACCAGCAAGGCCACAGCGCGCCCCTCATGCACCACGGCCACGACTTACGGCCCGAGCTGCTCTGTGTATGTGTGTGTGTGAAAATGAGGATATTGCGAGAGAGGGGTTGGAGGGTTGGTTGGTGGTAAGTGGGTAACCCAGCAAGGCCATAACGCGCCCCCTCATGCACCACGGCCACGACCTGCGCCCAGAGCTGCTTGCTGTACGTGTGTGGGGTTGGCGATGGGGTTGTGGGTGTGGGAGTGGAGTGGGGAGTGGGGAGTGGGGTTGGGGCGATGGGGTTTCGGGCGGGGTAAATGGCCTTCTCAGCGCCCAGCAGGGCCACAGGGCGCCTCTCATCACCTCATGCCCCACAGCCATCACTGCTGCCCCTTATGCCCCATGTTTTGAGTCAAATCAAAACACGACTTGCGCCTCCCATGCACAACGGGGCGCCCCTCCCTTCCCCTCCCCTCCCCTCCCCTCCCCTTCCCTCCCCTCCATCCCATCCCATCCCATCCGCTCCCACCCCCCCTACCCCCGTCCCCCACCCTCCTCCCCCCCACACGCGTGCAGATGTACCAGAAGCAGCGCATCAAGGGGTGGAGCTTCGCAGCCAACAAGGAGCAGCGCAACAAGGAGCTTCCCTCTCCTCCCCTCCACTTCCCCTGAAAATTACTCCGTCTCTCCCCCACCGCACACGCGTGCAGATGTACCAGAAGCAGCGCATCAAGGGGTGGAGCTTCGCAGCCAAGATGGAGAACCAGACGAACGAAGAGCTTCCCCCTAGACTCGACTGAAAAGTCCCCTCCTCTCCCACCTTTCCTCCCCCCCACACGTGTGTGCAGATGTACCAGAAGCAGCGCATCAAGGGGTGGAGCTTTGCAGCCAAGCTGGAGAACCAGACGAACAAGGACTGGCAAAAGAGTGTTTTCTGCATCTGCCCGCCCGGCCACTCCCAGTGGACCAGCCGCCCCTTCAAGGTGCAAGTGGGTGTGAGTCAAACTAGTCAGTCATTCAAGTCAATGAAGTCAGTCGAGTCAATGCCACTCCCAGTGGACCAGCCGCCCCTTCAAGGTGCGAGTGGGTGTGAGTCAAACTAGTCAGTCATTCAAGTCAATGAAGTCAGTCGATTCAATGCCACTCCCAGTGGACCAGCTACCCCGCACTGGTCAATCGGGTCCATCGGGTCAGGTGGGCTTGCGACCACTCCTCAACCACTCCCCAGTGGACCAGCCCCCCCTTCAACGTGTGAGGCAGTCTGGGTTTTTAAGGATCAGATACATATGCATATACACATACATATACACATACATATACACATACATATACACATACATATACACATACATATACACATACATATACACATACATATACACATACATATACACATACATATACACATACATATACACATACATATACACATACATATACACATACATATACACATACATATACACATACATATACACATACACATACACATACATATACACATACACATACACACACATACACATACACATACACATACACATACACATACACATACACATACACGTATACATATCCTACTTATCCTTCCGAACCCTAGTCCCTCCGCCATTACCAACTCCCCTTGTCCGCCTAGACCACCCCTGACAATAGGGTCCACTGCGGGACTTTTTTTAGAATCTCGCAGAAGATTTTTTCTGGAAATTATTTTAGGAAATTTCCAATATCTCTTACCAACTCCCCCCTGTCCGTCTAGCTAACCACTTCTGACAATTAGGGGGTGTGACTTTCCTTAGAAACCAGGCCGCAACATCACGTGGGGTGTGATAGGATTAACCGATCCACCTCTCATCATCCAAGACGTAATACCTTCATCTTCCCTCTTCCCTTCTCTGCTTTCCTCTTCCCCTATTCCAGGCAATCATCTCAGGGTGCATTCCAGTGACGTTCTTCCGCGGTCACGACAATCCATGGGGACGGCGATGCGGACTAACCAAGACTCCCCTCCCCCCCAATCGCCTTCCCCCAACCCCAACTTCATAGGCGCTCATCTCAGGGTGCATCCCAGTGACGTTCTTTCAAGAGCATGACAACCCCTGGGACTATGAGCTGGACTACTCCTCCTTCTCCATCAACGAGCTGCAGCATGACAGCCCTCTTTCTATAATATAAAGAAAAAAACTATGTTGTTGTTGGTTTTTTTTTTTTTTTTTTTTTTTTTTCTAATGTGTATACAGGCATTGATATCCGGGTGCATCCCAGTGACGTTTTTCCGAGAGCACGGCAATCCGTGGGACGATGAGGTGGACTACTCCTCCTTCTCCATCAACATCGATCCGGACGACATTGCTTCGCTGCGCTCCCGCCTCGAGAGCGCTCCCGTGGAGCAGCTGCAGCGCGGCGTGGAGAAGGTGCAGGTGGGTGCAGTGCGGTGGAGTGTGGTGGAACAGTGGTTGTTGTGGGTGGGGTGCAGTGAAATGGGTGCAGTGAGGTGGGATTGGTGCAGTGCGGTGAAATGGGTGGAGTGCAGTGAAATGGGTGCAGTACGGTTGAGTGGGGTGGAGTGTGGCTGATTGGGTGGGGTGCGGGAGAATGGGTGCAGTGTGGTGAAATGGGTGGAGTGTGGTGAAATGGGTGGAGTGTGGTGAAATGGGTGGAGTGCGGTGAATGGGTGCAATGCAGTGGGATGGGTGCAGTGCGGTGGTATGGGTGCAGTGCGGTTGAGTGGGTGAAGTGCGGGAGAATGGGTGCAGTGCAGTGAAATGGGTGCAGTGCGGTTGAGTGGGTGCAGCGCGGTTGAGTGGGTGGAGTGTGGTGAAATGGGTGGAGTGTGGTGAAATGGGTGGAGTGCGGTTGATTGGGTGCAGTGCGGTGGAGTGGGTTCAGGTGGGTTGGAATTGTCGCAGACGCTCCCATGGGGGGGGTGGGGGGGGGGGCAGGTATGAGCTTATAACGAGGTCTTGGTGACTTTTGAGTCGACTCAAAAAGCAGAGTACGAGCTTCTAAAGAGGTCTTGGCTAGATGGGGCTCCTTCCGTAATGTTACCACCACTCATCCCTGCTTTCCCCACCTCCCTCTCCCCCTGCCCGTGCATGTTTAAGTGGTCGCGGACGGTCGCACACATGGGTTGGAGAGAACGAGCGTATTAAGGAGCTGTTTTCACAGCAAAGTCCTTCCCACTTCCTTCCCCCCGCACTTCCTCTCCCCTCATTTCCTTCCCTCCTCACTACCTTTCCCCTACTCGCCCCTTGATGCCACCAGCACATGTTCAAGTCGTCGAGAACGCACACACAAGGGGGAGGGTATGAGCTTTTAACGAGGTCTTGGCGTGAAGGGGCTCCTTCCCTAATGTGACCCCTCTTCCCTGCTTTCCCCACCTCCCTCTCACCCCCTTGATGCCACCAGCACATGTTCAAGTGGTCGCGGACACACACACAAGGGGCAGCGTATGAGCTATTAAAGAGGCTAAGGCAGCGTGGGGAGCAAATCTCCTCCACTGATCTCTCCCTATAACAGGCGTGCTTGTAGTGAAAAATATGGGATGATAGAAGCTGCCTCTGTATTCTAGTAATAACGAAATCGCATCTGTTGTGTTACAGATGGATTTTCTAAAAGTCTCCTTTTGCTTATCGTAATCCCCCCCGGAACAGAAGACCTCCGAATACAAGGGTGGGCCTTTTATTCTGGCAGGTTTCGCTAAACCCCCCCTAAGTACCATACACACAACTGAACCTGCCTGGAACACTATTTCTTCTACCGTACCGTAGGGCATGGCATGGATGAATGGAAATGTGAGCTGTGGAGGTGCTTGCAGTCTATAAGAGTATGAGAATAGATCAGCTTTAGCATCACTCTACACTAGAGCAAACGAGGGTGTTTTGTGTCTGATAACAATCAGACCAAGTGCTTTTTTAGGATTCTCAAATATTACAGAAGAGGGGCAAGTGTAGTTTGGAGAAAAGAGCCTGCCTTATTTTCAGTGGTTATAGAATACCGTAGGGATAGCAAGACATCACCCTGTTTGAGTGGGCAAAGTGGAGTGACAGTTTTGGGGTTGACAGTGCGACACATTCCCCGTTTTGGTGGAGAGTGGTGCAGGTGCAATGTTGAAGCGCTTGCAAAGTTCTTATGCATACTTGGTTGCTGAGAGATGAATGGCTTCTGGCGAGTAAGAGATGTTAAGGCCGAGAAACTGCTTCATGTCATGGTTGCAGGTGATGTCGACGCGCCCCGCGAGATTCTTCTCGAACTGCTCAAGCAGCTCGTTGCTTGACCCTGTGTAGAGGAGGTCGTCGACGTAAACCGTGAGCACGATGTATTCGCCGCGGAAATCACGGCGATACATCCCTGGATCGTGAGGCAGCTTCTTGAAGCCAATTTCAAGCAGGATGTTGTGCAGGTACTGCTGCCAGAGCCTTGGCACCTGTTTGATCCCGTAAAGGGACTTTCGCAGCTGGCACACACGTGAATCTCCTTCGCCGTACGTGTGCGGCTGCTCCACATAGATCACAGCATCTACTAACGCGTAGAGGAACGTGTTATTCACATCGATCTGCCGAAGCGGTAAGTGTTTTGCGGCGGCAATAGTGAGGAAGATTATGACGGAGGTGTGACGGCTGACCGGCGCAAACGTTTGGTCGAAGTCGATGCCGTGCCTCTGGTCGTAGCCACGCACGACCCAGCGCGCCTTAAATCGCTCAATCGTGCCATCCGCTGCGGTCTTCACGCGGAAGACCCATTTCCCGGAAAGAATCCTTCTCCCCTTGATCGCCGCTCGATCGACAAGCACCCAAGTGTCGCGGGACTCAAGTGCCTTAATTTCCGCATCCATCGCCTCGCACCATTCCTTGCTGTGTGGTCCCGTGAGTGCTTGGCGCGGATTCTTCGGCTCGATGACACGTGGCGCCGTTGAGGTGGCGGTGTGGAGCCCGAGAAGCTGAAGTCCAGAGACGGTGCTGTCGTGACAGTGCTGCGGGATGACCTCCTGCACGTCGTCGTCGTCGCTCTCTGGTTCAGGTGGTGCTGGCGGTGCTGCGCCTCTGCCGCTTCCGCTTCCGCCTGCTGCGCCTGCTCCTCCTCCGGGGGAATCGTCGTCGTCGTCGTCGTCGCTGCTGCGGAGATCGCCTCTTGTGAACTCGCCTCTGGTGTCCTGCTCCAGAATGGCTGCTGCAGCTTCGTCCTCAGGTGTGGCGTCGCTGTGCCCGTCGTTGGCGTAAACGCGGTTCGCGTTCGCCTGCTCGTCTTCGCGAAATTGCTCGAGGAAGAGCCGCTCGTAGAAGATGACATCGCGCGCGTTCGTGATCTTCTGGCTCAGGAGGTCCAGTATGAGCCACGCCTTGAGCTCGTGGCTGATGCCGAGGTGAATTCCCCAGCGCGCACGGCTTGCGAATTTCCCGATAGTTGACGTTGGCGGGCGGTACTGCACCATGCATCCCCACAAGCGGAGCATGGATGTGTCGCCCTTGGTACCTGTCCACTTCAGATGGGGCGACAGGTTGCCGGTGATGGCAGTGGTTGGCAGCAGGTTGTGCACCCGCACGGCGTGGTGCATTGCGTGGGTCCAGTAGATTGGCGGAAGCTTCGACTGCTTCATCAACCCCCGCACATTCGTCATGAGTGTACGGTTCGTGCGCTCGGCTACGCCCTGCTGCTGGTGCACGTAGGGGAGGGAAATGTGGTGCTCGATTCCCTTCTGTGCAAGGTAATCCTGCAGCACCTTGCTCCTGAACTCCGCTGCGCCATCTAATTGCCAGATTTTCAGCTTCTCCCCAGATTGCCGCTGCGCGTGCGCCAGCCAGAGGCAAAAGACTTCGTACGCTCTGCTGCGCGCCTCCATGTTCACGATCCAGACATAGCGCGTTCCTGCGTCGACAAAGGTGAGCGTATACAGCTTGTCGTTGATTCCGCAATGCCCCACGTTGAGGAAGTCGCTGTATACTTTGTGTAGCTTGGGGTAGCGGTTGGTTCCAGGTTCGAGCAGCGGGAATGGCTGATGACTCATCGCAGCTTCGGGGCAGATGGTGCAGTTGCGCGGCTGTGTCGTGCTCCTCACTTCGGTGCCATCTGGGCGCAGGAGTGCGCCAGACGCAAACACGCCGGCCTAGATGCAGTTCTTCAGCGTAACGCGCGAGGGGTGACCGAGGAGCTGGTGCCAGAGGGCATCGTCGGCGCGGAACCCAGAGGTGCGCATGTAGCGTGCGCGCGCTGCTTCGGGATCTTCGTCAGGTACTTGGGCAGGTTCCACCGCAGCTTCTTCAGCTTCTTCTTCTTCGTTTGCCGTCGTCAGCATCAGCGCCAAGAATTCCCTGTCAAGAATTACGGAGAAGGGAATATTAGTCCCGGGGATGGTTCCAGGAACAAAGGTTGGTTCGCGCGGCTCGGGAGCAGGCCCGTAGACGGTGCGCCGCGGGGTAGAGGGCTCGTTGTCCCAGTCGATGGTGTCCCAAGGGTCGCTTCCTGGCTGGATGTCAGGTGGGGGTAGTGCGGGTGCAGGACGGCGCGGGGGGCGACCAAGAGGAACATCAAGAGGTTCTGCCTCTTCTTTTTCTTCCCCCCTTTGGTCCTCGCGGGAAGTTCCCCAGCCTTCGCCGGAAGTGCCCCAACCGCTTGTTTCGCCGCCAGATGCGGCCCCCCTGCTTCAATTGCAAAACAAATTGCTGGGGACTTGAGACTTTTGGGAATCTGAAACATTCGCTGGTACTTTAGCTTCGGCACCGAACCAGTTTCTGTGCCTAGATGGTTCGGAAACAACCTGCGACTTGTTTTTTCCTCGCACCCCTCGCTTCACTCCTCGTCAACTTCTGTACCTCGCCATCCAATCCCAGTCTAGCACTATTCACCAACTGCAAAACAATTGAAGTACTTGAGATCCTGGCTTTAAGAGAAACACTGCAGGTCCAAGCTTAACTATTACATCAAGAAGCAGCAGCGTGCTTGCAAACCAGATGGGATTTCTTTGGACTACAATACAAAAAACACCTTCTACCATCACTATTTTCATTACAAACACGCCTGCTATAGGAAGAGAGCGGTGGAGGAGAGTTGCTTGCCTCGCTGTCTTAGCCTCTTTAAAAGCTCATACTCCGCTCCCCATGTGTGTGTCCGCGACCACTTGAACATGTACTGATGGGAGAGAGCGGGAGAGAGCAGGATGTGGCGAAAGGGGGATGAAGGGTCACATGAGGAAAGGAGCTCTTCATGTCAAGGGCTCGTTACAAGCTCGTACTCCCCCCCCCCCCATGTGTGTGTTCGCGACCACTTGAACATGTACTGATGGCATTAGAGGGAGAGGGGCCGGACGGAAGGGGGGGGGGGTGGGGGGGGGGAAGGGGAGGTTTCATGTCAAGTCTTCGTTACAAGCACATACTCCGCCCCCCATGTGTGTGTCCGCGACCACTTGAACATGTTCTGATGGCATCAAAAGGAGAGAGCGGGTGGGGAAAGGGGGATGGGGGGTCACATGGGGAAAGGTGCACCCTTATGCCATGACCTCCTTACAAGCTCGTACTCCACCCCCCATGTCTACGTGTGCAACCACTTGAGCACAGACATCAAAGGTAGAGACAAGAGGTGGGGAAGGGGGGATGGGGGGTCACATGGGGAAAGGAGCTCTTTATGTCAAGAGCTCTTCACAAGCTCATACTCCACCCCCCACGTGTGTGTGCGCATGCGACCACTTGAACATCTACTAATGGCATCAGGGGGAGAGTGTGGGTGTTGCGGCAAAGGGAGGATGGGGGGGCACATGAGGGAAGGAGCACCCCTATGCCTTGACCTATGTTGGAATATACGCTTTTAGCGTATATACGCGTATCGTGTATACGCTAGTGTATATACGCTATCCGCTTAGGGGTCGGTTTGGAGATACGTTTTTTTCGGGCAGGGAAAAACTTTCCCAGGCAGGGTGAAAAAAACGTCTTGCTCAACATCGGGAAGGTAGTCCCTATTCTCACTAAGACTTTCAAAGCAACTTTCCAAAGTCTGAACGGCGATTGGGGTAAGATGTGGAGTAGACACTAACGCTAGAAGGAGAAGTAGGAATCTGAAGGAACTCTATTGGGAAGCGGGAATGTGAACTACAAATGACAAGTGGATTTGGGTGGGCTGGTGGTAAGTAGCGTGAGTGGGGTTTGTTGGGGGAAGTTTTTTGACAGGTTGGAGTTTGTAGATCGGATGGGTGACGGGTTTCAATGCGGTACTAACCAATTGTTCAAATTTGAACTGGCAGGTGCGACTGGAAACTTCGAAGGCACATTCCCGCTTCGCTATACTGCCGAATTGCATTTCGACTTCGGCGAAATGCCCAGCATAAGAATCCGCACCTTTTTGTATACACACGGAAAAAAAATCCTGGGCAGCCCCTAAAAATTTATGAGTGCGTCTAGCGTATTAGCTAGCGTATCGCGTTTTGCGTATACACACTAGCGTATATACGCTATACGCTTAAGGGTCTGAGCGTCTATTCCAACAGAAGCCATGACCTCTACAAAAGCTCATACTCCGCCCCCCATGAGTGAGAGAGGGAGGGAGAACGGAAGGGGGATGGGGGGAGGGGAGGGGTCAAGTCAAGACCACTTTACAAGCACCTCCATTGTGCCCACTCGTGAGACTACGGTCGCACATGTATTGAAAGGAGGAGGGGGAGAGCGAGTAAAGAAAGGGGGAGACAGCAGGAAAGAAGGGGGAGAGGAAGGAAGAGGGAAGGAGGGGCGGAAGAGGTGAGCGCAAGGAGGCAAGGGAGCGAGGCATGAGCCGCGTCAGTCTTGCCAAGCTGGAGGTGTTCGTCCTGAACAAGGTCGCGAATGAAGTAATGGCGGAGCGTGATATGCGTGGAACACCCATGTAACGCAGCATCCTTGGTGAGGTAGATGGTGCTGGCATTGTGATACTAAATTGTGGGACTTTGTTGAGGAACACCAAGCTCCTCAAGAAGGAAGATGAGCGCCATCGAGCCTTCTGGATCGCCACGGTGGCGACGTACTGTTCTGCTTCACAGGAGGAGATGACGATGACAGATAAGCAGGTGGATTGTCAACTAATGACACCCCTTTCAAGAGAGAATCTGCAGCCCTGCGAGGAGCGACGATTCGGCCAAGAATCAGCCCAAGTTGAGTCGTTGTAGCCGGGGAGAAGGAAAGGAGAGGGCCGCCAAGGGTAAGAATATAGTCCTTGGTGCCACAGAGGTAGTGGCGAACGCACTTGGCAACTTGCCAGTGCTCATCGGTATGCTTGTCCATGCCAACAGAATGAGCATGAACGCTGATGAATCACACAAGGTCCAGGTGGGCGGACAGCGGACTCCATGACGTCATGGTGACGTCACAAGACAAGAGAGAGCCGATGCGTTGGAGTCGTGCACCCGGCACTGCACAACATGCTTGGCTTGGAGAAATGATGTGATCTCGTCTGTATGGCGCACAAGGGTCAAGTCGTGCACATGGCACTTCGCAACGGTTTTTTGTTTGGGGAAATGACGTGATCTCGCATAACTGATACTAATGTCCAGTTTCTCCAGGGGGAAAAAGCGTCTAGCGTTTTGATTACTACAACCCACCTGCATCTTCTCCACGCCGCGTTGCAATTGCTCCACCGGGGCGGTCTCGAGGCGGTAGCGCAGCGAAGCAATGTCGTCCGGATCGATGTTGATGGAGAAGGCTGAATAGTCCACCTCATCGCCCCAGGGGTTGTCGTGGTCTCGGAAAAACGTTACTGGGATGCACCCTGAGATGAGCGCCTGGAACGCGGGAAATGGGGGAATGAACGGGAAAATGTATGGGGGGGAGGGGGGGCAAGCAAGGGTGAGTCAAGGCAAGTGCTACAGTGCTAGTCCACTGGGATGCACCCGGAGATGAGCTCCTGGCGGATTTTGAGTCAACTCAGAAACCGAGTCAAGGAAACGATGTCAAGGCAGCTGAGCAAGTGCTACTGTGCTAGTCCACGGGGATGCAGTTGGAGATGAGCGCCTGGCGAAGCGGGTGGGGGGAAGGAGGAAACGGGGGGAAGGGGGGAATGTGAGGAAAGGGGGGAGTGAAAGGGAGAACAAGGTGGGGAGGGGCACGGTGAACGGGGTTGTCGTGACCATTTAAATGAGCTCATTGACTAGATTGATTTGATCGACTTTAATGACCCGCACCGCTTCCCACCTTGAAGGGGCGGCCGGTCCACTGGGAACGGCTCGGATGCAGCCTATACAGAAACTGTTACTGTATGATTGGGTTACAAATTCCGTATAGTTGGGTTACCATCACTGTAGCCAGTCGCACCTTGAAGGGGCTGCTGGTCCACCAGGAGTGACCCGGCGGGCAGATGCAGAAGACACCCAGCTGCCACTCCTTATTGGTCGCGTTCTCCCCCTTGAGAGATTGGGAAGCTACCAATCCCACACGACGCATGACTTTTGAGTCGACTCAAAAGTCAACTCCCCCTTGCGAGACTGGGAAGCTACCAATCCCACACAACGCATCCACGCTAGGCTTGAGCAAAGTGGCGAAGTTCGAGGCGAACCGAACAGGTTTTGTTTTTCAGCTTAAATCGTTCGCCCGAACGTGTTCGAGGTTCGCCCGAACACGTTCGTGTTCGTGGCGCTGCTTCAAAACGCCCCGTGTCGAACACGAACGTGTTCGAGGTTCGCCCGAACATGCCTCCACAGGCGAACAGCGAACACCTGTTTTTGGCTAAACTGTTCGCCGAACCGAACAGTGTTCGGTTCGGCAAAAGGACGTGTTCGAGAAGGGGCGAACACGAACATGTTCGTGTTCGCCCTTTGCTCATCCCTAATCCACGCACAACGCACCTTGAAGGGGCGGCTGGTCCACTGGGAGTGGCCTGACGGGCAGATGCAGAAGACGCTGTACTGCCACTCCTTGTTCGTCTGATTCTCCCCCTTGGCTGCGAAGCTCCACCCCTGGATGCGCTGCTTCTGGTACATCTGCAGGCCCAAGGAGTTGTTTGGAGGGGAAGGGACGGTAGGTTAGGAGAGTGGAGGGCAGAGAGGGGAGGGAGGGAACCTTTGAGTCGACTCCAAAGGGGATGCTCCTTGTTCGTCTGATTCTCCCCCTTGGCTGCCAAGCTCCACCCCTTGATGCGCTGCTTCTGGTACATCTGCACGCGGGGGTGGGAGGACAAAGGGGTTTGGGGGGGGGGAGGAGGGAGAGGAAGCTCCTTGTTCGTCTGATTTTCCCCCTTGGCTGCGAAGCTCCACCCTTTGATGCGCTGCCGCTGGTACATCTGCACCCACGAGGGGCAGTCTGAGTGGAGGAGGGGTGAACGGAATGCAACGTGCGTGAGTGCAAAGCTCCACCCATTGATGCGCTGCCGCTGGTATACCAGGCCGCCCAAGGAGAGGGGATTCAAGGGAGAGAGAGGTGGGGAGGAGAGGAGAGGGGAGGGAACGCTTTTGAGGCGCCTCAAAAGTCGCTGCCGCTGGTACACCAGCCCAGGCCGCCCAAGGAGTTGTTAGGAGAGGAGAGGGGATTCAGGGGAGGTGAGAGGAGGGGAGGGGAGGTGAGGGGAGGTGAGGGGAGGGGAGGTGAGGGGAGGGGAGGTGAGGGGAATGTCCTCGTTGCTCGTGTTCTCCCCTTGGCTGCAAAGCTCCCCCCCATGATGCGCTGCCGCTGGTACATCAGCCTGTCCATGGAGTTGTTAAGAGAGGAAAGGGGAGGGGTGGGGAGGGGTGGGGAAGGGTTGAGAGGGATGGGGAGGGGGGGGGGGAGGAGAGGGGAGGGGAGGGGAGGAGAGGGGAGGGAAGGGGAGGGGAGGGGAGGGGAGACGGGGGAGGGAAGGGGAGGGGAGGGGAGGGGAGGGAAGGGAGGGGTGGGGAGGGGAGGGGAGAGGAGGGGAGGGGTGGGGTGGGGTGGGGTGGGGTGGGGAGGGGAGGGGAGGAGAGGGGAGGGGAAGGAAGGGGAGGGATGGGGAGGGGTGGGGTGGGGAGCGGTGGGGAGGGGTGGGGACCATTAAGTCGACTCCAGGAACTGCAGCATCTCCTCTCCCCCTCCCCGCCCCCTCTCCGCCCGCACACCAGCAACCGACCCATTGGCATGCAAAATTAGGGAAGAGATTCGATATAGTGTACGAAAATTCAAGAACTCCCTTCTCCGCCTCCCTCTTCCCCTGCTTGCACTCACTCACTAACCATCCAAACTTCAAGACGCCTCAAAACTCTATCCACGCCCCTAGCCCCTCCCTCTCTCTCCTTCTCCTCTCCCCTCCCCTCACCCCCCCTCACTCCCCACCCACTCCCCACGCCCCGCTCCCACTCCCTCCCCCTCTCACGCATACACTGAGCAGCTCGGGGCGCAGGTCGTGGGCGTAGTGCATGAGGGGCGCCCTGTGGCCCTGCTGGGCTGAGAAGGCCATTCCCCTCATCCCCAACCCCATGTGAGGCGCTTTGTGACCCCCAACCCCATCGCCAACCCCACTCTCCACCACCCTATCCACACACGCGCACGCACACTGAGCAGCTCAGGCCGTAAGTCGTGGCCGTGGTGCATGAGGGGCGCCCTGTGGCCCTGCTGGGCTGAGAAGCGGAAGATAGCTTGGATGGGGCGATTGCCAGTGAAGGGCGACACTATGGGCATCTGAGGGGGTGGAGGGGTGGAGGAGGGGGAGGGAGGAAGGGGAATGGGACGAGTGGGCAGGAGCAGGGAGAGGGTGAGAAGCGGAAGATGGCTTGGATGGGGCGGTTGCCGGTGAATGGGACACTATGGGTATCTGGGGAGATTGGGACATGAAGGGGGGAGTGGGATGTGTGTGCAAAAGCAAGAGACAGAAAGTGAGAGCGGAAAATGGCTCGTATAGGGAGATTGCCAGTGAAGGGTGACACCATGGGCACCTGGGGGAAGGGGGGGGATTGGGGGGAAAGGTGGGGGATTGGGGGGAAGGGGCGAGGGCAGCAAGGGAGAGGCTGAGAAGCGGAAGGTGGCTCGCAGGGGCGATTGCCAGTGAAAGGCGATACCATCGGCACCTGGTGGGGTGGGGGGGGTTGGGGTGGGGAGGGAGAGAGGCGCAAGGGCAGAAGGGGGAATGTGAGAAGCGGAAGGTGGCTCACATGGGGTGATTGCTGGAAAAGGGGATACCAATGGGCACCTGGTGGGGTGGGGGGATTGAGTGGAGGGGTGGGGGGAGAGGTACGTGTGGGGAAGAGAGAGTGATTGAGTGAGAGACTGCGAGACTGCGAGAGTGAGAAGCGGAAGGTGGCTCACATGGGTCGGGTGCCAGAAAAGGGTGATACCATGGGTGTCTGGGGGGGGTGAGGAACATGGGAGGGACAAGGACAACCCATCTGATGGCCTCAAAGGCCACGTACTAGGCGACACGATGCTGTCCCAATCGGCATGTGCGTGTGTGTGTGTGTGTGTGTGTGTGTGTGTGTGTCTGTGTGTGTGTGTGTGTGTGTGTGTGTGTGTGTGTGTGTGTGTGTATGTGTTCATATATATATACCCACCTGGTCGCCAATGAAGGCGGGCACGACAATGTCACGGTCGGGCATGTAGCATGGAATGTCGGGAAACTGCGGCTGCACTGGCGAGTTGTAGTTGTAGCCTATGATCTGCGAGGGGTGAACGGAGGGGTGGGTGGGGTGGTTGGAGGTTGGAGGAATACGCCCCTGGCCAGCACAGGCGAGTTGTAGTTGTAACCTATGATCTGAGAGGGGGCGAGTGGGAGATGGGAGAGGGGAGATGGGAGAGAAGAGTTAGCAGAGGTGGGAGAGGGGGGGTGGGAGCGGAGGTGGAGAGGGGAGAGGGACGAGGGGCGAGGGGAGGCTAGAGAGAGGGGGGAGAGGGCAACCGGGAGGTGGGAGAGGGGAGAAGGGGGGATGTGGGGCGGGGAGGGTCCTCCCAAACCTGCAACTTTTCCTCCCAAGCCTGCAGCCTTTCCTCCCAAACCTGCAGCTTTTCCTCCCAAACCTGCAGCTTTTCCTCCCAAACCTGCAGCTCTTCCTCCCAAACCTGCAGCTTTTCCTCCCAAACCTGCAGCTTTTCCTCCCAAACCTGCAGCTCTTCCTCCCAAACCTGCAGCTTTTCCTCCCAAACCTGCAGCTTTTCCTCCCAAACCTGCAGCTCTTCCTCCCAAACCTGCAGCTTTTCCTCCCAAACCTGCAGCTTTTCCTCCCAAACCTGCAGCTCTTCCTCCCAAACCTGCAGCTTTTCCTCCCAAACCTGCAGCTCTTCCTCCCAAACCTGCAGCTTTTCCTCCCAAACCTGCAGCTTTTCCTCCCAAACCTGCAGCTCTTCCTCCCAAACCTGCAGCTTTTCCTCCCGAACCTGCAGCTCTTCCTCTCAAACCTGCAGCTTTCCCTACCGAACTTGCAGTTTTCCCTCTCAAACCTGCAGCTTTCCCTACCGAACCTGCAGCTTTCCCTCCCGAACCTGCAGCATTTCCTGCCGCACCTGCAGGTTCCGCTCGACAGACGCGTGGATGGTGCGTGCGAGGCGGTCCCCGTTGAGCATCACGAAGAACATCTCGCCGTACAGGTCCGGGCTGACCCACGTCAGCGCGTGGCAACGGCCCTGATCGAACGTGCTCGTGCTGAAGTGATCTCGGCCGTTGGTGCGGTTGAAGTACGGGAAATCATGGCGGATCATGGTGAGAATGTCGTGCCACGCCTAGAAGAGAAAGGCGGAGGAGAGACGGAGGGAAGAGGGGAAGAGAACGGGGGAAAGGGGAGGGGGAAAGAGGGGAAATGGCGAAGAGAGGGGAAAATATTACTTTAATTTTCTCAAAAGTACGGCACGACCCGACTCGATATAAACCGACTAACATCTCACCTTAGAAACTTCCCCGACAGAAGTATGCATCATGTTCTTCATCAGCTTGTTCACATGCATGATGTGGTTCGCCGAATAGTACGGCACGTAGAACAGCGTCGCCCTGTCCGGATCCGTCGTGCGAACCGCGTTGCTGTCCTTAATTAACTCCGTCAGCACCGATTCAACTTCGTATTGGTCCGAATACCACTCCTTGTCGGTGTCCTTAAGGTTCTCCGTCCACGCCCGTTGCGTGTCGTACACGTAAATAAACGGCCGGTTGCTATCGTCGTCCGCTGCGTCCTGATTGGTCCCGTCGTTCGCGCCGGAAAACGCGGCGACGGATCCGATCGTCGCTGCCGGGGAAGGCTGCGAGTCTCCCGCAGCGGGAACGGCAGCGGAGGTGGAGGAAGCTCCACGGGTTTCTAAATTGCGTCTTGCGGTACTGAGGTCTCTGGCAAGAGACGTGGCGGAAGCGGAACCGGCGGCGGCGGCGGCGATAGACAGCTCGGGATTCTTTAGGTTTGGGCAGAAGCAGTCTTGCGATGGCAGCTGCAAATACGAACTACATAGAAGCACTATTAAAATGAGCGACGCGACGGTCACGAAGGCGAAGTGTATGGGAACGCGCTTCGGACTTAACAGCTGCTGCAACTTAACGGCCTGTACTCTGATTTTAGAGACGTCCAGAACTACCATCTCCTTCGAGAACATGACGCGGTCCGGAAATCGCGAAGACGGTCTGAGCGTCAATCCGTGAAAGAGTGTAAACTGGTAAGTTTAGGGTTTGAATGCGCTGTGAAGAAGCTTAGACGGTAATGGACACTGGGTTTACGCTGAAGTGGTCCAATCTTGCTATTTGTCGCTGATCTCGCTGCTGTCGCTGTTAGCTGGAACAGCTGCTGCTCCTCTAGCGAGGAACCACCTCGTGGACGACTCTAGTGCGCACTCGGAACTGAGTGTGTGTGTGTGACTGACTGAGACTGTATTGTATAACACATCCGCGACGCGAGCGAACAGCGTCCAGCATTTAGAATTAGCAGTTCCTGTGTGTGGTGTGGTGGTTTGTAAATACTAGGTGGCTTGAACATCAGGCAGGTGTGCGTTCGGAATTTGGTTCGGGACAAGTCAGTGGCCTGGTGAGTCATCAACGGTGATAGACTTCGTGCCTTGGTTGGGGAGTTTCCCTTCAACCAGGCCACTTGGTCTGGTTTCGCGAACGTCGCTCACGCGTTTCCGACCAACAATAGGGTGGAACCTTTTCTGTTACTGTGGCAGAAATCAGACGTTGGAGTTCAGGCGAATTTGGAAGTCTTGGGACGACTTTGTCGTGGTGCTGCACAGCATGCACCTGAATATTCAGTAGCAAAATTCCTTGACGCCCTCAGGGTCCAGGGGTATACTGAGATGGGTTTGATTAAGCAAAGGGCATCCCAGTTGTTGTGTGTGCCCTCCCTGATTCTTGCGAAACGTAGAGTGAGGGCCTAAAAAACTCTGTCACTTATAAATGGAATTCGTTTTTCTAGGAAAGGTCACTTTTACAGCTCATGCTGTCGATGGGAAAAAGCTCAGCCCAATCCTTACAATCAAATTAGTCCTGGTTTCGATCTTGTTTCCGAAACAAATAAGAACAAGGAATGAAAGTGTCGGAGAAACACTAAACAAATAAACGTTTCCATGATAATTGGCATGGCAGAACAAAAGCATTGTGTCGTGTTCTTTTCTGCCCAGCTATATCACAACACGACACGGTCTTTCCGGCCCAAGCCAGCCCAGGTCACTCCCTACACCTCGAGTCTGTGGCGGCCGTACACTCTGCCCTCTCCATTCTGTGGCTGCTCTGTTTGGCGTGACATGATCGTGTTACAACAACTGATTGGCTGGGGTCAGACCACCTTTCCCGAGTCCCCGTCACACAGCCCACCCACACCCCCCCGATTCCCGCCCCTCCCACCTTCCGTTCAGTTCTTGGATATCCGAGCGTCTCCAAGGGTTTCGAACCTCTGGTCTGGATCATCTCGAACTTGGGGCTCGGGTTCGGAAGCGCTGAAGCCGGTTCGGAAGACCTGAAGCGGAAGTTCGAAAGACGTTCTGCGGTGTGAACATATTTCTGCTGCACCCCACACCTATCACTTCATTTCTCAACACAACGAGTTACCGCTTCGAACCTCTACCCACCTTTCGAAACATCGATGCATGTATTGAGAGGGAGGTGGTGTGGTAAGCGATTAGGGAGAAATAACAGAGTACAGTTGAGAGTGTATTGGGAGGAACTTTGAAGTCGGAACCAAGAGACACCAGCAATAGCCACCACTGGTGTGGTGAAAGCTGCTTCAATGTTGAGCTGAGCAGTGTGAACTCAAGTTTTAGGTGCATTGAAGGTATTTTTTTATCGTGTTTGGCGGAGGAAAACCCGACTCGTTGAAGAGGGAAACACAATTCGGAGAACAGTTTGCGTGACTGGCAGCATGTCGATGAGCGCTCTTGCGCCCGACGCGCCCTTAGCACCTTCTAAGAGCCTCTCGTCGAATCGCCTCGTTGTCGTTCTTCTTGCGACTATTGGCCTTATCGCGACGCTGTGCATCCTCCGTCAAGAGCAGCCGCCTTGTATGTGCGAGAATGACGTCAGCACAGGCTCCAGTGCCAGTGTCGTTTTCCCCGTTAGTGAGCTTTCCGCTGCTAGAGTTAAGTGTCCATCGGTCGGCGGCGCTGCTCCGATTCGGCCTATAGAATACAAGGCGGCGAGCCCTTATAACGTGTACGCGCGGTTACCGACTAGTCCTGCGGACACATCCAATCCGCTTCTCGCGGCGGCTGCTGCGGAAGAGAAGAAGCCGTTTATTTATGTGTACGATTTCGGGACGAATTGTACGGACGACATCTCCGGGATGGACGTTCCGTCGTACGCGTTACATTTCGACCTCGAACGGAAATTGACGGAGCAGATTTTATCTGACGCGGGAGGCGTTCGCACGCACGACCCGAAACAGGCTACTCTTTTTTTCGTGCCCTTGTATTCTGCCCGGCTGCTACAGTACTACCTGAGCGGCTCGAAAGGAGGTTCGGACATGCGCGACGCGGTAGAGAAGGTCTCGAAGGTTTGGATGGCTCTGCTGACCAAGGTTCGGCGCGAGCCGCACTTTTACCGATCCAACGGCCGCGATCACTTCTCGATTTTGTCGACGCGGAACGGGAGATGCGACGCGCTGACGTACATAAACCCTACGATGCTCGGCGAGATGTTCTTCGTGACTTATAACGGGGATATTTTGGTGCGGAGCGTTCACACGGGATGGACACCCGATATGAGGGTAAGCAATTTGTAAAAAAACTTTCTTACCATGCGCACCATACGCATCTCAAATGAAGATGAGGATTTAGGTCCCAGGTGAAGGATTAAGTTGAGGTTCAGGTGAGATTATGAAATTATTGTTTATGTATAAATGCCAATTTATACGTGCAGATTCAGGTGGAGGTTCAGGTGGAGGTTCAGGTGGAGATTCAGGTGGAAATTCGGGTGGAGGTTCACGTTGGCGCTCTTCTTGAGATGTCACGCATTTTGGCCTTTGAACCAATCTGATGTACATTACACACGTGTTGTTGACCCCATCTCCCCCTTTCTCCCCCTTCCTCCCCTTTCCCTTCTCCGCGTCGCCCCCTTCCCCATATCCTTCATCCCCCACGCGCCTCCCCCACCACCTCTTCCCCTCCCCCTTCCCCTCCCCCTCCCCTTCCCCCTCCCCCTCCCCCTCCCCCTCCCCACCCTTCTGCTCTGCTCGCTCCTGCTGCTCTGCTCCCTACCTCTGCTCTGCTCGCTCCTGCTACTAAGGTGGCATTGCAGGTGCTATCGTATAACTACGGAGCGCCTATGAACGTCTCTATTCCAGACATCGCCTGCTATTCGCCCGGGCGAGACGTCGTCGTGCCGCCCCTGCTGACTCAGACACACGTCATCCCCCCCACGCACGCACACACTGCTTCTGCTGCTGCTGCTGCTGCTGGTGCTGGTGGTGATGGTGCTGCTGCTGCAGGCGATGGGTCAGGTGGTTTTTCAGGTGCTTCTGCTGCTGCTGCCGGCCCACCTGCATATGGAGGTCGCAGTATCCGTGTGCTGATGGTGACGTCAGCGGCCAACGTCGCTGACATAAGCAACTTCAGGATGAATGAAGGCCTGCACCATAACTATGCGGTGGAGAAGTGGTTGATTGAGGTGAGGAGTGGTTGAGAGGGGTGAGGAGTGGTTAAGTCGACTCAGATGTGTGTTTTGAGTCGACTCAAAACAAACAGCTTCAGGATGAATGAAGGCTTGCACCACAACTATGCGGTGGAGAAGTGGTTGATTGAGGTGAGGAGTGGTTGAGGAGGGTGAAGGGTGGTGGAGGGGGGTGAGGGGTGGTTAAGTCGACTCAGATGTGTGTTTTGAGTCGACTCGAAATAGACAGTTTCAGGATGAGTGAAGGCTTGCACCACAACTATCCGGTGGAGAAGTGGTTGATAGAGGTGAGGGGTGGTTGAGGGGGGTGAGGGATGGTTGAGAGGGGTGAGGATGTTAAATGGTGGAGTTCCAACGTGACAACGAGGAGGCTTTTAGGGTCCAAATTCTTAGACTTGTCAAATCTCAGCGTTCCCACATATCCCCCACCTCCCCTCCCCCTTCCCTCCCTCGGCTCCGTCCCACTCACTCCCTGTCCAGCTAGATGCGTCCAGCGCAACGGCCATCAAGAGGTGGACTGTGGGGTTTCGAATTGACTTTTGAGGCGCCTCAAAAGTCGCCTGTCCAGCTAGATGCGTCCAGCGCAACGGCCATCAAGAGGTGGACTGTGGGGTTTCGAATTGACTTTTGAGGCGCCTCAAAAGTCGCCTGTCCAGCTAGATGCGTCCAGCGGAACGGCCATCAAGAGGTGGACTGTGGGGTTTCGAATTGACTTTTGAGGCGCCTCAAAAGTCGCCTGTCCAGCTAGATGCGTCCAGCGCAACGGCCATCAAGAGGTGGACTGTGGGGTTTCGAATTGACTTTTGAGGCGCCTCAAAAGTCGCCTGTCCAGCTAGATGCGTCCAGCGGAACGGCCATCAAGAGGTGGACTGTGGGGTTTCGAATTGACTTTTGAGGCGCCTCAAAAGTCGCCTGTCCAGCTAGATGCGTCCAGCGCAACGGCCATCAAGAGGTGGACTGTGTGGGGTTTCGAATTGACTTTCCAAAAAGGTTCTTGGGTGGGGCACGGACCCTGAGACTTTCCAAACCTTTAAAACTCCCACGTATCTCCGAATTGCCCACGTATCTCCCGCTCTGCTCCCGTCCCACTCGCTCTCCACTCCAGCTCTACCCTACGCACGCATGCAATGCAGCGGCCATCAAGGGATGGACGGTGGTGATCGTCTCAAAAGCACTGAACCCCCCCTCTTCCTTTCCCCTTTCCCCCGCTCCCCCCCCAGCTCTATGCGTTCAACGCAGCGGCCATTAAGAGGTGGGGTGGAGCGACAACGCCGAGGCTTTAAGAGACGTCTCAAAGCTCAGGATTTTCACAGCTGCCCCGCTCTTCTCCCGTCCTACTCCCCCTCCAGCTCTATGCGTCCAATGCAGCGGCCATGGAGGGGTGGACGGTGGTGTTTCGAAGCGAAGCAGGTTGAGGGTCCAAATGTTAAAGCGTCTCGTAAGCACTCAACCACCCCCCCCTCCCCCCCCTTTTTCTTCCCCCTTTCCCCACTCCTTCCCACCCAGCTCTATGCGTCCAACGCAGCAGCCATCGAGGGGTGGACAGTGGTGTTCCGAAATGACAACGAGGAGGCTTTAGGGGTCCGGGGGGATGCCCCTGAAATTAGTCGTGCTGCTGCTGGTGCTGCTGCTGCTAGTGATGATGGTCCTGGTGCTGCTGCTGGTGCTGGTAGTGGTGATGGCGATGACGACAGCGAGTGGAGCAAGAGTGTATTCTGTCTCATTCCGCCTGGTCGGGCGCAGTGGACCTGCCAGCTGGCTAAGGTGAGCTCCACACCACACTCGCTCCTCCTCACTCACTCCTCCACACTCGCTCCTCCACACTCGCTCCTCCACGCTCCCTCCTCCACACTCACCCCTCCACACTCACTCTTCCACACTCACTCCTCCATGCTCACTCCTCCACTCACTCCTCCACACTCACTCCTCCACACTCACTCCTCCACACTCACTCCTCCACACTCGCTCCTCCACACTCACTCCTCCACACTCACTCCTCCACACCCACTCCTCCACACCCCCTTTACTCTTGGCCTTCGATCACCCTGCCCTCTTGATCCGCATACTCCCTCCCTCGCCTCTCCCCCCAAAACCACCCTTCCCGGGCAATCCTCGCAACCTGCACTCCGGTCTCACTCCCCGAAACCACCCTTCCCAGGCAATCCTCTCAACCTGCATTCCGTTCTCACTCCCCTTAACCCCCCTTCTCTCCCAGGCAATCCTCTCAACCTGCATTCCGGTCTCACTCACTCCCCTTAACCCCTCTTCTCTCCCAGGAAATCCTGCCAAGCTGCACCCCCGTCACATTCCTCCATGCCATGCCAACAACCCTCACCCTCCCCCCCTTCCTCACCTTCACCCTCCCCCTCCCCCTCCCAGCCTATCCTCTCAGGCTGCATCCCAGTGACGTTCCTCCGTGCCAACGACAACCCCTGGGCTGCATCCCTCTACCATCACAAAGCATCCCCACCAGCACCAGCCAGGGCTTGTGGCAATGCTGCATTACAATTCACAATCGCTTCCTCTTCCCCACTTTCTTCCCTCCCAGGCAATCCTCTCGGGCTGCATCCCAGTGACGTTCCTCCGCACCAACGACAACCCCTGAGCCCGTCCCTGTATCACCTCGGCCCCAGCACCAGCACTGCAACTTCCTCTGCCTCTGCTTCTGCCTCCCCGTTGCCCTTCTCCGCCCCCACTTCCATCCCAGGCAATTCTCTCAGGCTGCATCCCAGTGACATTCCACTGTGCCAACGACAACCCCTGGGTTCGTCCCATCCCAAGGCTGCACCACAACCTCTCCCTCTTCTTCCCTCCCCACACCCACCCACCAACCCCCACCAGGCAATTCTCTCGGGCTGCATCCCAGTGACATTCCACCGTGCCAACGACAACCCCTGGTTTCGTGTCAAGGCTGCACCACAACCTCTCCCTCTTCTTCCCTCCCCACACCCACCCACCAACCCCCACCAGGCAATCCTCTCGGGCTGCATCCCAGTGACCTTCCTCCGTGCCAACGACAACCCCTGGTCCGCCTCCCTGTATCACCTCGGCACCAGCACCAGCACCAGCACTGCAACTTCCTCTGCCTCTGCTTCTGCCTCCCCGCTGCCCTTCCCCCCCACCCACCCTCCCTTCCCAGGCAATCCTCTCAGGCTGCATCCCAGTGACCTTCCACCGTGCCAACGACAACCCCTGGGCCGCCTCCCTCTACCACCATTCTGCCACTGCCTCCGCCCCCTCGGCCCTCAACTACCCGGTCTTCTCGCTCAACGTCGACCCGGCAGCGCTGGACTTGCTGCCCCGCCGCCTGCAGGAGGCGTTTGATCGGCCGGGACTTGTCACAATGCTGCAAAACAACCTCTCCCAATTCTCCCTCTTCTCCCGCTTCTCCCTCTTCTCCTGCCCTCACCCTCCCCTTCCCAGGCGGTCCTCTCAGGCTGCATCCCAGTGACATTCCACCGTGCCAACGACAACCCCTGGGCCGCCTCCCTCTACCACCATTCTGCCACTGCCTCCGCCTCACCCTCATCTATCAACTACCCGGTGTTCTCTCTCAACGTCGACCCGGCAGCGCTGGACTCGCTGCCCCGCCGCCTGCAGGAGGCGTTTGAGCAGCCGGGGCTGGTGGAGCGGCTGCAGCACAACCTGGGGCTCGTGCAGGTGGGTGTGGGGGTGAGAATGGTGGGCACTGGCGCAGGTGGGCACTGGGGCAGGTGGGCCTGTGAACGGTTGGTCCCACTAGAAAGAGTACTAGGAATTCGAGATTCACCTTCAAGGTCATTGGCTGCTGCAGGAGGCGTTTGACCAGCCGGGGCTGGTGGAGCGGCTGCAGCACAACCTGGGGCTCGTGCAGGTGGGTGTGGGGCAGGTGGGGCTGGGGCAGGTGGGACTGGGGCAGGTGGGGACTGGGGCAGGTGGGGACTGGAGATGTTTAAGTGGAATGACTCCGTGGACCAAGGTTCACAGGCTGTTCTGTTCACTCCTCACCACAATCACTCACTCCCCACGCCCCACCCCCCACTCCACACTCCCCATTCCCCTACTCTCATGCTCATGCCACAGGACATGTTCAAGTGGCATGACTCCCTGGACCAGGGAGCAGGGGTGCTCCCCACCCCATTCCCCTTTCATTATTCCTCATTCCCCACCCCATTCCCCGTTCCCCACTCCCCTGCCTTTGTGCTCATGCCACAGGACATATTCAAGTGGCATGACTCCCTGGACCAGGGAGCAGGGGCGGTTCTGATTAGCAGGCTGCGGAAGATAGGAGCAGCGGCGGCACAATCACAGCAGCTGGATGAGCAGATTGTGTTGCCTCTGGAGACTAATAAGAAGGGATCCTAGGAGCGTGGATGGTTTTTATTCTTTTTACGTCTCGAATGTTGCCTCTGGAGCCTAATACCGTATGAAGGGATCAAAGGAGCGTGGATAAAGATTGCAGCGGCGGCGCAGTCACATCTTACGAACGAGCAGATTGTGTTGCCTCTGGAGCCTAATACGAAGGGATCCAAGGAGCGTGGATGAAGCTAAGATAGCAGAACAAGGCCCCTAGAAGCTTGTAAGGTGCTGCCTCTGGAGTCTAATACGAAGGGGTCAAATCAAAGGAGAGTACCGGTAGGTGAGGATACTTACAAAACGGAAAAGAAAACAAGCTTTCCAATATGCCGTACTGACTTGTGCAGCCCCACATGGTAGAAGCAGAAATCTGTACATGCTTTTAGCTAAAAGAATGAGCTCAGTCCACCTCATTGCTTGGAAGAAAAAAACGACTAGGTGTTATGGTGCTGGCAATATTGTAAATGCTGTCATGACGATGCAGGAGACGAGGCTCTCTCAGACTCCTACTTGTGCCCATCTCAAGGAAGCTGGCAGAAGGGCCAGCACTCCACAGGAGTCTTGGGGTTACCCTCGCACCGCAAGGCAGTGCCCGGCAGTCCCGTGTGCGGTGCAGGAAACAATGCTCCCCTATACCAAACTCCTACCCCTGCCCGTCCCAAGGCGACTGGCAGAAGGGCCAGCACTCTACAGGGGTCTTCGGGTTATTCCTCGCACCACAAGGCAGTGCCCGGCAGTCTTGTGTGCGGTTGCGTGACCAGAAGAGCCCCTGATCCTCCACAACACTCATTGAGTCGTTGCTCAGTGCAAAGTGGAGGTCGATCTGCCCTGCCGTGTAGTGGTTCAGCCTCAGCACCTCTGGTGGCGCTACTGCTGTGGAATTTTCTGGAGCTGTGGTGCTATGGATGCCCACCGTGCTGTATGGGAGGAGAGGGGCGGGATGTGGGAGGGGCGGCACGTAAGAGGGGCGGCATGTGGGGGGGAAGTAAGCAGCATATTGTAACAATCAGGTGGGTGCTGTGACACCTCTGGTTGTGAGACGTCTCAAGGCATGTTGTAACAATCAGGTGGTGCTGTGACACCTCTGGTTGTGAGACGTCTCAAGGCATGTTGTAACAATCAGGTGGTGCTGTGACACCTCTGGTTGTGAGACGTCTCAAGGCATGTTGTAACAATCAGGTGGTGCTGTGACACCTCTGGTTGTGAGACGTCTCAAGGCATGTTGTAACAATCAGGTGGTGCTGAGACACCTCTGGTTGTGAGACGTCTCAAGGCATGTTGTAACAATCAGGTGGTGCTGTGACACCTCTGGTTGTGAGACGTCTCAAGGCATGTTGTAACAATCAGGTGGTGCTGTGACACCTCTGGTTGTGAGACGTCTCAAGGCATGTTGTAACAATCAGGTGGTGCTGTGACACCTCTGGTTTTGAGACGTCTCAAGGCATGTTGTAACAATCAGGTGGTGCTGTGACACCTCTGGTTGTGAGACGTCTCAAGGCATGTTGTAACAATCAGGTGGTGCTGTGACACCTCTGGTTGTGAGACGTCTCAAGGCATGTTGTAACAATCAGGTGGTGCTGTGACACCTCTGGTTGTGAGACGTCTCAAGGCATGTTGTAACAATCAGGTGGTGCTGTGACACCTCTGGTTGTGAGACGTCTCAAGGCATGTTGTAACAATCAGGTGGTGCTGTGACACCTCTGGTTTTGAGACCTCTCAAGGCATGTTGTAACAATCAGGTGGTGCTGTGACACCTCTGGTTTTGAGACCTCTCAAGGCATGTTGTAACAATCAGGTGGTGCTGTGACACCTCTGGTTGTGAGACGTCTCAAGGCATGTTGTAACAATCAGGTGGTGCTGTGACACCTCTGGTTTTGAGACCTCTCAAGGCATGTTGTAACAATCAGGTGGTGCTGTGACACCTCTGGTTGTGAGACGTCTCAAGGCATGTTGTAACAATCAGGTGGTGCTGAGACACCTCTGGTTGTGAGACGTCTCAAGGCATGTTGTAACAATCAGGTGGTGCTGTGACACCTCTGGTTGTGAGACGTCTCAAGGCATGTTGTAACAATCAGGTGGTGCTGTGACACCTCTGGTTGTGAGACGTCTCAAGGCATGTTGTAACAATCAGGTGGTGCTGTGACACCTCTGGTTTTGAGACCTCTCAAGGCATGTTGTAACAATCAGGTGGTGCTGTGACACCTCTGGTTTCGAGACCTCTCAAGGCATGTTGTAACAATCAGGTGGTGCTGTGACACCTCTGGTTTTGAGACCTCTCAATGCATGTTGTAACAATCAGGTGGTGCTGTGACACCTCTGGTTTTGAGATGTCTCAAGGCATGTTGTAACAATCAGGTGGTTCCAAGACACCTCTGGTGATTTTTTAGGCGCCTCAAATATGTGGGGGGGAAGTAAGCAGCGTATTGTAACAATCAGGTGGTGCTGTGACACGTCTGGTGACTCTATGACAAGGAAGGAAGGCAGGAGAGAAATAATTATCGAGACAGAGAGGGGAGTGATTGTGCTGATAAGCAGTCACTAGGGAAGTATGGTGTGTGGGTTGACAGCAGTCACTAGGGGAGAACGGGGTGTGGGTTGGCGTTCCTAAACCCTAACCGTAAACTCACTAGGGAAGGATCGTCTGAGGGTTGACGGCCACTTTGTCATGGTATCTGTGCATGCCGTGATCAAACGCCGGCAATTTGATTCGCCACATGAGGCGGTCTGTCACACACTCCCCGCGGGCCTCCTTGGTTTCTCCCCAGACGTTGAACCGCCGCAACTGAATGGCCTGCCGTGGTTAAGGGGAGAGAGGGGATGAAACGTGGTTTGTTGAGTGGCTCGCCGTGGGTAAGAAGTGAGAGTGGAGGGATGGGGTATTGCTGAGTGGCCTGCGGTGGAAAATGGTGCCACTTTGTCATGGTATCTGTGGCCTCTACGCAAAGAGCACGGCGCATGCACGCACGCACGCACGCACGCACGCACGCACGCACGCACGCACGCACGCACGCACGCACGCAAGCACGCACGCACGCACGCGCGTGCACACACACACACACACACACACACACACACACACACACACACACACACACACGCACACGCACACGCACACGCACACGCACACGCACACACTCCTCACCTGCTCCCCACCCTCGCCCAACCACTCCCCCCTCCAGTTCCCTGACATATACGACCAGATTATATCCTACGAGCACTGCATGATGCTGGGGCGGAGGTTCGGCGACAGGTGGCAGCTGCAGATAGACAGCGACGAGTTCATCTGGTACCCACCTCAGACTGGGGCCTTCCTCAAGCCGCTTCTAGCGAGGATAGAGCTCAACCACGCGCAAAACAGCACGGAACCGCTGTCGACTAATTTCAGCAATCACTCATCCCACACACACGAAACAAGGCACTCACCACACACGGATCACTGCACAGTCACTGGTCACAAACAAGGGCAGCAGTATCACGGGCTGTCTTTCACAAAAGACGAGAGAAAAGTGTTGCTCACCGCATACGGGTTGTTGCCCTTCCCAGAAAACTGATCCCGACGATAGAACACCTCAGACCAGGGGGGGAACGGCACGTGCACCACCTGCCCGCGGGCCATGTATGGCAACAGCAGGTCGCGCTTGGCTGTGCCGTAGCGGTCGTACACATAGATGCGATCCACTCCCATCAGCAGCGACGCGTCGATCCACTCGAGTAATCGCTCATCGGATACAGCAACGTTGTCGGAGAACATTTGATTTGTGTGAAAGGGGCGCAGGCAGATGGTCACTGCTCCCATGCTCTTTGGTTTATTGCGCCGCCTCTGACCAGTGCCGGTGATTTCGCCCGCCTTTGAAGCTGCTGCTCCTGCTGGTGCTTCTGTTGTTCCTGCTGTTGCTGCTGCTGTTCTTGCTGCTGCTGCTGCTGTTGGTGGTGGTGGTGCTGCTGCTGCTGATGGCGTTGCTTCTCCTGCTGGTGCTGCTGCTGTGGTCGCTGCATTTGAGTAATCAGCAACGACATCGCCTTTTCTAGATCCCTCCGAGCTCACATTGCCACTCTCCTCTTCATATTCATCTGCTTCATCTGCATCTGCTTCATCTGCATAATTCACTAGCAGGTCCTCTCAACTTCCCATTTTCTCAGCACTAGTCCGCATTCCTCTTTTCCTCCCCTCATCCCCTCCCTCTCTCCCCTTAAGGAACATTGCCAGTTCTGACTCACCACCTGGGCCTCCAGCCTCTTTCAAACCCCCTGCAGCACCAGAAGCAGCAGCAACCCCGTCACCTTCAGCCCCCTCAGCAACCCCAGCAGTCTCCCCCCCAGGCTCCCCAGAAACCCCAGCAGCCCCAGCTGCGGCTGCGGCAGCAACCAGTTCACTTTCCACTGCAGCGAAGGGGAAGGGCGGTGGGGAGGAAACAGAAAGGGGCTGGGCAGCAGAAGCATCATCATCAGGAGCAGCAGTGTCGCTGGTGGAGAGGGAGAGCGAGTGGGGGGAGGAGGCGAGGGTGTGTTTGTCGCTGTCAGTGTTGTAGAGGACTCTTCTCTACTTTGCAGGAACTGGGAGTTGTTCTAAACGATAGAGCTCTGTCTTAGCTTTCCAACGAGCCGTCAAACACGTCGATCGCCTAAGTATTCTCCGAGATATAGGCGTTCACGTGCTAGGTGGTGCTCTTGAATGCAAGTAAAGAAGCTCTCTGGAATTTGTGTTCGAATGTACCTTGTACAAAGAACTCTGAGTTTCACTATGATGGCATGCAATACAAAGAAAACAGATTTATAGCATGCAAACAAGATCGAATCGCACAAGTAACCTCGAACCGCTACACGCGCGAATGTTCGAGTAACATCGAAAGGGTGAAATTCGACTCTCGAATTTCACCGATCCGAATTCTCCTTGGGTCTCGAATGTTCCTGGTGCTGCCATGTGGCACCGAATCGAATGGGTCTTCCGAAGTCAATCCTCAACCCCACGCAAACCTGCAACTCACTCGAAGGTGAGCACAAGTCACACATTCGGTGGGTTGGGGGCATACAAACGCCCCACCACCACCTTGCTTCCAACACACGTAATCTCCAACAGTCAGCGCGGCACAGCAGCAGCAGTGGCATGCGCAGTTCCGCCCCCTCCTCTGCCGCCACCAGCTGCACCTGCACCTGCTGCCAGTGATGCACCGCCCACTGCCTCCCCCCCACCGTTCTCAACCGCTCGTGACCGATCACAGAGGATGTAGTTAAGTCCATAGGGAGAGAAGGGGGGGCTGTTGGGGAGGATCCGGAAAGAGGGGAGGAAGCGGCATGAGCCACATCGGCAACCTCATCACCTGCAGGCTTGGCAAGCCCATTTTCGGCAAGAATGATGCTTTTATCACTGACTGAGTTGTATGATGGAATCAGGCATTCTAATACCAAGTGGTACGAGTACATGTTCCAAACTGGCACCACATCCACGATATAAGCAGGCTCGAACGCTTGAATATATGGGTCGTGACCAGGCCATATGTGGCATTTGAGCTTAAGCTCTCCCTTGCCGAAAAGCTCGCTGAGCTCCGCCTCTCCCCACCCTTTCCACTGCGTTTTTAAGATAGATTCGTCATCCTCTAAAAAGGCAAGGAGCCTTAAAGAAGTCTGACTGCTCCTGGCTTGCCGCTGCGGCTTTCCCGAGTCTTCTTTCACGAGAGGTTCGGCGTGCCGAGCCTCTGCTTCGAACACGGTGAGCTGCGCGGTTGCTCGCAACGGTTGCGCCTTTCTTTTTTTTCATGACGATTGGCTTCGTAACGAACGTTCCCTGCGCGAATGGCGCGGTCGGGCTGCCCATGCACAGCCGGATCTTCGCGCCGCGGACAGATAACGACCGATTTGATGATGTGGCAAGGTCAGCGTCATCGATCTCACGCTCTCCATCTACCGCGGCTCGTTTTTTACCATATTTCCGCGACTCTTTAAACGGTGTGCGCATCGCATGATCAAAGGCGTCGACTGGAGTTCCCGCGGCGCGGAACTCGCCAGGCAGGCCGGTCGAGCCGCCGCCGAGTTGAAACGCGACCCAGAAGGCGAGCAAGGCGGAGGTGGCAGCGGCGAGCGCGATATAATGGCACTGGCTCGCTGTGGACGCTGCTGCTTGCGGCTGCGGCGTAGTAACGCTCGAGACCATGGCTACTTTCGGCGTTCTAGTGGTGGTTTGGTGTGTACTTCAAGAAGGGAACTCGTCTTAGAGTGCAAGAAATTGCAATTCTTTGGGCCGCAGAGTAGCATGCAGGCCTTGGGCGATTCTTTGATTTGTGTTTGTGTGTGCATGATGCAGGCCTTGGTTTGTTTTGGGTTGGGATATAGCCAGGTTTGTTTCGTCACCAAGCCACGCCACACCACCACCAACCAAACCACCAAGCCACCCACACAACCGCACGTTCGGAGCGCTTGACCTTACACCTGATTACCGACATTAGGATGAAATGTTTTCTAATATCTCTTTCCATATCCTGTACATAGGTACCCGCTTCCTTGAAGTAGATTGTGGTTTGTAGTGCTTGTTTTATTCTGCGCTCATCTCAATGTTCGAAGCAAGCGGTGGGGTGTTTGGGAGCGCTCTGTAAGGACGTGGGCCCAATCGGGTTTGATCGCCTCGATCAGAAGCGATCAATAACTTCCAGGAAGCCTGGAAGCCAATCTCAGGCAATCGGGGGCGATCAGCTGATCGCGATCAGCTGATCGCCCCAACTCAATCAGACCCGATTTACACCCCGATCAAACTCAATTTTCCTCAATCACAGGCGATCAGTTGATTGCATGTGATCGGGGGCCATAACGACTCATGCGAATAGTTACAAAGTTGTACTGGGTCTCGTGAAACCCTCGCTCATACATTGCAAATGGCGAGAACTCTCTAGAACAGCCCCCGATCACGTGCGGGATGGGGTTCACGATATTACAGGGAAATAAAGATTTCGCGGCGTGGCCTTCTGGTCGCCAGTCTCGCTAAAATGGGGAAGAAAATGACAGGTAATTAGATAGCGCTTGCTGTGGATTGGAGTGCAAAGATCCCGCTCGTGCTCACCCTCCGCGGAGCCAGGATTCGACAGGTTTTTTTTCATGGTACAATTGTGCAATTTCGATAAACAGCAAAAGCTCCGTTCGGCAGAAACATTTACTGTACCTCCACAACTCAGGGTGTCTGATGTACTGTATCAAACAAAAAAACGCTGAGGGCGCTTTCGGGACCCAAAAGTCCATTTGTTGAAACCGGCGAGGGTTGTGAGCCGCATGCCGCGCTGGGCTATCGTGTACTGTACGAAATGCAAAAAAATGTCTATTGTTTCTGTCATTTTCTTTCCTGCGCGGGCGTTTACGTGACTGTCAACCTTCGCTGGAGTAAACCGCGCGGGAAGAAAATGGACAGGGACAAGTTTCTTCCGGTCGCGTCGGGTCGGTTCGGGGGCAGGAGATTCCAGCCCAGACTCCAGACGTGTCCAGTCCTTTGATTCCAGACCAGGGCTGACGATTCAAGGGCAAATGCCCTTAATGCCCTGAACATTAAGGGTTGGGTTTGGCCCAGCTTCCGAATTTTAAGGGTTGGCTTTGAGGGCAGCCCTTTCCCGCAAAGTGCTGGTTGTGGGCCTAACCCGGATTTCAAGTGCAGATCCCGCGGCTAGCCCTTATCGTCCCATACTAATACCTCCCTCCCTCCCATTCGCTCACCAGTCCCCCCACCTCCTCCCAGCCACTCCCCTACTTCCTTCTCCCATCCCCCTCAAATCCATCGACATGTTTCGTACCTCAGCCTATTGCCTAGTTGGCTCTTAGTAGTTTGCCTAGGATACGGTATCCCTGGCGAAGTGCAAAAAAGTTGGTAGCCCTGATTTCAAGTGCCAGGTTTGCTCTCAGCCCGGAAATTTCAGGGCAACTTTTGGGGCACCTCAGCCTCTCAAGTTCTGGCTCCAAACCAATCGACAGCTCTGTTCCAGACGTGTCAAGTTTTTCTTTCTGCTGGCGAAGGGAGTCTGGGCGATTTCGGGCTCTTGCAAAAGTCCAACCCCAGTCATGGCTACAGTGATGCTGACTTACATCAACTGGCTGGTACTGTACTGGCAACGTGCTCGCACGCAATTCAAACCCACAATTGCATCGAATACGGCGCGCACGCAATCAATTTTCCAATTCCAGAAACTCGTTTAAAGCCCGTGTCCCAAATTGCGGGCCGCGCGGGTCAAGTTTTTAAAACTTGACGAAGAGGAGTGTGCAAGTTTTGAAAGTAGCGCACCTGCAATTTGGGACTTTCGAAGTGTGACCCCACCCACCAGGGGGGGATCCGGGGGCTGGCTGGGTTTGGCGAAAAATACGAATTTGACGAAATCTGAAACACTCGCCCAACCCCAAACCAGAAAAGCTCCCTCTCGTCAACTTTTTAAAGGATGAACAATTTGGGCTGCCGGCTTTAAAACAGATGCAAGTCATTCGGCTGCTACATCTCGAACTGAATAAACGAGTACTACACATATCTCTATTTGATTTCTGGCATTGTGATCCCGCATACTAGTGGGCGGACATCGTAGAACTGATTTCGGGCAGTATATCGAGGGTCAAGGGAAGAGCACGCCATGGCTAAGGCTATCGTGAGATTCGATACAAGAAATACCGGGGAAAAGCGGAAGAAATAACCATTGGCGGCGAGGCTACTCCGCCTTGAAAGCAGGGAGTTGAGATCACCATACACCACTAGATAGCACAAGGGCAAGGTGGTGTTGTTACCAGTGCGTTTACCCGACCTGGCACAGTTGCTTGTTCCCGTGGCCCATGGATCTCTCTCCACCATCCACACATCAAGCAGTAGCAATTGATATAGGCTTGCCTTGCGTGTGGGTTGCATGGCATTTTCTATTCTTACCCCGCCGTGTAGCACCGCCGCCACAATGTGTTGCCTTGCCCTCTATTGGCTTCACCGTGGCGTTTTATTCCTGCCCTCTCCTTCCTGTGCCCAAAAGTGCTCTTGAGGATTCTCAAATGAGCCTTGCTGCTCTATTGGCCTCACCATGGTGTTTTGCTCTCCAGGAGTGTTACCGCACCTATTCCTGTCCTGCCCTGACCCGATTAAGAGTGCTACCTATTCTTGTCCTGACCTCGATAGTGCTACCTATTCTTGTCCTGACCCGCCCATGGCAACTGGCAGAAGGGCCAGCACTCCACCGGGGTGTCAACACTCCCACCGCACCGCACCGCTTTGCACTCCATTGTGCGGTTGCGGGCCCAGAAGAGGCTGGGGTCTTCAATAGGCTTGACTGTGGCGTTGCAGGGCGGCTCTTTGAGATCCACCTCCCGCGACGTGTAGTGGTTCAGGTGGAGAATTTCTGGGGGCGCTGTTGCCATTTCTTCTGGTGGGCTGAACGTGTTGTGGATGGATATAGAGCTGATTGGGGGGGGGGAGGGGAGGGAAGGGGAGGGGAGAGGAGGGAAAGGGAGGGGGAGAGATGGGGGGGTTAGGGGAACGGGGAACAAGAAGCTGCTGTCTTCGATGGGCTTGACTGTGGCGTTGCAGCCTTGAGATCCACCTCCCGCGACGTGTAGTGGTTCAGGTGCAGGATGGCGGGGGGTGTATTAGTGCGACTTTTGAGAATTCTCAAAAGTCGCACTAATATGTTGCCATCTCCTCTGGAGGGGAGAACGTGTTGTGGATGGATATAGAGCTGATTGGGGGGGGGAGGGGGGTAAGTGAGGGACAGGGAGGAAGGCAGAGATGATTATTGGTTGACTGGTGGCGCTGTTACCATCTCCTCTGCAATGTTGAAATCGCTTTTGAGAACTCTCAAAGCGATTTCGCCATCTCCTCTGCAGGGGCAAACGTGTTGTGGATGGATATAGAGCTGGTGGGGGGAGGGAGGAGGACGAAAGAAATGGGCGCAAGAGGAAGGCAGGGTGTGAAGGTAAAGGCTGGAACAGAGAGCCTCTGGCGGAACTGTTTTCGAATGGGAATAAAAAAAAAAAAAAACAAAAAGGAACTTCAGAGGGCCGCTGGCATAAGAGCAGGGGACCACTAGTGGAACTGTTGCTTTTCACTCTACGGAGATTGAGGAAATGGCAGACAGGATTGTGGATCGAGCAGGAGTGGAACTGACTAGTGACGTACCGTCTCGAACTGAGCCGACAAGGCTAGCAGGACAGGACCAAATAGTTTGTCTGGGTGGAAAAATATTTGTCACGGGCGTACCAGTGTGAGCTCTGTCAATTTTGAGGCGCCTCAAAATATTTGTCACGGGCGTACCAGTGTGAGCTCTGTCAATTTTGAGGCGCCTCAAAATATTTGTCACGGGCGTACCAGTCTGAGCTCTGTCAATTTTGAGGCGCCTCAAAATATTTGTCACGGGCGTACCAGTGTGAGCTCTGTCAATTTTGAGGCGCCTCAAAATATTTGTCACGGGCGTACCAGTGTGAGCTCTGTCAATTTTGAGGCGCCTCAAAATATTTGTCACGGGCGTACCAGTGTGAGCTCAGTCAATTTTGAGGCGCCTCAAAATATTTGTCACGGGCGTACCAGTGTGAGCTCTGTCAATTTTGAGGCGCCTCAAAATATTTGTCACGGGCGTACCAGTGTGAGCTCTGTCAATTTTGAGGCGCCTCAAAATATTTGTCACGGGCGTACCAGTGTGAGCTCTGTCAATTTTGAGGCGCCTCAAAATATTTGTCACGGGCTCTGTCAATTTTGAGGCGCCTCAAAATATTTGTCACGGGCGTACCAGTGTGATCTCTGTCAATCCAGCCGGAATCTAACACCTGAAGCACACAAACATCATCCCATTCACATCACATCCCATGCACATGCCACTTACTAGGGGAGGATGATCCGTGGGTTGACGGCACGGCACGGCACTCACTCGCCCGTGGTAACATGCCAACCAGCAGCCCACTTACTATGGAAGAATTGTCTGGGGATTAACAGCCACCTTGTCGTGCCAGCCTATCCACGTCTTGGTGTGCCACATGGGCTCACTGCATCGCCACTGCAGGCCGTGCAACTCACGGTTCCGCACTCTCAACGGCAAGTGGTAGCATGTATACCAACCAACACCGCACTCACTAAGGGAGAATGGTCTGGGTGTTCACTCACTATGGATGGATGGTCTGTGGGTTAACGGCCACCTTGTCGTGCCAGCCTATCCACGTCTTGGTGTGCC